TTTATTGTTTTTATGTTTCCGGGTTGTCCGTACGTCCCGTTCTCGTGATCTCACTTTTGAAGCTATTGAGAGCTAAATCACTCTTACAGCTCCGTTAATTTGTGCTCAGACTGAAACCTGATATCCTGGCATGCTTCTTCTTTTCTTCTTGACTTACATGTACTAAATACCATAAAAAAGATCTCAATATGTAGTTTATAATAATAATTCCTCCAATTTTTCTTCTATTACATGGTGTACCACAAGGTTCTATCCTAGGTCCCCTACTGTTTTTTAATTTACATTACCGGTAATGATCTTACGCACACACAAAAAAATCTCGGCAATTTTTTTTTTTTTTTTTTTTTTTTTTTTTTAAGGGCGAAAAAGAGGGATAAGGTTAATACACGAGGGCGGTTTATACAACGTTAATTACGGTAGGAGAAACAGGTTGGAGATGTTTCCAGAGAGCTCTTCCTACAAGAAGTGCCGGGGGGGGGGGGGGGGTGTTTCACAAAGATCCTAAATAGAACTTAATTCTAAGTTGGACTCTAAAATTATGTACAGCCATTTTTACCCTAAAATAATATATATTTGTAAACAGAAATTCAAGTATTCAAGTATCAAGAAACATGTAATCTTCTTGATAATAGAAAATAAGAAAGTTTTGAATCAACATTTAAAGCCTTTTAAAATTACTTTTACCAGTACACAATATTTTCAAAGATGCTAACAGCCTTCCATGATTTTTAAGTCTAACTTAGAGATAAGTTCAACTTAAAATCGTTGTGAAACTCCCCCCTGGTGTCATATTTACCAAATTCTTTCAAATGCAGAGTTTAAATTTTGTAAACTGTATAACCTGCTCTGTTTGCATACAGATAATTTTGCAGATGACAGGCGCGCAGACAATTTTTGCAAGTAGTTTTCATGCTCTTTAAAACAGGCTACTTACAATACATGTTCGCACATGCTCTACCATCAGATTTTGCACGTTTCCAATTAGTGAGTCTACAACAATATGCGGAATTTGTGTAAATGAGACTGTTGCAAGAATAATTGATAATAATACAGTAGTACACTAGATTGTCTCATGGTGCTTTACTCTCTGGTGCTATGGATGACTATGTTATATACCTACTCAACTTATTCTTTGCATGGTAGATCTGTTGTTCTATGTGTATATTGAATGTGTTGACAAAAGTCCTGACCAATCCATAAATCATACAAGTTAAGAAGTTTCTTTTCTTTCATTTAATACTTTTCTTTTTAGTATTTTGGGCTTTCCTGTTTATTCCCCTTTCCTTCTTTTCCATGTTGACCGTGTTAGATTTGCATTTTCGCATGGAGTATTATTTTGCTGCTGTAAGGTTTATACCTGCACGTGTTGTGGTCAGTAAAGAAGGGATGCATGCCAATTTTCCTGATAGAAATTTCTTGAATTAAATTTGTTTTGTTTGGTTTAACAGGGAGTGATAATAGTAAAGGTAAATTTACATGTAAGACCGTGTGGCGTACTCTACAATGTTTTTTCTTCTGCTTTCATTAAAGAGATAGGATGAAAATATCTCTTCATCTGAATCCCTTATGTTCTTTTGGCATAGATTAAGTACACCATTAACAGGTATAGAAGTATGCCAACTTCTTTTTTTTTCCTCTCCCCCCCCCCCCTTGTGTGTTACAGAAGTTTTAAAGTAAATTCATTTAAAATTATGACCTTTCATAGAAGGAACTTTCTTTTAGTGACTTTGATGAATTACAATATATGAAATGTTTAGCTTTTCTTTGAGTTTTGTTGTACTTCAAGTTCAAGTATACTCTGTGTTCAAGTCTTTCGAGGAAAAGAATGTCGACCCATAGTTTATCAAGTTTGATTTATCACGACACTTAACTAAGTAGGGCCTTATTTCATAAATGCAGAGCTGCCAACCATTCCGTTTTTGCCGAAATTACTCCGTTTTTTTCTTCAAATTACGGGATTACGTTTTTTCTTCATAAAATACTTTTTTTTTTTTTACACACCACACGTCAAACAACTGCCCTAAAATGGTGATTTGATCACAAATTCGATAGAAAACTAATTTTAAAACATAATTGAAGAGAAAAATATTCTCAAAAAAGAATGAAATGCCGATAATACCAAAATAAACCAAAACAAAAATACCTGCTTGTAAAGAAAAAAACAGCATGAGGAATGAACATTTCTGCATTGGAAGTGTGTCGCGCGTGGTTGTAAGTTTTGTTTTCATGAATTCCTTTTTTTTTGCTTAAAATTCCTTTTTTTTTGCCATCATGATTCCCTTTTTTGGTCGCACAAGGTTGACATCTCTGTAAATGTATAACAAGTTCAATAATTGTACTAATTAAAATAATTGCATTTGATTGGATGTAAGCAAACTAATTCTACAATCGTGCAGATGCCTTTTACCTTATAAAACAGGGCCTTGGTATTGCTGTATTTGGTTTATAGTTACAACTTTCTTGTTTTCAAAGGATACCTTTTTGAGAGAAAATCAAAATAAATTGTCATGATGATATTAAAATTGTTCCTTGTCAAAGGATTATGAATGTATAGATTTGTTTGGCCTGTCCAGTTATTACATAAGAATCATCAATATAATTTAAGAAGAAAGTGTTGAAAAAAAGACATGCAAAGAAAACTAAAAGCAAATGTTACTCTCTCTTTATAGAATTTATTTACATTTGCCTTCATGCAAAGTAGAAAATACCATAGATTTATTTTACACACACATTTACATCGAAGGATATGAAAGATTATTTGGACGGATACATCAAGCAGTCATTTTTATTTGAAAAAATCTTAATTTATACAAATGTTGTTTGCATTTAAAATCTTTGTTTGTACACGTGCATAGAATAAATTACAGCAAATGTGTCAGTAATAATGAAAGTTAATCAAGTTAATAACATCATTGTGCTTCAAGATTTCATTTCCTATGTTCAATAGTATACAACTAAAAGATGTTGTAAGCGATGTTGTGTTTGCCTTTGAAATTCCTGTTAACCACAGTACACGTTCGGATGAGATTTAAGTGAACTTGTACTTATGACGGTTTCGTGAAATGATGCTCTTATGTCTAAAATGTAATTCAAGATACAAGTAATTTCATGAACAACATATTAATAAAGATAGATATCAGTTTCAATGAATGCGACAATGCCAAAATGTGCTTCTGTAGAAGAAGTCACTGGAGTGAGCTATCATTACTGATCGAACAATATAAATTATTGAAGCATTTAACAGTGAGTAGTCCACTGCTTAAAGGGGAAGTCCACCCTGATATTATATTTTTGAACGACCCCTATATGACACATATCTATTCCATCATCAATAACCAAGAAAATGAGAGTTTATGACATTTTCTCTCTACAGAGCAAATTAGAGAGGAGCTCACAAGATATGTCAGTGTTGCCAATTCGTATTGTACTGATGACAACTCCAAATAGTTTTTATTTTTAATCAGATATTGCTCAAGCATTCACTAATTTGTTTCTCTCATTGTTATCAAAACTTAATATCGGGGTGGACCTCCCCTTTAAATACAAACAGCAATCCTCTGCACTGTGACACCTCCATACATATGTATCTGTTCAAACTAGCTGTATCCAGTAGAAGTAATATCAGTAACAACTCCCATATATACATACATGGGGAAAAGATTTGTCAAAATCAGATTAAGTATACTATTCAAATAGACATCTCCATTCAAACAACCGCAGTTATATAATATACAATATATATATTTATAATTATTTACAATATCGTACAAAATACTTACAGAGTAATCGTAAGAGCAGGAAAAGCCCAATTCTGTTGTATGTTAAGATAGGGAGTAGTTTGCCAGAATTATTTATTAATGAGAAGATTACAAGATCCTGCTTCATCAAATGAAGAAGAATTGTGCTCAAATAGGTTTTATGTTCGCCACACCTTAATGGCATTTAGGGAACTCGAGAAGTAGAGATATTGAATCCAGTAGCTTATTTCTGAGCACAACCTCGACACGCTGTTATTCACTTGAAATTCAAAGGTGCCTTACATATTCCTTGTGTATGTGAAATTCCAGAACAAGATGTGAGGAAGGAAAAAAAACTTTTATTTTTCATGCAAGATTTGATTTTGCTCATGGCCAAAATAAAATGAAAGTTACAAAATGTATTGGACTTTGTTGTGTACTTTTTTGTATGTTTGGGGCAGCAGTCTAAAGAAGGAGCTCAAGGGATGATAATAGAAAGCCATCGTTAACGGTATTCCCCTTTTTCCGGAGCTCTGTGATGGCACTTAAAAGACGGAGCTTGTGACACTATTATAGAAAAACAATCGTTAGCAATAATCCCCATCTCTGGTAGAGTATGTGATGGCTGTTTAAAAAGGGAGCTTGTGAAACTAAATAGAAACCCAATCGTTATTAACGGTAATCCCCTTTTGGTGGGTTTGCGGCGGTCATTTAAAGGGAAAGTCCACCCCCAAAATAAGTTTGTTTCGATAGAGGCAGAATAATAAGAAAATCAGGTGAGTGAAAGTTTGAGCAAATTCTGAATGAAAATAAGAAAGTTATGAATTATTGAAGTTGTGATCAATCAAATACAAATTGGCAACTCTGTGACTTATTATACGAGCTCTCCTTCATTTGCTTTGTGCATAATATTCCATAAAATCATGTTTTCTTCGTTATTGATGACGGAATATATACTTGTTCCTTGCAGGGGGAGTATAGAAACATATTTGCAATTATTATATTTAGGGTGCATGTATGGTTGAAATTTTTCTTGAGGGAAAATGAAAATTTTAGATTTTTTTAGTACTGAGCAAATGGAAGTTGAGCTCGCATGATACGTCATAGAGTTGCCAATTCGTGTTTGATTGATCACAACTTCAAAAATCCTAACTTCCTTATTTTTAATCGGAATTTGCTCAAACTTTCACTGACTTGTTTCTCTCATTTTTCTACTCCTATTAAAACTAACTTAATTTCAGGGTGGACTTCCCCTTTAAAGAGAGAGAGAGAGAGGGAGTTCATGAGACAGCAATGGAGACATGCTTGTTGAGTGTTAAGTTGTGCTCTCCAATTGTTAACGGTGATTCCCTTTTTTGGGGGGGTTTGTGATGGCATTAAAAAAGGGAGCTTGTGAAACTAAATAGAAACTTAATCGTTAACGGTAATCCCCCTTTTCTGTGGGTTTGCGGCGGTCATTTAAAAATGGAGGCATGTTTGTTGAGTGTCAAGTTGTTCTCTGCCTTTTCCGTGGGTTTGCGGCGGTCATTTAAAGAGAGAGAGAATGGGAGCTCATGAGACGGCGATGGAGGCATGTTTGCTGAGCGTGAGGTTGTTCTCTGCGTCCGTATGGCTGGTGATGAGAGTAGATCCGTCCAAGATGTCACGAGGGGTGCTGTCTACCATGATAGTCCGACCCTGGAAAGTCTGAGAGAGGAAGGAAGAATGATACATCGTTAATTGATCGATAGATTGTGAGGAGTGAGAGAAGAAGATAATACAGATCTATCTATATTACTTACAGTTGTGAGGTCCCGATACACAGTATGCTTTGTGGAAGGGGGGGGGGGGTTGCATTTTGTTAAATCTTTGTCAATAATGATAACAATAATTATAATAATAATAAAAATGAACACGTGTTTAAGTGTCAACTTTTCGGAAGTGGTCTCATTACCTATTACTGAACTCATAATTTGGGAGTATTTCCTAGGCTTGCTATGATTTTTAAAGGAAGAACAAACGGAGACTTTACTCTCTTTTTCTGTGTGTGTACACTATTGCATTTTTCAAATTCCACAAGTCATGGCAAAATTAATATCTTTGCACAATACCTCTACAAGATTGTCTACATAAATGGCTACTATGCTTAACAGTGATATAATGCAAGTAATTAATACATGTAAATTTTTAGTGAACTACTCAAACTACCACATTCACTGCGGCTTCCATTTCTAATACTATTATACTACTACTAAAATAAATATGCACTAGCAATTGCTTATCCAAATACTTACTGTTGTCTGGAGTGAAGGAAGATCAATATCATGGAAAGAGTGCCTGTAGGTTAAAAAAAAGAAAAGCAAATACATTTTAAATAGCTTTGAAGCATGTGATAGATAAAACACTAATTAACAATTCACTGATACAATTACATCATATCTCTGTAACCTATGTACTGCTGTCTGCAGCAAGAAAATCTTTGAACCTTGGTTTTGTCGGTTTGTTTTACCCAACTGCTACCAGAGCATGTGTATGCTTGTAAGTAAGCAACCAGGGGACCAATGGCTTTAAGTCCTCTCCAAAAGACTTGGTAATGGGGATTAATAATAAGACTGTGCACAACAGTGTAATGAGGTACCCGAGTACACTCCCAGGCTTACAAGCAAATACTTGAATATTCGGATGCCATGTTTTTTTTAAATTTTTTTAAATTTTTTTGATTTTTTTTTTTTGCCACCACCATACCACTGGTGCAGTATCCAAGTATCGCCGAAAATGCATGCAATTTTACTGCGAGTTGCAGTTGAAGGCGCCGATTTAATAATAATAATAACAGTAAACAATGCTGTTTTAAAAACCAAAGATGGCAGAATAATCCATTGTCCTCCGATTCCAAACAGAAATCTGGACATTTGGTCCCAGTTTCTGAGTGGTGAGTTTGACAGTGCTTGAGTTGGGAAACATGCCAGCGGCCGCCGCTCTCCCTGGCACGGGTAAGCGTCGGCCTGGACATTTTTTTATTATTTTTTTTTTCCGGCCGAATATTCGGGTACGAGAAATCGTACCCGAGTAGTTGTCAACCGTGCGGGTACTCGAGCATTCGACTACCCGTCGCAGCCTAAATTAATAATGCCTTACGAAAGAACATGAGCGTATCGACTTGGTCTCAAACCCGGGACCTTACGGTTATGAGACCACTGCTCTACCACTGAGCCATCGCGTCTTCTCAATGAGATAACAATGCACTATAATTCCAGATTGGATAATTTAACGATGTTGTAGACAACAGATAAATCAAGTGAAATATAAATCCTCAAAATATAAATGCAGTTAAATTTTAAAATTCATTTTTTGTCTTCCTAAAATGTATAAATTATTATTAAGATTTGTTGATTACAAATGTAACTATGTTTTGTATACATTTTACATTGTATTCGTTATTATGTATTGCATTTTGTTGGAAATGAAAAAATAAAAATGAAACAAAATGAAATGAAAATACAAGACAATATCATGTCGACAATTACAATGACAATGACAAATAAGATTACTTAAATGATGTTGTGGACAACGGATGAATCGAGTGAAATACAATACAATATCACATCAGCAATTACAATGACATAGAGATATAATACAACTTACTCGTTGTCAATCTGCTTGGCTCTAGAATCGTCAATAGCAACGTCTTGTCTACCCTTCGAATTCTGTAAAATAGAACAGAAGACATCACGGTTAATTAACCCATTGAATACACCAGTGATTTTCTCATAACATACGTTACTATGGGCGTTACTTACACATTACAACTAAATTATTCAAACCCATTGTAAATTTGATGTTTTTTGTGTTTTTCATAACTCATGAATGAAAGGTGGACTGGTTGAATTAGGCCCTTTTAGATGTAAGTTTTAATATGTCACATTCTCAAGAAAACATAAATCAAGAAAACTCCATTTCTCATATACTTTTTTTTTTTTTAAATCACAAAACTTTAACTGTAGTTGTGGAGAAATGGAGATGTTTTCAGTTTTTATATCTCAATATTTATAACCTTTCAAATTATCTTTGTCCAAGAAATTCTTCCCTCCTTTCCATTCCACCCCACCCCACCCCACAAAATGAATGATTCATATCCCTATTTTTTTCTTCAGCAAAACTGTCTTAAATAGAGGCAAGTTTCTGGTTTGAGAGACAGTACTTTAATACTTCAACGTTAATATCTCAGAAAGTAGTGACTACAAATTCCATTGCCAATTTCAACTTTCTATTACTTCAAATAAACCTAGACCCTGATTTATAATTCATGACTATCTCTATTCTTAATCAGCCCATAAATGATTCCAGTATCGTATATCACGTAGTATAAGATGATGACGTGGATCCTAATCAAATGATTGGTTGAGAGCGTACACATGACCAGGCATTATTTTGCCTAACAAGTAATTCTTATAATGACCGGTCGTTATCAAATTGGCTAATGACCAGTCATTAGTAAAATAATGTTATAAAACAAACAAAACATAATCTTATAAAACAAATAATACACATAAATTTGTTCATGCATTTGTAAAATTACCCACACTCGATACCTTAAAAACAGTCCAAACACCCTAAAGGCTATCATCTCGGACTGTTCCAAGGGTACCTTGTGTGGGTAATTCTTACTAATGGTCTCACTGCTGTGTATTATTTGTTTATTGTAACTTGTTATTTCTAACATGTTTCAATGAAAAGTAGCTGTATATTACCTTGAGGATGGCATAGTTGGACGTTCTAGCCACAAAGTCATCCCATTTCTTGATGGATTTCTCCCGCTGTTTGTGATTCTCTTTAATCTGAAGAAGAAAATACATATCAAAGCAAATGATTCTCACTCTTGTAAGTTGTTGAATCCTGTATTTAGTTAAAAAATCAGCTCTCAATTAACATAAGAAAAAGGGCAACATGGGGGACCAATGGGTATCACTTAGGCATTGTTTGCTATATAGAGGACAGTGGGGCTTTAAGATAATCTTTAAAATGTAAAGAGAAAGCATACTCCAGCAAGAATAAAGTCAAAAGGGATTTCTGTTATTCCTTTTCATGTAAATGTATCTTTGGTTCTTTGTAGCAATCTAAATACATGTAAGAAGATTCATTACCAATACACAAAATGGTAGTTTTTGGCACAAGAATCTGACTTACCTCTGAATAAAGCTCCTGTTCTTCCAATAAGGCTTGTTGTCTTTGTGATTCCAGAAGCTCATTCTGTTCTTCTGTGATCGTCTCAGCCATCTCCTGGTTTGATTTACTGAGCATCTCAAGCAATTCCTACAAATTTGAAGAAAAAAAAAATTGGTATATTTCCATTAAAAGATATTCACTTCTTCATTACTGCACTGGAATATATTTATTTCAATGGTAAAATAGGGTGCCTGAAGAGTCTAGAAAAATGAATTCTATGATTTTTTAACATAACTTTTCATTCTCTGTTTATAAAAACATGACCTGTTTCCTCAGCAAGATCCTACATATTTGGAGACTAACTACATCTCCAACCCTGTGACATACATAATTTTAATATTGATGATTAATATTAATTTTAAATCTTAAATCTTATTAATCTTATTAATCTTAAATCTGAGATGCATGGCCCTACGTGTTATCAGTGTCTGTGATATGGTGTAATATTGAAGCCTTAAAAAATTGTGCTTCAAAATGATCATGATGTGCTTCAAAAAAGTAAAAATCTTTACTGGTGTGACTGGTTTTACCACACTCATTTTCCCCAATAGACTGTAGTGTTAAACTGTTCAAAACCGTTGGGAAAAAGGTTTCCAATCATAAATATCTTGATAATCGAACATGTGATTGGCTTGTAAAAGTCATGGGATTCATTTCTGACCTAAAGGTTTATGATTGCAGCATGAGCTAAATCCAGGATTTTGATTAGAATCAGAGGCAAAGATACCTATCATCTTTAATATACTTGAATCTATAACTGACAAAGGGTCACATGATATCTAAGATTAATGTCTATAAAAGCATGGTTCTTTGCTGATATAGAGAACAGAGCCTCACCTGATCAGGAGTGACAGGTCGTAGGTTCTCCTGCTCGAGCTCTGAGGTGATCTCCACCCAGATCTCGCCCTCTTTGAAGTCCAGAAACCTCCTGATGATGACCAGGGTTACTTGCTCCTCCGTAGACAGTCCCTTGGGGTCTTCAGAACCTGTGATAGGATGCATACAATATTAAAATAGGGCCTTAAAAAAATAGATGTTGTATTGCCCTTCAGGCTTTGGGACCGACCCACAAATTTTGAAATCTACCGTCGGCTTTTTAAAAAAATAAAAAAAAATACTGTTTTTTAGAGAGAAAAAAATATTAAAGCATTCAAAACAGAAAAATCTGCCCAAAGATGAAGAAAAAAAAGAAGAAAAAAAAAGTTTAAAAAAAAAGATTGCAGACTGACCGACCCATGTTTTGTCACCTAAAGGGCAATACAACATCTCCTATTTTTAAATGCCTAATAGTAGATTCTTATATGGCGCTCAGTTATGTCAAACTTGACACAATTATTACCCTGTCTTTATCATGGCTGCATTATGGCGCTCTAGTATTTCAGTCTGGCAACCTATCCACTTGATTAATGATAATATTCCAAGTTTGTATAGAGTACATGATACATCGCATATCAAGGTTCTAAGCCTCCGATTGCTCAAAACAGAAGACATGACATTGACTACTCGCTGCTGGGTAGTGTAGCTAAAATATTTACATGCACAGAATTTTGATAAGCACATTCTCTATCAGAATTTTTTTTTTTAAAGTTTTATTAATAATGACCCAATGAGCTACCAGTGAGTGGGATATTAACAGCCAGTCTGATACAAAAAGTGAAACTCAAGGTTGGTTTTAATCTCGGACTAAAATCAAGTTTAACTAGATGGATCTTTGACTACCCGCAGTCGTTAATAATGCCTCCGCCATTGAGTGATTTTACAAACTCAGTTCATTGGCTCTGCAAGATACATACATGGTCCAAGTTTGGGGGGAATCCATCAATTGGTTCTTGAGATCACGCGATCATGAGAACGGGACGTACTGACAGACGTACAACCCAAAAATATAATGCCGCCGGCTATTTTGTAGCGGAGGCATAATAAAGGAGCTCGACTGTGGTCTATACTTACCTATCTTACAGAAGAGTGCGTAGATCTTAGCCCTCATATTCTCTGAGATGTCAGTAATAGCATGACTGGGCTGATTAGCAGGTAAGGGCTTGATTCCAGCCTCTTCCTGAAAACTGCCCATTAGAGGTACAGCTGGATCTGGATGAAATAAAGATGGATGAAAACAATTTAATAAGTCACACATATCAAGATACTGCTCAGAAATGATAAACAAGGAACAAAATGCAAGAAATTACAGTCAAAGCAATATATAAAGAGATGTTCAAGAGAGATTTAAAGAAAAAATGTGTACTTGTGTATAGGAAATTAGTCTATATGTACAGGTCCCCTGTAATACAGGTTGCAATGAGAAACATTATTCAAGGGGAAAAAACAACTGATTTTTCTATACATGTGGTTAATAAAGAAGGTTCCCTGGTAAGATATTTTACATTGTCCTCGACATTGAGGTGCAGTATTCATTACTTTCCTTTTGATTTACAGCTATACAAGCCTAATCTTAATTCAAATATGGAAAAAGAGAAAGAGAGAGAGAGAGAGGGGAGAGATGGAGAGAGAAAGAGAAAGGCAGACACAGAGACAGAGACAAAGAGAGAGAGAGAGAGAGCAGAGAGAGACGGGTGAACTCTGTTCTCATTCAGGCTGCAGATGGAGTCAAGTTGAACTCCTAAACATGCTCTCACCTCTGAAATGTTACGTGGAACTTCAATTCTCATTTGAATATGTTCATATATCATCCTTTTGAAATTATATTTTTTGACTACCGGTAATCCTAAACTATTATAAAGAATGGTTTGGAAAATCTTGCACTGACTGGAAGAATGGAAGGGGAGGAGGAGTAGGGGTAGAAGGGGGATTCAGTGTATGAATAGCTCAAGGAGTGGGATTTCTGAAAGTGGAATTGATCTCGGGGAGAATGAATTACTTCATAGAATATGGGACAGAGAGTTGTGGCATTCCATGGTCGCCAACGTCTCAGGACATGGCACGTAAAGAAGAAGAAGAAGAAGAAGAGGGAGAAGGAGAAGGAGAAGGAGAAGGAGAAGGAGAAGGAGAAGAAGGAGGAGGAGGAGAAGAAGGAGGAGGAGAAGAAGAAGGAGGAGGAGAAGAAGGAGGAGGAGGAGAAGGAGAAGGAGAAGGAGGAGAAGAAGGAGGAGGAGGAGAAGAAGAAGGAGGAGAAGGAGAAGGAGAAGGAGAAGGAGAAGAAGGAGGAGGAGGAGAAGAAGGAGGAGGAGGAGAAGCAGAAGGAGAAGTAGGAGGAGGAGAAGGAGGAGGAGGAGAATGAGAAGGAGAAGGAGAAGGAGAAGGAACAGGAGAAGGAGAGGGGAAGGAGAAGGAGAAGGAGAAGGAGAAGGAGAAGGAGGAGAAGCGAAGGAGGAGGAGGAGGAGGAGAAGGAGAAGGAGAAGGAGAAGAAGAAGAAGGAGGAGGAGGAAAAGAAGAAGAAGAAGAATCCTAAACCCATCTCACCTATGAGGACTCCGTTCTCATCCCTCTTGACGCCCATGTGGGTCTCCTCCTGCCTCCAGATGTCCACCAGGAGACTGGCGATGGTGCGTTCCTTCTTGCCCTTCCAGGCCATGAGGTGGGGTACGGTCTTAGGGTTCTCACACAAGTCCGTTAGGCAGCCCAGCGACAGGTTGTGGGTGTTACGAGTAGAGGACTGTCAGGAAAAGGAATTGGAGATGGCAGTGATGATAAAAAGAATAAAAGTACAACTACAGAAATGTGCTGATAATGTGCACATTGCAGGTGTCCATACAGAAATCTAGAAGTAACATTTGTTTGATTTGATTTGATTTGATTTGATTTGACATAGTTTATTGATTTAATAATATCTTCACAGTCATAAATACTGAATTGAGATTTATATTTTTTAAACAAAAACTGAGATTTAAAAAAAAAAAACATACATATAAGTAGTAAATGGAATCAAACACCATAGGTCAACTTCACAAAAATGGACACAGTGTTTGCAAAAATTTTGCTCTTTGTGTTCAAGTATTGTGAGAGAGCACTGTGGTGTATTATCAAACACTCTTGATTCTCATACATGAAGTCCTGGGACTCGTTTTACAAATCCTTTTTTCAATGACAAATGACAAAAATCAGTGACAAATCTGCTAATTACCAATCAGAAGCAAGGATTTCACTAGCTTATAACTGTCATTTGTCACTGATGACAAGTTTTATGAAATGGGGCCCTGGTTTAGGAATTTTTTTGGGAAACCACAAACTTGTGTCTTGAGAGGGCAGAATAATTTGCGGACGAGTACCTCTAATAGATCGATAAGCAGGAACACGCCCTGGCCTTCTAGGAACTGGTCCTCGTTGATGTAGGCCCCGATCACACAGCACCAGATGTTATCTACAGCTGCTAGCATGAGACGATGGTGTCCCAAGCCTCGGTTCAGCTTCTTGGCGTCTGTCCTGAGGTATCGAAGCACCACCTCCACACCCTTCTCACCATACAGCTCCTATAGAGGACAGAGAAAATGGCCAGTGAAGAGGCAAGACATTTCAAGAAATACACATAGTTGCATACCTGCCAACTTCTCACAGCAAGAGTCAGTGAAGAGGCGCCAGTGAAGCGTAAGAAAAGGGACAAGAACTTTCAAGAAGTGAAAAGGCAAGAAACACAGATTGGTATACCTGCCAACTTCTTATGGCAAAAATTAGGAATCTCTCAAGACATATTTAAGAATACAGTTATATCATACAGTTTTTTTAAACCGAAATTTCCCAAAGAAAGGATCTAGGGGTGTAACATTAGTTTGTGGGCCAATATATAGGAATCCTCCCAAATAGGAATGGTTGGCAGCTATGTATTGCACTGTCTTCAAGAGTACACATACACATGAATTATGTGAAGATAAATTTTATTGCAAAATTGGACACTTCCTGGAGTGTTTTGCTTCTAATGGCTCATTTTCTCTCTAATTCTTTTTACCGTGCCCTGAAACAAAAGAGTGCCACAATGTATAGTCTGTTGGGAGCCAGAAGGACGTTAATTCTACACTGAATAAAACATGGGTATGTTCACAACATTCTGGCAAACATGGGTATGTTCACAACATTCTGGCAAACATGGGTATGTTCACAACATTCTGGCAAACATGGGTATGTTCACAACATTCTGGCAAACATGGGTATGTTCACAACATTCTGGCAAACATGGGTATGTTCACAACATTCTGGCAAACATGGGTATGTTTACAACATTCTGGCAAACATGGGTATGTTTACAACATTCTGGCAAACATGGGTATGTTCACAACATTCTGGCAAACATGGGTATGTTCACAACATTCTGGCAAACATGGGTATGTTTACAACATTCTGGCAAACATGGGTATGTTCACAACATTCTGGCAAACATGGGTATGTTCACAACATTCTGGCAAACATGGGTATGTTCACAACATTCTGGCAAACATGGGTATGTTTACAACATTCTGGCAAACATGGGTATGTTCACAACATTCTGGCACTCAACAGATGACAATCATTTTCTTAACTGTTACAAGCAATAGGCTTTATCTCCTCTACTTCTTAATCATTTAAGTGCAAAACAAGAGGGAAAAAAATGTAAGGCGCATACAGAATTCTACAAATTATTATATGCTCTATGACTACTTGCCATTGTTATTATCATCAAGAAAAACAAATAACAAATTTTATAATTTAATAAATAAACTACTGCTGGGTATGCAACGACGTGACTGAAAGGGATAGCTCAGAATAGACTTACCTTTCTATGTATGTTTGATTCACATAATACTGAGAGAATGAAGAGCATGTCACACTGCATCTCGACGTCAATAGCATCGTCTTCTATGCTGGACCTTGTAGCGCTTAACAGGATATCTAGACAGGAAGAGGAGAGAAAGTCATATTAATAACTTTCGAGGATGTAGAGGATTCTTATTGGGTATGTCTCCATCAGCTTGAAACTCAAGCTCCAGAAATTAGCTAGAGATATTTTGCTCAGCGTTCATGCATGGTGTGAGTCTTCGGGGCTGGTGAAGACGCACCGGACAAATAGCTGGATATTTAGCAAGCTAGCCCAAATATCCCGCTAATTGCAACTGCGGGCTGCATGAAGACGCAAAATAGCTCAATAATTTGCGATCAAGATAGATAAAATTGCGGGTTATTTGGCAACCTCGAGCTAATGAAAACAGGCCTATATAAGAGCCTGAAGGCAATAACACGCAACATTTTAAAAACACCCTTCTGATTCTCAAAAAATAAATATGCCGCATATCTTATAATGCTGCTAACATACAATATGTAAAAGGTGTAGGCTATATTTACACTGACTTTCAGGGCTGGTAGCACTCAATGGGGGCTGTTTCATAGGTTCATCCATGATCATTGCGAGGAGGGGAATGGGTTCTGAGGACGTGAAAACCCTCCTATTTCAAAGTTTCTACAATTTTAGAACGTTGTTGGCAAATTTGAACATTCATTACTTTTATCATTTCTTTTGAAATCTGGTCAACAACCCTCCCCATCCCCCCCCCCCCCCCCTCCAAATATAAATGGGTATACAGATACCCCTAGGTTCAACACTCATGATCCGACACATTTCATAGACACTGTTTTTTAACGTTTGGTGTCTCTTTTGCCTGGTGAGGGAAAAGCGAGCTGCATCACTGTAACTCTTGGGTCTCTCCTCCAGGGGGGTGTTTCACAAAGATCCTAAGTAGAACTTAACACTAAGTTGGACTTAAAAATTATGGACAGCCATTGGAGTCTTGAAATTAAATGTATTCAAAAGCAGATATTTAAGTATTTTAGACTTTTTATAAATTCCACATCCAGAACATGAAATCTCCTTGAGGATAGAAAATATGAATGATTTGAATCAACATTTTATGCCTTTCAAAATAACTTTTACAAAATATTTTCAAAGATGCTAATGGCTTTCCATAATTTTTAAGTCCAACTTAGAGATAAGTTCAACTTTAGATCTTTGTGAAACACCCCCCTGGTATAACTGATTGGGATGTGCAGGAGAACCACTACATGATAGTTTACCCTCTACTCTTTCGCAAAGAGTGCAGTGGGTTCTAAACATACAAAGCTGGTGAAACTCCTCCAGATGGGACCTCCTTTTAACGTCCTATCTGAGAGACAGCTATAGGACATTAAATGGAGGCCAAAGGTCACTCATCTGGTGGTGAAAATTCTCCAAAATGTGACCTTGAGCATTTAACGTCCTATCTGAGAGACTGCTAGGACATTTAATGGAGACCTGGGGGTGTTTCACAAAGATCCTAAGTTGAACTTATCTCTAAGTTGGACTTAACAATTTTGGAAAGCCGTTAGCATCTATGAAAATATTTTGTAAAAGTTATTTTAAAAGGCGTAAAATGTTGATTCAAATCATTCATTTTTTCTATTATCATAGAGATTTCATATTTTTGATGTGGAGTTTATAAAAAATCTAAAATAGTTGAATTTTGACTTTTGAATATATTTTATTTTAGGGCTACAAATGGCTCTCCATAATTTTTAAGTCCAACTTAGAGTTAAGCTCGACTTAGGATCTTTGTGAAACACCCCCCGAGGTCACTCAGCTCACCTAGTAACTGGTTGATGGCTCCCTGGTCGACAAGGTCCTGGTTGACCTCACTGTCGTTGAGAGAAACCACGCTCCTCATGAGATGGAGGCAGTACCTCATCTGAGCTCGCTTGTTACCGCGTCCTCCTTTACCGTGGAAGGCGTTCCCGTGGCCAGCAAAGTCATCTGAAGAAAACAAGATAAGAAAATTGAAAGTAAAAGTCGATGATAGGAAGCTAAACTCTAATGTTGAATACAAGTATCCCCACATTTTATATACTATAATTTTTTTAATTCATATAGCAGAAAATGAGGAAGTTGCATATACCAGGTATATCAAAAGAAAACATCACTTTATATAGAGGGGGATCTTGTGTTTTCTTGACAGGTCATGTAGTCTTGAATGCATAGTGGTGTTATGGTGCATAGGGCAGACAATACTTACATACTCCAAAGTACTCTCTACTGAAATACATTGAATATATACAAGGTGTATCATAAAAACCTTACCTTTTCCAACACACCATTCCAGCAGGAGAAGTAACCTTGTATTTCCTTGACATGTCATGTAGTCCTGGATACAGAGTGGCGCTAGGGTGCACAGGGCAGACATGGCATGGAGCTGGGTCTCTTCAAACTGGGCGGGGCTCCACTCCTGCGGCTGGCTGGAGTTCTCATTGTTCTTGATGAACGACAGTAGAGCTAGGATCACATGACCCTCGCTAAGGAGCTGATTCAAAGAAAAACAGAAGTTTAAAAAATGTACAGAGCAATTTTATGAGGCCTCTAGAATTATTTTCCTTGCAAATTGTTTGTTATCAAATAAATGTCAAGTAAAATTAGTTAACAGTAACAGTTTTTTCCACCAGATTTTCCCACCTCTATACCATGGTAAGCGCTGTGAAACCAATTGTGTTAGAGTGCTATATTAATTCACATATCATTATTATCATCCTAACTGCAATATCTAAAACATTGTTTTCAACAAAGTATAGAACTCCTTCTGTCGAGAGAAAAAAAAATCAAGTTTCATATTATCAAGAATTGGGCAAGCAAGTAAAAAAAATACACTTACTATAATATTATCAAAAGAAGGATATAATACATAATCAAATTTACTGTTGAAAAAATGAGGAAGAGCATCCATTTGAACGATCCAGTATTGAGAGGACCTTTCCTTTTTATTGCACAAAAATGCATCCTCACCTATTTCTGGTTACATGGGCCCTGCCTAGGAAGAGTTGCAAATTAACTCGAATCAATTCTTCCTATCGATCACAAAATTACAATCACCTTTTTTTATCTCTTTTGCAAATTTAGCCCTATCGACCTAAAAATTACAATCTCCTCTATTTATCCGTTTTGCAAATTAAGCCCTATATCGATCACAAAATTACAATCACCTTTATTTATCTCTTTTGAAAATTAAGCCCTGCCATTGATATTGATCTAAAGTAAAGTTGAGATAGATTTGAATCAATCACTGCTCTTTACACTTTGGGGCCCCAGGATATAGGAAGGGGACAGGAGGAATATGGTTCCATCTTGCCTATATACTTACCGGAATGACCGCAGGTTCTTTGCTGAGGACAACCAATACATTGATCAGCATCTTCTTCAGCTCAAAATCTTCAGGGCTCTACATCAAGCAATTACAGAATAGAAAGAAAAAAACATAATTTTACAAAAAGTTGTAATTAAAGATGGCTTAAACCAGATCAATACAAGGTGGTATTCTTATTTGATACATTTATTTAGGCCTCAGTTTGCAACAGCAGTATTGAAAAGATTAATGAGAGAAATTTCCAAGTTATTATACATTCTAATTTTCATTATTCTCTGCAAAATTAGTTCTAAAAAATATACACTCAATTTTAACCCTTTTTTTTCCCTTAAAAAGACAAATGTATTTTAATAAAATAACAACTAGAGGTAAATGACCATATAGAACAACTAAATTAGTCATCTCTATATAAGATTACAAACATGTATGTTACAACACTGCAGACTAGAAATAGCCCACATTTTTTTTAATTGAATTTTGGAGCATCCACTATTTGTATTTAATCCTGAGAATGTACTTACGGTTCCTAATTTCAGGTATTTGACCAGGGCATTGTGACTTCTAACTTCTTGGAATGTGGCAAAGAGGATCAGGACTTTTGCGTAACCGGTTTCCTAGAGGATGAGGGTGGGGGGGGGGGGGAGGGAAGAGAAAGGAGATCAATTTTGTAAAGATTAGCAAATATGAAAACAGCTCTGCTTTCCGTCATGTCATAACTATAGTATTTTTTTAAAGCCGATTGAAAATAAAAGATGATGATAATGCTGGTTGTAAATTTACATTTTGCAATTTCTATACAATACCAATGAGAAAGGGACAAATTGTCAATGATCTTGATGTGACAAACTAATAAGAGGAAGGAGATGAATTTTGTGAAGATCAGCAAATATAAACCAGTTCTGCTATCCTTCATGACATTGAAAGCCAATTGAAAATGACGATTATAATAATGCTGGTTGTGAATTTACATTTTGCAAATTCTATACAGTACCAATTAGAATTAAGCTTTTCAATAATTTCTATACTATGTAATGTCTAGATTCATACAAGTTGTGAAAATTCCTTCATAAAATTACTATTGCAGTAGATTATCTTTCCTTCGTTAACATGTTTTATTTAAAAAGAACCATTAATGTACATTGACTGCAACTTATCATTATTCTCTGTGATTTTGAATACAAAAGATTATTTTTTGAGAAGTTTACAAGAGGGAATACTTACAATGAAAGGTGCCTCAGGATTATTAGCTACTGCTAGCGTTGTTAGCACGAGAAGGTCATTCCTGTATAATGGAAAAAATTAATAAGATATATTGCAGAGCTTAGATTTTATGACCTAAACATTTAATGGATTGAAAAATGTCTCAGTATAGTCAATAAGTAATTCAGAACTAAGCCCATCAAATGGAGAAAAAATATGCAACATATATATACAAATACTCCGGCCAAAACTTAGAATTATACATTATCTTCATTAGAAGAATGCCCCCCCCCCCCCCCAAAAAAAGGTGCCCTATTCACATCTAAGATTTGAAAAAACAAAAAACATTTGACTACCGGGTATATAAAAACTTACTCTCTCTGTCTTGCTCTCGTGCTCTCTCTCTCTCTCTCTCTCTCTCTCTCTCTCTCTCTTGTTTTGAATAATGTTTGCCTTGCAGAGATTTTAAAGAATTGTATCCCCCCTCATCCCATAGTGTAAAAAATAATTGTTATATTTGCTGGAGCTCTTTTAGGATTTAGGAAAGTGCAATTTTCTCACGGTAATAATAAAGTATTTTTTTTCTTTGATTTATCAGAGCACCCTCGGAAATTTTGACAGCTAAATTGTTCATAGCTCCTGTGTTTTTTTCCCGCTGCCCCCTGCCCCCCCCCCCCCCCCCCCCCCCCTCACAACAAATCATGGATCAATTTCAGTATTGTTGTATATTAAATCATGCCTCACCTCAACTGCCTATCATAATGACTGTAGCCATTTGTCATCTGTTGGGTGAAAGCGTCTTTCAATGCCCTGCAACAACAACAACAAAATGAATACAATTAGTAGATTGCAAAACTTATCATGAGATTCACTCTGAACTTTACATTAAAAAATAATATTTGGACTTAATTATTAAAAAAATTGTAAAATTTGTGCATAATTCTTTTTTGAACTGAAGGTTAAGTTTTCAGGATTACACCATGTAATAAATTTTACCTACAATTTTAAATTATCACTGATATTTCACTTTTGATTTGAGTCACTTTTCTAATGTTATCATTATCTTTCACAAAAATCCTTGTATGTTTGACATCTTGAATGAATGAAAAACATTTCTTATATACAAAACATTGTGATATTTGTCATCCATAAAAGCAAAGAAATAAGCATAAACTCAAAGGTACCAAACTGAAAATAAGTGCCTCATAAAAATATACATACATTCATTGCATTCCACTGCAACAACAACAAAATTGCCACTCAATTTCAAGTTCAAAACTATAAATCAAATCAACAGACATTCCTAAATTGATCCGTTGTTAGTGATTTTTTTTTGGTCTTTATTTCATTTGTTTTGATTTGTTTGTTTCGTTTTGATTTGCTTGTTTTGTTTTGATTGGTTTTGTTTTATACTGTATTCTTGCGGTTGCACCATTGTTTTATTTTGTTTTGTTTTGATTTGTATTGGTTTGCTTGTTTTGATTTGATTTGTTTGTTTTGTTTTTATTTGTTTGTTTGTTTTGATCACTTTGTTTTGTTGACTGTTCAGGAATCCTACTCACTCTACACAGATAAATGAGTTGAGCTGTCTGGCCATCTCTTCCCGGTCTCCATTCTCCATCAGATTCCACAAGATCTCAATGGAGTGGAACAATAACCTAGAAAGCAGTGAAGAAATATGTGAGAGTAGTGAGCAAGATGAAAAGAGATCTGGAAAAATAAAATTACATTAATAACTTCTTTTTTCTTTTTTTTTAAACACATAGGATTCAATGTATTCAATGTATTCAATGTAGGATTGCCGTGGCCGAGTGGTTTGAGGCGCTTGACTGGAGATGTGAAGGTCGAGGATTCAAATCCTGACACAGCACTTATATCCAGGTAGTGTTAAATGGGTACCTAGTAGGATTTTTAGCGTCAAGTAACACCTGGCTGGGTGCTCCCCGGGGAATGGAGGTTGTGCAAAGTGTGTGCGGACAACTATTGAATGCAATGACCGGGGTAATAGTATATCTGTAAAGTGCTTAGAGACATTTGTATTAAGCGCTATATAAAAGCGGAATATTATTATTATTTATTCTATTTCTAAATCTCATTGTTACAATTGCAAAATCCAAAAAGATCACCTGTAAACAAAGTATTATCTACACAGCAAACTTGTCAATCAAGAAATACCCCCTCGTCTCTTGGAGAGTCTTCAGGAGATGTAAACTTCCGATAATGACTTTACCATATGGGGAAAAAACGGGAGCATTACATAAAGCCTGTTGGTCATGAAACTGACGGCTTACCCTGGTGATTGACATCCCCTGTTATTGGGTAAACACCTGAACGGAACGGTGTCAAATTCCCCATAAGAGCCAACTTCTACAGTATGTGTTGAGTAGTCACCGAAGTAAATTCATGACAACTCATAATATGGACAAATTATATACGGATGGAAAGATTTTCTCTTGAAAAACATGAATAATTTGCTGAAAAATCATATAGATATCATGGAAAGGCGTAAAATGCAATTGTGTGGCTAGCTGTGTCCCATATCTGACGTCATCTTGACGCTCTACGGAGGACCACTAAAGGCAGAAAATCTGGATCTCAAAATTAACATTTTTGAGAGATGATTACTGCAGGCCCCAAATATATTTTGAAGAGGGAAGTTGTTATATTTGATCAGTAAGGCTTCCCCTTCGCAATGATATGAATTTTGCATATTTAAAAACACTTTTGATTCTTCGGGTGACTACTTTAAAAGTAGAGCATGAAAGGAGCTTCAAGAAGCCAACTTACTTGCCGCTGGGGTCCGGGTCATTCATCCTGCTGCATATGCGACTTGCTGCATCGGCTGAAAGCATAGAGTTACAGTTGATAGGGGAGAAGGAAGAGAAGTGCTGCAGGATGATCATCAGCCGCAGTTTGACCTCCAGGTCATTCTCAAGTAAGGTCAAACTCTGGAGGTGAAGAATGTAAAGGAAGGTATAAGTAATATGTAGCAATTACTAACAATTGACAATAATATCACTTTTTATTGCGAACAGATTGACCATCGTTTGATGCCTATATATGACTGAAGAATTTCCTTTACATGCGATAATCATTGACTGAAATCACATGTCAATTTTTTGTTTCTTTTCTCTTCATCCATTTATGCTTTGATAAGCAACAATGAGTTATTAAATTTGGACATACACTGTACACGTAACAAATATTTACTACAATTTGAAGCAGTTGATAATCTCTTTGTTGTTCTTAAAAATAAGAAAGTTATGAATTGTTGAAGTTGTCATCAGTAAAATACGAATTGGCAACACTGTGACGTATCTTGCGAGTACAGGGCAAATGAGAGGGGAGCTCGCAAGATACATCACAGAGTTGCCAATTTGTGTTTTATTGATCGCACTTTCAAAATTGCTTTCATTCTTATTTTTAATCGGTTTTGGCTCAAACTTTCACTGACCCGTTTCTCTCATTTTTCTGCTTCTATTGAAACCAACTTGAGTTCAGGGTGGACTGAATTCCCCTTTAAGGTTTAGTTTTTTCTCTATCTAGAAGGTAAAGACTGATTTTTTTACAGAATAACATTTAAGAAGACAGTATGTGATCGCTCTATAAGTTTACACTATTATTATTATTATTATTATTATTATTATTTATACCTTCACTAGTGTTTCCGCAATGTCACTCCTCTCCACCATGGCTGCATTATAGGCCCTTGTGGTAGGCTGATGGTCTTGGACGAGCAGACCCTTTGTGTTATTGGTGTAGATGGCCTCCAGTGTATTGGCAAGCTGGATGCGCACTTCTCTGCTGGGTACTCTCATCAAATAGCCTGGCAAAGAGACAAGGCAATATATGTAAATGAGAATGTAATGTTGTGTAGCACATACGAAATACATTATATAATCAATCTCTTTCTCTCTCTTTCTCTCTCTCTCTCTCTCTCTCTCTCTCTCTCTCTTTCTCTCTTTCTCTCCCTTTCTTTCTCAGACACAATATAATGCAAACACATCTACCTCAATTCTATTCCTTATTATAAAGTTTTCTTCCACTTCTCTGCCTCTTCTCTATCGCAATTTGGACTCGACAATCACATGAATATTAAATAGTCAAACCTGAATTAGCACACATTTGTATAAAAAGACCACTTTCATATTAAAAATTTATCATTTTCCTTGAAAACCAAACAATATTACACAAAGCTTGCACAAAGGAATAATTAATTAGGTGATTATTCAAAAATGTTTTGAGATATGAAAATAAAATTTCACACATATATTTTATTGAGTTACTCTATTTACGTGATAGATTTCAAGATTTGTTGTGGCTTAATGGCCGAGATCGGGAGGGTATTATAGGAACTTGTATACAGTATTATGATGACCTGCTCGTAAAGACGTCCTTTTTGTCTCCCTTGAGCAGGTTTTATATGTCTTGTGGGGGGGGGGGGGGAGGTGTTTCACAAAGACCTTAAGTTGAGCTTATCTCTAAGTTGGACTCAACAATTATGGAAAGCTGTTCGCATCTTTGAAAATATATTGTAAAAGTTATTTTATAAGGCATAAAATGATGATTCAAATCATTCATATTTTCTAACATCAAGGAGATTTCATGTTCGAGATGTGGACTATCTACAATACTTGAATTTTTGCTTTTGAATATATTTTATTTTAGGGCTATAAATGGCTCTCCATAATGTTCAAGTCCAACTTAGAGTTAAATTCGACTTAGGATCTTTGTGAAACACCCCCAGGTTTGAATGTACTACACTTACCCAATTGAGAGAATGATTCAATGACAATCTGGGAGTAGGTGGTTTCATCGGATGACTTTTCCCGCAGGAAAGGCAAGCTACAAAGTTTCAGCATCTCAATCATGGGCTTGATGTACATGGGCTGCTCGTGACTCCTGTCAGCACACACATTGAGGATTTTGAACACCTGCACCAAGTCTTTGAGGAGCTGGAGCGAGGAATCCTCGGTCAAGGAAAGTACTTACTCAATAAAACTATTAATACAACAAGAGGGTTCTATATGCTTGACTTACATGTATTTTCCCTCTAGCACCTCACACAATTACTCATAACAGTGAAATATTAACAAAAACAACCAAGTTTTACCCGTGTCTATGGTGGTTTATTGGATCGTCCATTCACGAACTCATTCATGAATAACAACATTTAAGGTTTGTAACACAATAAAAATGCAATAAAAGTTGAGAAAAGAAAACAAAATATGGTTTCCTACTACTCGTATGTTTGAAATATTTTAAATCGATTAAAAGAGACTAGTCTACATGCACCCTTCTCATCCTATACAACTAACATAATGCAGTTTAGATTGAGCTTAACAATTAAAGACATTTAAAGATTGCAGAGGTATATAGCTAGAGCCACTCCTTGTGTACAATCCTACTATTCTCCCAAGATTTTTTAATAGGACTTACTTTTTTTTAATTTAGAGGCTATACATAGTGTAAGACATTGTTGAGTACTGATTCTTGTTTTTTTTAAGTATCGATTGTAATGGTAAATTCATTTTTTGTTTTGTTACAGTGTACGTTTTCTAAACTGATTTTTACCAAAATACTTTGATTAGCTGTTTAAGGAGTTAGGCTCGACTAGCACATGTGCTATTATCTGGCCCCTTTTTACCAACCAATAGTTTCTCTTCTTGTATCTAAATTATTGTATGTATGAAATGTATTGCTGTTGGTAAATAAATCAAATCAAAGTATGGAAAGTGTTCATAATAGAAAGTACTAGAAACCAGACATTATTGATTGGAATGATTTTCATTAGCGAATTTTTTTTTAAAATTATCGGTAGCATTTTAGAAAGGATACAAATCCAGCACTGTAGTGTCTGATGAGTCTCTGCAGAGCATGGTTGTGTCTTTCATAGAGAGCCACCTGAAAGAAAAATCAAAGGATATAAATGATAGTCACAATTCTGGACAACACTACATGTAAATTGGAGACAACATGATTTGTTCATCTGTGTTTACTTACAGTATGTGTATCTGTAGAGTAGTGCTTATTCTTTATCAATTTAGAATGGATGTTTCTTCCACATGAAGGTAACAAAATCAAATTTTCCAGGAGAGATTGAAATTCACCCGTTTGCCCAGCATGTTGGCACCTTTTGTCAGGCAAAAAAAATAGTTCTTGCAAGTGTTATAACAAAATTGACAGAATGGTTTTAACACCTGACAGGGGATGCAGAGGTGTTGAGTTCAAGCTCTGTAAAAAGTCACTGATATCTCCTAACAAGACACTACACAAACATAAAAAATGAATTTGCCATTCTCTACCTAGGTGTAGAACCTGTTAAGAGATAAATTTCTCAAATGCTAGAACTTATAGTAATTGTCTTAAGGCCAGATAATGAGGCTCCAGGAATATTGTGTAAGACAGACATGAGTGGTGCAATGTGGAAAATCCTCGACTTCACCCCCATTCCTCCTTCTACTTTTTCTTTTTTTGAATACTTACCGAATGTGGATCTGTAAGGAGTTTGATGACTTTAACAAAGTTAACCTGCTGGATCTTGATTCCCTGTAGTTTGGAGTGAAAGTTAAGACAAGAAAAAGAACACAAAATGGGTTAAACAATTGTTAAATTTGGGCATCTTCAAGCAATTTTAAAGACTTTAACATACTGTACATGTAATTAATGGAGTTTGACAAGCTAAGAATCAAATTTGGTAACATATAGTCTACAAATTCATGTGCGAGTGCGTGTGCTCACAACAAACCATGTACACATGTACAGGTAGGTCTACATGTACTCCTTGAAAAACATATGATTATATAGTGCAGATATTTTTGAGAAATACTTGAATTTAATATTGTTTAATCATTGACTTAAGAGAATGGCAGAGAAAACCAAAAATATTTAAAAATAAAAGACACTACAAAAGGTAACATCTTTAGAGTTTAGTAAATTAAATTGCCTTTGGATTTTCACAATGGTATATTAGAGTCTAGACTCTACAAAATAGAGACAAATTAAATAAGAGGTCTGCTCTCTTGACAAGATCCAATTAAAAATTATATGAATGAAATAATCTAGATTTAGCCCAATTAAAGGTCATCAATTTAGAGTTATAAGAACTGAAGCCTTGATTCTTGAAGGAGTAAAAAAAAAAAAATTCTTGGTCCATTCAATTTGCCTATTCTATTTCTAGTACATTTTCACCTTTTTCAAGCCCATCTCTTCATCTGTGATCACATGTCCAACAACAGGCACAGGTGGTTTAGGTTGCAGTTGCGTTGCCATCTTTGTCGTCATCTTTTCAATGAATGTCTGAATTTGTTGATGTTAACTTTTCATTCAGGAAATTTGACAATATTGTTTGCTGTTACTTAGTGTAGACCTAGATTCTAGTGTTACTGTAGTGTTCCTGGATCAAGTCACAACTGTCATGTTCAGAAATAACCAGCACTTGCACTAGGCCTATTACAACGATCCCAATCTAGGCCTATTGTGCAAATTGTGCAATTCGTTTTCTGCAATTCAATTGAAAAGGGGCTTCAAACTTTGCCTTATTGCAGGTGAAAATACCAATCTATATACTATTCAGTTTCCAATCTTTTCACACAACACACTGTTCCAGATAAGACCGACGAAATTCAGAGCCTTGTCCTTCTCGAAAGGTTCTTGTTGTGTGCCAATGCATGCACAGTCCACATTCAGCTGCAGATCACGGGAAGCTTGCAGGGATTTACCGGCGCGCTGTCGGCCCAGGTAGTGCGGTTTTTCATACAGCTGCTCCGTCCAAAGCAGATTCTACCCGACCTAGAAATCCCTCTTACGGTCGTTATAAATTCTTCCTACTTACGACAAAGAATGTCCTGGTAAATAGAATATAATATTTCAAACAAAAGGTGATAGATCACACGCCAGTATAATTTGTTTAATATCCTTGCTTCTTCAAAATAGAGAAAAATCACTGGCGAAGCAACGCCATATTTACAGTTGCCACGATACCCCAAAGGATGCTGGGATATGATATTATTGGTAGTCTTTTTAAAAATCTTTATAAAATACATTTGAATGCAGATGATAGATGAATATTATCTTTTTAGTATCAAAATATTTAATAAATAATCTAAACTGATCATCAAATAATAATGTTTACATATTAAATTTAAATACGACGGAAAATGAGGACAAAACAAAATAAGATTACAATTCATATCTTTTATAATTCAATACACATTGAGCCATTTCTAGCGCCATTTCTGATCTGCTTAGTCTAAGATTTCAGTCTTCTTTTCCACTAGCAGGTCAAAAAGCGTCCGAATTCCTAGAAGGGGGGGGGGGGCACAAGTTAGTTTAACTCGTGGTTGTAGAAAATCTGTCATTATGGTATTATTTCTAAAGCTTATCTATTAACAAGCAAAGAAAAAAAAAGAACGATGGAATTCGTGAAATTTAAATTAGATAAATGCCATAAAATGAAATAAATACAAATAATGAGAGAAAAGTGAAAAGTACGTGGAAATACTTTTAAAAATTACAATTTATTTCAGATTGGGACAGTTTCTCATAAGTTATGATGGTGACGATGCCATTCCCTAAAGAAAATTGACTGGTTTGAGTTCAGCCCGCCCCCAGAAATTCGGATTTGACAGGCACACGCGCCTAGCTATGATCTTTTTATATTAATAATGACTCGAAAGACAAAGGAAGATATTTTTTAAACCAAAAACAATAGTGTGGTGGGATATGTGGGAGGGGCAGGGAGCAGAATGGATATGATTCATCATTCAATAGATGATTGGGAATTATTCAACTTTGGTCTGATTGTTGCCGTTTGTTTTGTTTCTATTTTAATATTTTTTTATTTTGTTTTGTTTTGATTTGCTTGGTATTATTATTATGATCATTATTTTTGCCTTGATTGGCGCGGTCAGACGTGGTTTGGTGTGGTTTTTGTTTTGTTTATGTTTCGACATTCCTTTATTTTTCTTTTTGTTTCCCTCTTTTTGTTTGTTACGCGAAGGAAGGGGCTGGATGGGTCCGCATATAATTATGGCAAAAAGTATGCCCGCTTGAAGTTTGACGGTGCTCAAATTTATGAAGAATGCACAAAATGTCCCTCAGTCTGTTTTCTTCCTAACTGAATTTCTTTCTGTTTACTAAGCCCGATCAAACATATTCTTCTCCTTCTTCCTCTCCTTCTCCTTCCCCCTTCTTGTTCCTCGTTTTATGGCCGGTCGGTGTTTTCTCCATAGGTTTTTATTCTCTTCTCTCATAAAGAAAATTGTACATAATTTATAACATTGTATACAAAATTACAAAATGGGTTTAAACAAATTTGCATTTGAACTTTTACATTTCCATACAAGGTTACAAATAAATGAAGTTCCACATTTACAGATGAAAAATATTCACATAAACAAAATTATACACATTTTAAACAAATCGCAAAATAAGTTTGTACGATTTCTTCAACCAGTTTGCATATAAATTTCAAATCGTTTCTTTTTTTTCTACAATATTTTTTTGTTTTTCTTAAAATTTCCTTCAGATAAATAATGAAGGGTTATGATAAACTTTAAAAAAAAGAAAGAGAACAACTACTACTTTCGCCCCACACAACACTTAAACACATAACAAGTACAACAGTACACACACAAACAAACAAAAGAAAAAGAAAAGAAGAAGAAGAGAGAGGGGGGGGGGGAAAGGGAAAAGCAAGGGTATAGTGAAGAGAGGAGGGTCTAGAAGTTGAATACAGAGAAAAATTAAAAACACTAAACATTAATTATTCTAAGTCTTCCCAAAATTGAAAAGGTTTCCCCCGATGGCGTTATTTTTTTCTGCGGCACAGATTGGGGTTAGGTGCGTGTTGAGCCTATGGGAAAGTTTAGGGTTAGGGTTAGGGTTAAATCAAGACCTCTTCTTTTTTTTTTTAAAGCCCTAATCTGTGCCGCAGAAGAAAATAACGCCCCCGATGATGCGCCCCGATATCCCGGTCTGGTTGATAGACTACCGAACAGATGATGACCGAATGGATGAGTGATGTATAAAAGAGGAATGTCTGCGGTATATCGCAGCGTTAGGTAACAGTGATTTATTAGCCGATACGTTCATATTCTCCTAATGTTCAACATCACCCAGACATATTAATAGTGTACGTTCTTCAACTGTTCCAGCTAGAAACAGACGTTCCAACAAGGCGGAATCGAAGCTGGAAGTCTTGAAATCTCCATCTGGCTTGAGCCTTGCATTTGCACGGGCACGGAAGGGCTCCCGCGCCGCTCCCGCAAGGTTGGGCGCTCAGTCCAGTCAGTGCTACGTTGCCTGTTGGTAGAACTCTGTGTCATGATTGTCGCTGACCAGTCAACTGATCTGATTAGGCATGTAAGGTATGTTCAATAAGATTTCATTCCTACCCTATGTTCTGTTGTTGTTGTTGTCGTCGTTGGTTTATAAAATAGGATTAGTGGCAACCATCCGATTTTTAATGCAAAATATTGAAGTTTGTTAGTCATAAAATTGAAGGAGAGTCACCACCCTTGCCTTGCATGTTAAGAACCCGTTGCACTATTCGTATAAGACTAAGAGTAGGGGGAAACCCCGGCCCGGTGTAATGGTCCACCTGCATATCCCAACCAGGCCGAGTATACGGCATCTGCAAGAATCTTCAGTATTGAAGGAGGCAGATTATCTTGAATTTTTTATTTTTTTAAATCTCTGAAAAAGATAACTTTAGCAGTATGTTTTTTCATTAAAATTCTTTTTTTTTTAAAGCAGGTAGCCTCAAAAAAGGAAGCAGGTGGGGACACTAAAACTAGACAGCAATAACCATCTGATTTGGGTCATTTCTTTAATAAAACTGACATTTGTTGTCATTCCCCAATACAGATGGCAACCCAGAGATCTCGTACCGTGGGGGTAGCTATAGCCAACAATGGCAGCTTTTTATGTCAAAACATTTTCTCCCCGATTTTCTTTATTTAGATCTAATTTTCTGATTTCTAAATCAGATGTAAATTAGGTCGGTATGTCATTTGTCCTAATTACAGTTATCAAAATTTGATAACTTAATATTAAATGTATAATTTATGGACTTACTTATATGAATTATCCAATTTGTATTTCCGAACTGTGAAACGGTACGTTCATGCATTCGAAATATTACCCGGCGACCGATATATTTCCGGGTCCACCTACCAAAACATAGCCAAATGGCCAATCAGAGCACTCGTTTCGTGGGAGTTCGTTGGTCAAGCTGGGCCGACTCGTACGTAGCTACGGTAGCTATTGGACGTTCGAAAAGAAAAAATGAATATTCATCAACTAAAACCAAGACGGATAATGTTGACGACGAGACTTTCTCGGATTAATCATTAATTTAGGATCTAAATGAGCAAGCTATCGTAAGTCAAATAAACTATATATATGTTATTTTTAATTAGACTCTAAATTATTGTCATATTGCAGCATGTATGAGGATGTAAAGAGTGAAAATCTCGTTGCATATCTCATTCATCGCGGTCCGGTCGAACCGAACCATTTGTTCCGTACAGTGCCTCACTGAAAGAGGTCCCCAGACTTCAGTCTCTATAATCGGAGGTCTAGTGGAGCCAGACGTAGTCTCAGTGGAACAACCGACGATTAGAGAGACTGAAGCTTTCGGTCTACACTAAAACATGATTTTAAAAAAAATAAATTTCCCTTTAAGAGAAGGGTGAGTTATTGGAAGAGGTGAAAAACAATTTGCGACCATTGTCAACATTGTTATTGCAAACTTGTGTGGAAGAACATCAGATGAAACATGTTCCCTGAAAAGCATGGCTCTTCAAATTCCTTCATATTCTAAATATGGCATGCGCATGTAACATCATGTAACATCATGAAAATCAGGATGGATTTTTATGCCACATGGTCGTGTAGTATATACATCTTTCTGTGTGCAGTGCTTAATACTTTACCAAGACTGGGCCAGGGGAGTGTTTCACAAAGACTGAGATCGACTTTAAGTTGGACTTAACAATGGCAATTTACTGGCATTTGTCTCTCAAGGGACAAACAAATCATGGTCACAAATCTACAGAATTTACCTTTTTGATAGTTCATTATTGAAGGAAAAATATTATCTAAAGATCATAATTGAAAGACCAATGGTGAGAGCAACCAGTGGCATGAGCGGCCTGCCATAGTTAAGTCCAACTTAAAGTTGATCTTAGTCTTTGTGAAACACCTCCCTGATTTCTTATCATGTTGATGATTCCAGAACCTTGTACATGTAGTACTTATACGCTAGATGATCAACCTTCTCTGATCGATTCCACACCATTTCTTTCACAATGCATTTGCATGACCAGCACTCAACTTTTAAGACACTATGTCCCTTTTGCAGCCAACATCAAATTCTGTAGAACTTTGCACTTTTATTGCAGGAATTATGAATATGTCATTTATGTCCCATCTGTGAAATATGAATATTAGCAGTGTCCTAGTCAAATTGTACAAGGAAACCTGTTAACCTTCTAGACCTCACTGTCATGACAGAGTCGGACACTATTGAGTGACTGACTGACATCTTTTTTTCTTTGGTAATACTAATAACATACCGGTATATAAAAATGAACTGTAACAGGTACATGAGCAATTTTGTCTACATGTACCCTGTATGTCAATAACCCATTACTTGTAATGTCGAAAATTAATCTGATTGAATGATTTGAATCTTTGTGCAGCACAAAATGTACATACGACCATTCAGAAAAAGGGTCTGAAAATCAGACTATTACTTAGTTTTCCGGATCAAAAGATAATGCAAAAGTTTCACTAAATGGGTTATTAACTATTTGTAAGATGAATTGTGACACTTCTGTAACTAGTCACAAAGATAACATTCATTTATCAGGTGTTTTTGCTAGCAAGTTGCAAAGTCTTTGATACATGTATGTAAGTCTAGAAAACTTAGATTGTATTTTGCAATGCAATCAACAATCCACTAAAAAAGAAAATATACACAAAAAAAGTGCCTGGACGATTGTAAGAAATATTGACCTGGGATGACCTTGATCTATAGTACCAGTCAGTAATTTGAGGTGTCTGGTACAAAATTGTGATCCATTGATCCAAATGTGTTCTGTTGGGTCAAAACGGGTGTGGAGAGATCATACATGTACATGTAGTTAATTATTGACACTTTCAAGTGTTAGCATTTAGCACAAGTTTATTTCTTTTCTTTTCATTCATTGAATTGAAGATTATGAAATTTGTAATCTTGTGACAGGCACTGATTTATGCTTGCATAACTTCATAAGTTCATATAAACACTTTAAACTGTTGTTGTAATCTGAATTCATTAATAATCGTTCAAAGTACGCACCAGCTTATCTACATGTATTTTCATTGAAGTGGCTACGCAAGGCCAGTTATTGAGTGTCACCTCCACTGTGCATGGTCAAACATGCGGGGAGGAACTGGTTGCATAACTTTTGCCCCGTTCAGATAATGGTTAACTAAAGATTACATGCATGAATGGGGTTGAGCTACAGTGTAGCTTAGTATTCAGGCTGGATAAGTTTTCCCTATCTGAGCAAAAGCATGTTCAATGAGTGTGGGCTTCAAGACTACCCATTTGATGCTTTTATTTGTATGAAGAGGAAAGTGAAGTAGTCTTTACTCTACCAAGAATCCAAACTTGGTTTAACTTTTTTTCAGATAAGAGTTTTACGGAATGAACTTCAGTGGAGTTGACCTTGAAGCTAAACTAGATTTGCTGATATATTTACACTGTAAAAGGAGATGTTACTCAGTCACTAGCTAGAGCAGTTTTGTTGCATAATTCTGGAAAGTCCTGTTTTTAAATGTCTGTCGTTTCGTCTAGGAAAGAAATCTGATCCTGTTTTGTTTTGGAAATAATTTTACTCCGTCCCAAATGCACCTTTGTGATACTCAAGACAGAATTATGTTGTTCCTCTCATGATTGCACTGTTTGCGGCAAGGATGTTCATGTAGGATATAATCTTATTGTCTCATATACTCCTACATGTACCATCACACAAGATTTTGTCAAGTGATCTTCCAAGGCAGGTAGACCTACGTATATGTGCTTTATATATAAATTGAACTGTTTCTAAAAAAAATATTTAATTGTGTTTTCTGCATACAACATGTACATGGATATGTATATACAGAAAACACCCCAATGATTGTTTGTTTGGGTTTCATAAAAGCATTAACAAAATTAGAGAAACAGATCAGTAAAAGTAGTTTTGAGCAAAATCTGATTTGAGAGGAAAAAAAGAAAGATATGAATAGTTGTAGTTGTATTTCATAATTGGCAACTCCCTAATACTTTTTTGTGTGTTCTCCTCTCATTTGCCACATACAAACAAAAAATAAATTTCAATTTACTTAGTTCCTGATGAAGGACTTTTTTCTTTTTAAACAGGGGTAGGAACATAATATGTGAAAAAATATCTCTAGGGAGCATCTATGGTTAAATGTTTTCTGTAGAAAATTTGAAGTTTACTGATAACTTTCATTACAGAGCAAATGGGAGATACATCAGAGAGTTGCCAGTTAATTGTTTGGTAAACTAAAAATGTAAAAAAAAACTTCCTTTTCTCCAAAATTCCATTAGTCTGTATCTCTATTTTTCTGTTTATATTGAAACCAACTTGATATCAGTACAGATTTTCCCTTTGTAATTGAGGTCATATATGTACAGGTGTATGTGACTACCACAAACTGAGATCCTGGTCTGGAGCATTAATTTACATTATGTTTTTATCAGACAATGATAATGTAACTGCTATACCACCGATCCTAAATATGAGACATACACCTGTATGGTTTAGGCAGGTGCAGGTATGCAGGTAGAGGAACTTCATAATTACAGTATGGCACTGAAATTATTTATTTCCTGTCACTTCTCCCTCTGTACATCTGTATGTTGAATAAAAATGACATTTGATTGGATTGTAATCAGTTTTACAGTGTAGTATGTTTAGGGGATAGATTGTGCATGCATGATAACTTCACGCTTTATATCAAGTGTTTACATACCGGTACACCTTGAATGCCCTTCATCATGTGTTTTAATTTTTTGTTTAAATCAACTTTGAAGGAGTTCAGCTCTGGAGTGAATGTGTGCGGCGCCTATAGTCTTAACGTCTTTTGTTGTAATTCTTATTGCTGCAGCTGTTGTTATTGTTGTTATTCTTATTGTTCTTCCTCTTCTCCTTCTTCCTCTTCTCCTTCTTCTTCTTCTCCTTTTTCTTCTTCTTCTTCTTCTTCTTCTTCTTCTTCTTCTTCTTCTTCTTCTTCTTCTTCTTCTTCTTCTTCTTCTTCTTTTCTTCTTTTTCTTTTTTTTTTTTTTCTTTTTCTTCCTCTTCCTCTTCCTCTTCCTCTTCCTCTTCCTCTTCCTCTTCCACTTCCTCTTCTCCTTTTTGTTTTTCTCCTTTTTCTTCTTCTTCTTTTTCTTCCTCTTCTTCTTTTTCTTCCTCTTCCTCTTCCTCTTCCTCTTCTTCTTCTTCTTCTTCTTCTTCTTCTTCTTCTTCTTCTTCGTCTTCTTCTCCTTCTCCTTCTTTTTCTTTTCTTCTTCTCATTCTTCTTCTTCCTCCTCTCTTCTTCTTGTTATTGATGTTGTTGATGATAGCAGAAGTTGTAGTACAATGATCATTATCATCATTATCATCATTTTATTTTTTTTGTACATACATGTACATGTATCTCTGTAGATATATATAATGGATAGTTTTCAAATGTAAACTACAGTAACCCGTTTCTGCTTTCCTATTTTTAGTTCTGGTTGAAAGCCAGGTTCTTGAGCTTCTCTTGCTCTTATCTACATTATTGATCAATAACACTTTCCTGCCTTGGCTTCTTGTTCTGTTATTTTGTTTAATTACTTTTATTTGGATGAGATTCAAGGTTTCAAATTAATTGGCAATATACATATACATATACTGTATCTCAAACATGCAGCTTTTACAGAATTTAGATTATTATTGACTATTGCTTCAATAAAAATGTAATGTATTATTGTATTGAGTACCGGTAGTATAAATATGTTATCTTTTTTTTTTGGGGGGGGGGGGGGGGTGGAGGGGGGGGGGGGGTAATAACCTACTGATTTCTTGTGGTTTACAAGTACATTTGCAAGCACGTTTTCTACGTTGACTACTATTATGGTTATTGCTGCATTTACTTGTTTGTCTAGAGATGATTATAATACAGCTGTAGTAAAGAAAGCATTTCTCTTTTTGTTTCAAATTGCAGTCACAAGCTCTGATGAACTCCAAGTACCTTTTAACTTCACGACCTTAATCAAACATGGCTGAAATACCAACAACCACATTCGTGTATGCTGATGATGCCAATACCAGTACAGGGACTCCAGCGACGCCCAACGGAACAGTCCTCGCCTTCCAGAACCTGATTCCAGCCCTCGTGCAATGCTTCACGATCATTTTATTTGGATACATCGCGGGACGGACGCGGATCGTTTGTCCCTCTCAGGCCAAGGGTCTCGGTCACTATGTCTCGTACTTCGCTCTGCCTGCCATGCTGTTCAAATCAATGGTGGAGCTTGATTTCAGTGAGGTGAGAAAATGGCAGATGAAGATTTAGACCAATTTCTGGCTAATAATTAATAGGTTTATTCCATGCATTGTTAATAGTTTAACATACTGTGTGTCTTTTATCCAATTATGTCATCCAAGAATAACAAAATCTCTTGATTTTATCACTGAATAGATGTAGTTATTGATAAAGAACCCTTAGTCAATGGGCAGTTTGAGAAATATTAATTTTCTGATGAAATAGAAAAGAAAAGACATTTCTTGTTTAAAAGTTGAATTAAATTATGCAGAGTATGTTTCTAATCCCTAAACTACTAGTAATTACTTTTCTTTATTTTGTCGATACACTTTTATATACATACATGTATAGTTAAGCCTCTTGGAAAATATTTATGTAAAACGATATATCTTACCATCATTTGATATTAAATACACTTTGATGTGTGAACCATATGATATTTATGGATATTCTTATAAAAGAAGTTTCCAGGGTTGCATTTATATGTGTACAGTGTACCATATGGTTTGAGGTCAAATAATCCTATACTTACAGTACATGTACATGTATATCAAGTTTCATCTAAAGGAAACCACAATGCACATGATATACTCGTTCAATCAACAATGAGTAGTCCCTTTCTAATATGACGGGTGGGCAGGAAACCTGCATACAGTACATTGCTGATGACATTGAAAATGTGCCAACTTGGTGTCACGTAACAAGATGATATTAAACAGTCGTAGCATGAATATTTTTGAGAAAGCCATAACATGATGTTGTGCCAAAGAAACAATCAAGATGTTTTGTGAAACGCAATGATAAACAATTTTTACAAATTACATATACCGGACTACCGGTATGTAGTACATGTACTAATTGTACTTAAAACTCCAGATGGTATTTGTATCTGGTATAAACATAATGTAGAAATCTGTATTTAAAAAAAAAAAATTTAAGCTGCACGTTAATAGGCATAATATTTGTTTGTTGTTAGATTTTTTTTTTTTGGCAAAGTAGATCTGATGTGCAACACTGTAGACCTCTTAGAATTATAGCCACCACATTGATAATGATTACATGTATGTATTTATATAGCGCATTGTCCATATAGTTCAAATGCGCTTTACAATTCTTAATGACAGATGCAATTGACATATTTATGTTACTGGTAGATGATTTGCAGTCAGATTGATAAATTAATACACTTAACAACTAAATTAATCATACCTTTATCAAGTTTTGTAATGTTTTAAGTACATTAGGTGAAAAATGTATTTGTCCCGATTTATGTTTCTTGAGAATGTGGCAAATTAAAGCTTTTATCTAAAAGTATCCGACAAAGGCTCCAATTCAACCAGTCCATCTTTCATTCTTGACTTACAAACAAAAATGGAAAACATCAAATTTACAAGGGGTGTGAATAATTTAGTTGTTAAAGATAAACTTGAGTTCTGGTAATGCGATTGCATTGTGAAAGAAAAGGTGTGGAATGGATCAGAAAAGTTGATCATATAGCATGTAAGTAATGGTGTGTAATGCAAGGTTCTGGAGTCATCAAAATCATCATAAATTTGGCAGAGTCTTGGTAAAGTAACAATCACTTACACAGAAAGATGTATGGGACAACACACATGGTGTCGGGGCTAGTACTACCCTGATTTCCTTATCTTTCTATGCTCATTACTCAGCCAGTGTACATTTTCTTCCAAAATTGTTTGGCACATGACATTTATTTGTAATCTTGAACATTCAGTGTAAGTTTTGTTAGATTCTGTGAGAATTCATTTTCTTTTTTTACCAGAATTCAAGTTTATCTTTAACTGTACATGTACATGTTACATTGTGTAAGTCCTCTAATTTTTTTTCTTCTCATGTACATTCAGGTTAACTGGCTATTTTTTTCCAGTGTGCTGATTGCCAAAGCAATTGTGTTCACTGCAGTCTACATCGGAACCCTGGTGCTAGGTGGGAGTAAGCCCTTAGGCAAAGCGGGTCTGTACAGCATGTTTGCTACCCAAAGTAATGACTTTGCTCTGGGATACCCTATTGGTAAGTTGAATAGTAACAAATAAAAATTACCTAGCTTTTACCCCGTGAGACTTTTCACTTCAAAGTCATTGCCTGCATGTACTTCAGTCAAGGGTTTAATGTAAAATTATTCCAATGAAAATTTCCTTAGGTTGTGTAGTGTAGGGTGTACATGCTATCTGTCTCATTTGATCCCATACACTGTTTATATTGTGAACATCAATTTAAACGTCACATTTTCAGCTAGTGAATAGGACAAATCATAAGTAGCTGCAAAGTTTGTTTGCTGGATTATGCAGGGATGTGAGAGTTCCGCGTTTCCGCGAATTTCCGCGTTTTTAGATCGCCCCGTCGCGTTTTTATTTTCTCCATTGAAAAAATCCGCGTTTTGCCCCAAGACAACTTATTACTTTAAGGGTCTGCGAATGCGAGACTAATACAAAAGCAAAAGCGCGCGCGCGCGCCTGCTTCAAAGATAGTACAGCGCCTGCATCGAGTATTGCTAGCTCAGCGCGCCGCGTGCGCCGGGCGTACCGTGCATTTCGATCGCTATACTATCTACGGTACGGTGTTTGCATTGATTCACATGTCTTCGTGCAGTGTGCTATTGATTTTTGTTACGATATTTCAATCAGAATCGGCGTTCTCTTTTGGAAATATGTATTACTTTCAAAGAAAATCTGTGAAATATGAGACAACATGGCAACTCGAGATCGGAATTTTATTGAGCGAGGAACGAAATTGGACTCGGAATCATTGGAGGAAGATAAGCGGGATCCACTGGTTAAAAATCCATGGAAATGGTCTTGGATGGACTTCACGCACAAAGATCAAAAACTTTCTCACTCTTTCCGTCTTGTAAAAAAAGCTGGCTACGCCGTGTGCGTAGTGTGTGATAAGGAGTGCAAATATGGTTCTCGTGGACGAGTTTCATTGACTGATCATTTGGACTCTGTTGCACACCAAAAAGTTTTGAAACTGAGAGCAGCAAATACTTTACTTCCAGGTGAGTTTACAATTGTATTTTAGAAATTAGAATCGCGGACCCCTCAAAATCCTTTAACTGATCAAATTGTTTTCTTGTGTGTGTGTGTGTTTTTTGTTGTTGTTTGTTTGTGCTGTAGGCCTATGCATTTTTATAATTATACTGGAAAGTTTTATTAATAAGACTGGTACATTCAAGTTACATGTGTCAAATCATGTCATTTGAATGGCATCAGTGATTTTGCTGGCCAGTGCCTAGGGGGGTGTTATGCTGCCCAAATTTTCATGTGATGGGTGTGTGTGTGTGTGTGTGGGCAGGAATTTGATTTGTTCATTTCTACATATAAATGTTGGCATATATTGTCATGCATTATTTCGTACAGAACATACTTATTTTCAAAGAATTTGGGGTGAGTACAGTGATACTTGGGCAGGTGCATGTATATGAATGTAACCTTGTTCATGAGTTTGCCTTTTTTGTATTTATTCATTTATTTATATATTTTTTTTTTGTTTGTCTTGTAGGTCAAAAACAACCAATGACTACTACATCAACATATGGAATTCACCCCATGTTCAAAAAACAATTGGATAAGCATGAACAACAGTTGAAAGGTGGACTCTCTGAGCCAAATGTGTCATTGCCCGACAGACAGGCATATGCAGAAGCAACCATACTTGCGTTTACAGCTGAACATTCCCTGCCATTTTCAATCGTGAATGATCTTATTCATCTTAACCAAGAACTTGCCAAAGATAAACAAGTGCTCGAAAATTTATCAATGGACAGAACTACAGCTTCGTATAAGATGACCCATGGATTATCAAAAACATTTCATGAAGAACTCATTGAGGATTTGAAATCCTCTCACTTCTCACTGAATATTGATGAATGCACAAGTGAGACAAATCAACGCGTTGTAACTGTCCTAGTCAGTTATTTTTCAGAGAAGGAGAACAAAGTAGTCACAAAACATCTGTCATCTTTTAAAGTAGTGACCGTAAACAGCGAGACTCTGTACAATCATTTAGTAGCTCTATTTGATAAGTATTCCCTTAAATGGGAGAACTTGGTTTCTATTTTGATGGACTCTTGTGCCGTCATGCGCGGTTCAAAAAGTGGACTTGAAACACGCATTAGAAGTAAGAAAGCTCCTCAGTTGCTTGACATAGATGGAGACTCATGCCACCACGCACATAATGCTGCAAAAGCCTTCTGCCATGGATTTGATAACTACATCGAGGGACTTCTCAATGACATCTATACTGATTTCAAGTGGTCCAGTGACCAAAAAGAGGTCTTGCGTTTCATCTGTGATGCACTGGGCATCAAAGCAACAATTCCAGAGCGATATGTGCCCCATAGGTGGCTTTCTGTATACGATGTTTGTGTAGATACATCTCGATTGCTAGATGCTCTGATACTTTTTTACTATCCCTTTTTGTCTGGATCAGACAGTTCAACTTATCTCCCAGTTGTTGATAGCATGTATCAAAAACATTCAATCAGTGAATCAGTAAAGAAGGAAATCTGTAAACATCAGTCTAAAATGTCAAATAAGACAAAAACAATGACCCAGGCTGGAAAAGACCGTAAGAAGAGGATTGTGAAGAAGCTGTTCCATACCCCGAGTAAAACCAAAGTACTTCTCCACATTTACACCTCCATTCTTCCTATGCTCAAGAAGTATGTCCTGTATTTTCAGTCTGTGACACCACTTGTCCACAAACTCAATGACAAACAGCAGGATTTACTGAAGGACTTTCTTGTATGTTTCATTAAACCTGAAATCTTGAACACACAAGCCTTGCATAAAGTAAATGTGAGTGAGGAGAACATACTACCTGACAATGCGGTGTTCCTCGTCAGGTACATCAAGGAGAATTTACAGGGACCTGCTGCAAGTGAACTAGTGAACAAGCTAAAGACTGCATATCTGAAATGTGGTCAAACCTTACAGAGAAAGATGCCAGTGAACAACAAACTGCTGAGGTGTGCTTCAGCTATTGATCCAGCATGTAGAGGCCACACAATCACACTCCAGCGCTTACTCCAGCTACCACAATTAGTGGCATTTGCTCTGAAAGATGTGCAAACTCATGAATATGAGAAGGAAGCAAGGCAGTATAATACAGACAAAGAAATTGTTAATACAGAAGAGAGAATAGACATATTCTGGAGTTCATTACGAGAGAAATATCCAGTTATGACAAGAGTGGCACTGGCACTGGTTAGTTGCTTTCATGGACCACAGGTGGAGTCATCTTTCAGTATAATGGGGAATGTTCTAAACACTGAAAGGCCCAACTTGCACATTGAAACATTTTCATCCATACAAACAGTGAAGTATGAGTTAACAGCAAGTGGAAAATCAGGAATCAGATATTTCAGAAGAAAAAATTACCTGAAAGATCAGGTAAATCCCAAACTCTGCAAGAATATGAGATCAGCATACAAGTCATATGTACAGGAAAAGGAACACAAGTCTGGAATGTCACAAACTGTACCCAGAAAGTCTGCTTGTCCTTCAAAGAAACAAACTAAGGAGAAAGCAATTGAAGATGCTGACAAGGCACGGGTGGAGCACACACATAAACTGATGAAGAAAGTGGAGAAAAGGAAATCTGAAATGCATGAACTACCTTCTAGTAGCAAAAAAGTACTGAAAAAAAAATGACTGGAGTAAAGAACTAGCAAATGAGAAATACTTAGAGCATCAAATACTTAACTTTAGGTACGTTAATCATTTTTTATTGTAGACCATAATAGAAGATGTTTCTGGATTTGGTATCATATGGAATGGTGAAGAAATTTAGTAAATGATGCTCTATGTACTCTATTATGTATATTGTAAATAATATGGAAAATTAAATGTTTAAAACATTGTAAAATTATAATCTTACCCCTATGAAATAGTGTTTTCTCTACATTTTAAAATGCAAAAACCTCTGGTTTCGGGGGGCTTTGCCCCCTCGACCCCCATTAGGGGCTTTGTTCCTGGACCCCCAGCCATTGGGTATGAGTCTGCTCGCTACGCTTTGCAAATCTCCTCTTTTTTTAGTTTGCTGCACTCACATCCCTGATTATGAATGTTTAAAATGATACAGCTTTTTAGTAATGTAGAGATGTGGTTAAAACAGTGAATATAACAACTTTTTATTTTTTTATGTACTAAATGTACCTTCAGAAAATAATAAGGAATTCCGTATTTCCTTTGTTGATGAAATTGCCTTCAATAATGTTGAATTAATGTGTATCTATGTTTTTTTTTTTTAAACATTGCGCTCCCTGTATAGCACTAGTTAGCAAATTTTAGATGATACATTAGATCTACACAAATTTTAGATGATACATTAGATCTACACAAATTTTAGATGATACATTAGATCTACACAAATTTTAGATGATACATTAGATCTACACAACACATGTATATCTTTGCACCAATCCGTCTAGTATTTCTGAACTCCTGGGTAGTTTCTCCTAGCTCTTTTTTGTCAAAAGTTAAGAAAATGTTTTTTGAGCAGTACAGTGATAACTTTGCCTTCAGTAATAATTCAATTATCTTTGTTTTCGTAAACAGTGCAAGCCCTGTATAGCACCAGTAATCCCGAGATGATGCAATACATCTACATCTTTGCACCCATCAATCTGTTGTTCCTGAACCCATGGGGATTCCTGTCATTGGAAGTTCAGAAGATGTCCCGAGCAAACGAACGTAGGAGTAAAGCATTGGTGGTGTGGTGAGTACTAATAGACCAGGGCCCCGTCTTGTAAAGAGTTGATATCAATCGCAACTACAGATAAGAGACTGCTAACTTGCGATTGATTGGAGGACTTCCGATTGATTTGGATCAATCATAACTCTTTATAAGATGAGGCCCATTTTGCAGTATTCACATGGTGCAAATGAACCCCAAATAACTACAGATGTTTTAAACATGGGAAAGTCCCACTTTTTGTGCATATTTGGATTATCACTGCCAAAGTCATAGAGATGCTTCATGAATAACTTTTCTTCGCACTCTTGAAAAGAAAAATATTCCATCTATGTTTCATAAAATGTACCGTCGGTGCATAAATAAATAATGATTACATATAAACTTTTGACATAAAAAGTAACATTTCCTCCTAAACCACCTGTCTTTATGTGACATTTGACCTAAGGTGACCTTAGGTCAGTCTTCAAAGGTCTCGTCACCAACCCCATCTATGGATCATCTTCAACTTTCCACTCATTTTCTCTCTGGGATTATGGTGGTTTTCTTATTCTATTTAACAAGTCAACATTTCCTCCTAAATCACCCATCTTTCTGTGACCTTTGACCCCCTTACAGGTCGGTCTTCAAAGGTCTCGTCACCAACCCTATCTTCACAACGGTCTTCATAGGGATCATCTTCAACTTTGCCCTCTCCCAGAGGTTACCGACGATCCTGGACGACATCCTGACCTCCCTGGCGAACTCCTTCGGGGCAACGGCTCTCTTCCTCTTGGGGGTCAGCATGGTGGGAAAGGTCAAGCAACAGAGTGGGCTGGCTCTAGTCACGCCCGCACTGCTGATCGCTTCCAAACTGTAAGACATGGACTTCTTTCTTATTCCTAAACAAAAGGATCATGATATTTAATTTAAGAGAAGAAACGTACAAATGTGAATATTTCATGTTGTGCCATAATTGACCCCACCACAAGTACATTTTTCCACAGTAGACTGTTTATGGCGGCCTTACTTATAGTTCATGGTTCCAAAACTCTAATTTCTATTGAACTTTCCAGTTCTTGACCCATTATGTTTACTATAGCCGTTAAAAGCTACTGAAATCCTGACATTTCATTGGCTGAGAGCGAATTTGCCATAGAAATTTAGCATTTGTTATTGATAACATGTTTTTATGAAACAGGGTCCTGAAATGTGTGGACCCTGGGTTCATGTTTCATGTTTTTAGAGATGTTGTGGTCTAGTGTCGTGGTCTAGGGGATATGTCACCAGACTGTGGATCACATGGTTTTCGGTTCGAGTCCCACCGCGGCACTACTGTCCTTTGGCAAGACATTAATCTACATTTGCTACTCTCCACCCAGGTTTTAAATGGGTGCCCAGTAGGATGTGAATGTTAATGTGGTTGGATAGGCATGTGTGCGCTTGTTAAATGCCACCTGGCTGGAAAAATCCCCAGGGAGCGGAGCATGAGAACTATCATGTGCAGATTAGCAATTGAATTCAATAACCAGGGTAATAATAATTACAATGTAAAGCGCTTCGAAACGTAGTATTAAAGAGAAGGTTGAGTTCTGGGAGAGATGAACAATAATTTGTGAGCATTTTCATTCTTATCATGCAATTGTAGAAGAACATCAGAGTAAAAATGTCCCCTGAAAAGCATGGCTCTTCAAATCACTTCATATTCTAAATATGACAAGTAACAGCTTGAAAATGAGGCCCAGTTTTTATGCCACATGTTTGTGTAGTCCCATAAACATCTTTCTGTGTACAGTGCTTGTTACTTTACCAGGACTTTGCCAATTTTCTTATCATTTTGATGACTCCAGGACGTTGCAGTACATATATGCTGCATGATCAACCTTTTCTGACCCTTTCAATTCCACACCGTTTCTTTCACAAACCGCATGACCAGAACTCAACTTTATCTTTAAGCGCAATACAAATGCGACTTTTATTATTATTAATTGTCTGATTTCTTTTTCTTTTTTGCTCATTATTGCTACAGATTGGTACTCCCCCTTTTAACCAATCAACTGGTGTATGCCCTCAACCCCGGTGGAAGCAACCAGACTCTGACAGACTCCTACGCATCGTTTGGATTCCTTTACGGCTCCCTTCCCACGGCACCTACTGTATTTCTCTACGCAACTCACTATCAACAGTCCATAGATATGGTAAAGAACGTGTTTATTGCATTTGTTTATCATTGTGACAAAGGACTTTGCTGTAGTTTCTTTTTTACATAATTGATTGAGATGAAACCGGAGACCGTAGGTTGAAAGATACGGTTCTCTTATCAGGGCACCTGATGTCTTTAGCTACACAACTCACTATCAACAGCCCCTGGATATGGTATAGCATATGTTCATTGTAGAGATTGAGTCATGATTGTTTAAAAGGTCAAGTATTTTGACCTTTGAATGACTATATTAATGATTTGATGATTGTATTATGAAAGTTGATACCTCTAAAGCCTCTGCTTCTGGAACCCGAGTTGGACTTGAATTTTATGTATGTCCTCTTTTGAAGTGAAACATTATTATCTTTTTTTCGTGTGTGTTCTTAAAGATAAAGCCGAGTTCTGATCACGAGATTGCATTGTGAAAGAAACGGTGTGGAATCGATCAGAAAAAAAATGATCATGCAGCATAATTATATGTATTGGTGTGTACTGCAAGGTTCTGGAATCATCAAAATGATAAGAAATTTGGCCAAGTCTTTGTAAAAGTAACAAGCACTGTACACAGAAAGATGTATATGGGACTTCACAAACATGTGGCATAAAAATCAGGCCTCATTTTTAAGCTGTTGTCATATTTAGAATATGAAGGCATTTGAAGAGCCATGCTTTTCAGGGAACATTTTTTCTCTGATGTTCTTTCACACTTGCGTATTTACAATGAAAGTACTCACAAATTATCTTTCACCTCGGCCCAGAACTCTGATCAATCTTCTCTTTAAACATGCTGTTTTAATTTTATCTGCTGTATGAATGAATACATGCAGACCCAGAACTGCAAAAGGAAATTATACTTTAATGCTGGTTATGTTTATTGTTTCACAATCCTGTGTTGATATAGGGGATACAAAATGTCCAAACATCCTGGACTCACCCATCACTTCTCACAGTTTGTATAATAGTCGATCTAAAAATAAATCTTGAATGCTCACTGCCAACCTACATGTAAATCCTTACATGTGAAGCCATTTATTTAGGCATACTGCACCCTGTATCCTGCTCTCACAGACCTACATGTATTGACATATGTTCTTCCCAAGTGGAACTGAAGTTTTGATTAAAGGGATGGTTTAACAATGTAAAATCTGAGATGCATGACCCTACGTGTTATCATTGTCTGTGAAATGATGCAATATTGAAGCCCTAACAAAATTGCGCTTCGAAATGATCATGAAGTGCCTCAAAAAAGTAAAAATCTTTGAGTGACCAGTTTTACCATACTCATTTTCCCCTATAGACTGTAGTGTTATAAAAACCATTAGGAAAACGAAAAAATGAAATTTTGATTTCCAATCATAAATATCTTGATAATCAGACAGGTGATTGGCTTTTAAAAGTTATGGGATTCCTGAATGACCTAAAGGTTTATAATTATGATTGCAGCATGAGCTAAATCCAGGATTTTGTCCAGGAGTGACTTTAAAGACGAAAGTATTTGGTGTTTAATTGCATTTCATCATCATTGGTGAATCTCATGACTTCAATTGTTGCCTTTAGATTATGATTAAAATCACAAGACTATTCCTATTATATCTTTTATTAATTGAATTACAGATTGCCCCTACCATGGTGTATTGCACTTTTGTCTCCGCCCCTTTCATGTTTATTACCGCTACCATGGTGATGATCCCCATGGCAACGGAAGGACAATACCACAACGCCCTTTCCGAAGGTGCCTTTGACGTGAGCTGTCTTGGTCTAGCATCTGCAGTAAGTTTCTCCTTGTATTATTTATATTTGAATAATTAATTGTGTAAATGTAAATGCTGTCAGAAATTCAGTGTTTTCTTCTTCTTTTTGTTTATTTCACTTTGAAGAACTATTACAAAAAAATTGTCAGTTTTGTCACTTAAACGAATAGTTAAACACATGCAAATGTCTACTGAGGACCAGAATTGCTCCATATGCAATTATATAGAGCATTATTAAGAATTCAGTCTTCAATGCATCTTTGTATACGTTATCGCAAGTTCTGATTACTTTTCTCTCACAAAAAACAGTTTTAAGAGGGTGTAATGTCATCAAATCAGTTCTTTTAATATTTAATATTAGAGTATTATTCAAAGTCTAATTATTTTGTGTTTGTTTCTAAATCTTGATTTCCTACTACCATTTTTTCCAAAATCTTCTTGACTAATATCGTTCACCCTCTCTTTTTTGTTAAGATCTGGGTTTTCATCATATTCCTCCTGAGAAGAAAAACATCTCATTTCCCTCATCAATTCACAGCCAATCTCATTGTAGCACAGGTAAGAAATGTAGAGCATATTTTCCAAATGTTATCACTTTACGCTTATATTTCACATTTTTGTGCGGTTTTATGTGTACTGTATGTTCCTGCTCTCAAAATAGCTCTAAAACTGGTCAAACACCCAACTTTCACTTAGGACACCGCACTATATCTAACCCTAAACTTAACCTATAACCAGCTTTGCCATACAGAGGGAATAGCAAATATGTTTGCCAGCCTTGTTTTTTTTCATTATCATGATTTCAGGAATCCATCCTTAAAAAAGGGAAAATCTCCATAAATTTTGTTGGGGGATATAGGACCAAGAAAAGACTTGCAGAGACATCCTAAGGCCAAATGGGGGAGAGGAATGCAGATTTTTTTTCCCCTGGAATATGGAATATAACATTTTTAACAGTGACAAAGCTTTTTTTCTCCCTGTAAGTGGAGTTAAGGGGTGGAGGAGAGCCACTCATAGCCCCCCCCCCCCCCCCCCCCAACCAACATTTGGTTTTATTTCAGTATTCTTTCATTCGTTAATACCAGGCGCTAGCAGCATTTGGTGTGATCCTCTGCCACACGGTGATCTTCAACACCTACTGGGGTAAGCTGGTTCACTTCATCATCATGCTGACCGGTGTGTTTGGCGCTCGCTGCTGGACGGCCATGGTGGCGCTCTCCCTCTTCTTGCTTCGCTACCGTAGCACCTGCTTCGTCATCAAGCACCGCTTCTGGTTCTATTTCTATGGATGGGGGTGAGTTCAATTCAATTCAATTCTCATTTATTTCATTCTTGGTTGAAAATTACATTGATACAAAAGATACAAAATACTTCATAAACAAATTTAGAAAATGAAATGGGGAACTACATAAATAGAGCCCTTAGGCCTTGTATAATTTAGCACCTGCTTCGTCATCAAGCGCTGCTTCTGGTTCTATTTCTATGGATGGGGGTGAGTTGAAGAAACGGTAATGATATTGATGTTCATTTTTTGTTTCATTTCAGATCAATTTACTTTATTTAACCATTCTAGATCAAATATACCTAGTATTGAGCTTAGGAGGAACATGAAGTTTCAAACTTCTTCTCCTTAGACAATATCATATTGACTGAAACTTGTAAACTGACAAAAGCTCAACAGGGGTGGGACGAGCATCTACGTCTTGTCATGGCAACATGCTGTTAAACTCTGTCTCTGATACTGGCATACTACATCATAATCTTCAGGATCAATCTCATGAACTGAATAAGAGTAACATTAAACAGTTGAAAGGTGGTTCAGTTCCTCCGTTTAGAAACAGGGGCTTAAAATTTGCCCATTTGAATATTCATAGCTTAGTTGCTAAGATTGACGAACTTAGATTACTTCTGAGAAATGCATCATTTGATGTTATTGGTTTAAATGAAACATTTTGCGACTCCATGATTGATGATTCTGAATTGTATATAGATGATTATATTTTATTACGTAGAGACCGTACGAGACATGGTGGTGGTGTGGCTGTATATATATCCAAGAGGTTCAATTATAAAAGAAGGGATGATTTGATTTCATCTACTTTAGAATGCCTTTGGTTTGAATTGCATTATCCAAATAAGTCTCCCATCCTGGTTGGAGAGTTTTACATACCTCCAAATTCTCACGTTGATTTCTTTGAAGAATTAGACGAAAATTTGGACTCTGCTCTCTCGGAAGATATGAGCTGTATTATTTTAGGTGATTTCAATTGTGATTGTATGCCACACCAACTTGATCTGAATGCTGAAAAGTTAATGTTTTATACAAATATGTACGGGCTAAGTCAGCTAATTGATACTGCCACAAGAGTTACAAATACCTCTTCTACTTTAATTGATTTGATATTTGTATCAGACAAGGAACTTTACAATGAATGGGGAATATTTGAAACTAGCATAAGTGATCATTATTTGGTGTATACGGTTCGCGATTTTAGTGCAAAGATCCATAACAAATCTGAATACGCAGAATTTCGCTCGTTTAAAAATCTTGACGAGGAGAAATTTTACAATGAATTGAGAAGTACTCCTTGGCAGGTCATAAAAGATATAGATAATGTTGATGTTGCGTGGGATATGTGGTTGACTCTATTCAATAATATAATCAACAAGCACATACCAGTATGTAAAAAGCGGATAAGAAAAAAGGCATGTCCATGGATATCTGACGAGATTGTTAAGCTTATGACGGAACGTGATAAAGTTCTCAAAGCTGCTAAAGCTAACAAAAGTGATGATCTTTGGGACACCTACAAATATCTAAAGAATACAGTTATTCATCTCATGAGGAAAAGAAAAAGAGAATATAATGCAGACCAGATCTCGCAAAATCATAACAATAGTAAGCAAATGTGGAGATGTTTGAGAAACCTGGTGCCTAAGTCATTACCTATATCTCCCAATAGCATAAATGTTGATGGTGCTAATGTGTCAGACAATGCAAATATTGCTGAAGCTTTTAATGACTTTTTCATTTCTAATGCTACTAAGATTACAAAGGACCTGCGAAGGAATAAGTCTCATCTGAAAGTAGACGAGGACAATAATATTGGTCCAACTCATTCGCAATTTAATTTGAATTTGATTACTGAGGATTTTGTATTGAAACAGATTGATAATCTGAGTATAGATAAAGCAACTGGTGAAGATCACATCAGCTGTAAACTTTTAAAGATGACGAAGAATGTTATCGCAGAGTCTCTTTGTGATATCATTAACAAATCCCTGTCTACAGGAGTTGTTCCACGTGAATGGAAAAAGGCTCGGGTAGTACAGTACCAGTATTCAAATCTGGAGATATTTCTTCTTTGAATAATTACCGCCCCATTTCAATATTACCTATCGTGAGTAAAATTATAGAAAGGGCCGTCCACCAACAACTCAGTGAATTCTTGGACGTGAATCAATTATTACACCCTAATCAGTCTGGATTTAGACCTAAACATTCAACAGCTACTGCCCTTGCAAAACTTGTAAATCAATGGTCGTTGAATATTGATAACAAAAAAATTTCTGGAGTTGCCTTCATAGATCTTCGTAAGGCTTTTGATACTGTTGACCATGAGCTACTTCTACATAAACTAGCTTGTATAGGTTGTAGTAATAGGACTATTTATTGGTTCAAATCATATTTAGGGGATCGACAACAAGTGACCCAATTCAAAGGAGCCAAGTCGCATCCATCAACCATCAAATTAGGTGTGCCACAAGGTTCAATTCTTGGTCCCCTTTTATTTTCAATATATGTTAATAGTCTACCTGAATGTACTCCTGAAGGTATCATAGATATGTATGCTGACGATACGACACTTACCGTCAGTGCAAATGATGCAACTGTTGTGGAAGAAAAATTAACTGTTGCGTTAAACAGAGTCATGGCATGGATTAAGGAAAATCGTCTTGTTCTTAACACTGAAAAAACTTGTGTCATGTTAATAGGCTCTCCTGCTAATCTCAAGAAAATTGAATCTTTTACCATTTCATTAAACGGCAATTTGATCAAAAGAGTTCAATTCACCAAATGCTTAGGACTTTTGATAGATGAAGAATTGAAATGGTCTAAACAAATCGAAAACGTAAGTAAACTTACCCAGAAAAACATTAGCATGATAAAGAGAGCAAAAAGTTTTTTGCCTCAAAAATCCTTAAAGTTACTTTATAACAGTCTAGTGTTGCCACGATTAGATTACTGCTCTGTTGTATGGTCGAACCGATTTCATTCTCATACAACTAAGCTGCAAAAAATTCAAAAGAGGGCCGCCAGAATAATATTGAACAAGACATATGACACACCGTCGGCTGATTTGTTCACAAGTCTTAAATGGATGACACTAGACAAGCGGTTTGAGTTAAGTCGCGTTATGATGATATATAAATGCGTTCATAACTTAGCACCTTCTTACCTTCAGGTAGGCTTAATCAATCCTAATGATGTACATGAGCATCATACAAGGCAAATAGACAGTGGATGTTTACGTGTGCCTAGATTTCACACTGATTGTTATAAGTGTAGCCCAATTGTTTCTTCCATATTTGAATGGAATAAGCTAGATAATTCATTGAGAACGGCTTCCTCTGTCAATTCATTTAAGAGATTGTTTAAACAAAGTTGTAATTTGTGAATGGCTCAGCCGTACATACACTACGTGCATGTTCTGTAATATTTACATGACTTATTCACATAATTGCGACTTAATTAATATTTTCCTATTGACATTACTGTTTACTAGGTTAATGATTATATTTATTTTGCAAACGAGTATTATTTTTGTAACTGTTCTGTATAAATGTTATAAACGATGTAAATATGTTCATTCAGGGCCCCATGGAAGACCACTACTTGTTGGTGAATGGGCTACCCTGTCAAAATATTAGAAATAAATAAAAATAAATAAAAAAATATGTTTTGAATTTCTAATTTTGAAATGACTTAACCTAGAATATGATATGATAAGGGTGATAACATTGGCTTAATATTTTTTTAATTTTTCATATTTTCTTTTATTTTCAGGATTCCTGTGATGACTGTGGGTATCCTTGTTACTGTGATACCATTAGATGATGCTGAGGTGGATGTCTTATATGAGATCGAAAAGCCACAGGTATTGATCTCTTATACCAAAATCTAGGAACTTTAATAGACTAGGACCAAAAAATCATTGTAAAACTGTATTTTAACCGCATGGTGTTCAATTTTTTGTTGTTGTAATGGCAAAAAGATTACGTTTGTGGGATCCTTATTTGTCTCATGAATTACAAATGATACATAAATGAAACGTACCTTGGGTGTTTACATGTAGGATAGAAGACGGGGCTATTATATGAAATATTAATATCATCATCCTATTCCTCAACTTACCTTTCAATAATCTTTCAAATATTGCTCCCGTTGTATGAACATTTGTATCTTAAGTTTCTTGCATATTTATGTCAGTTGCATTGTCAAATCATAATCTATCTCTCTCTCTCTCTCTCTCTCTGTTTCAATATCCCCCCCCCCCCCCTTTCTGACTTTTGCTTTCAATTAATTCTCTCTCTCTCTCTCTCTCTTTCTCTGTCTGTCTCTCTCTCTCTCTATCTCTCTATCTCTCTCTGCCTCTCTGTCTCTCTGTGTCTGTCTATCTCTCTCTCTCTCTCTCTCTCTTTCTATCTCTCTCTCTCTCTCTTTCTCTCACTCTCTCTCTTTCTTTCTCTCTCTTTATCACTCTCTATCTCACTCTCTATCTCTCTCTCTCTCTCTCTCCCTCTCTCTCTCTCTCTCTCTCTCTCTCCCTCTCTACCTCTCCAGCTCGTTGCCAGCATCATCATCCTCATGCTCAACCTGGTGGTGTCTCTGGTATCCCTGATCGGATTACATCGATGCGACCGGTTCCGTCGTCAGGGTTACCAGCCCATCCTCGGCAATGACTCCGAGGAGGATGAGAACGAGAGCAGAACCACAGTCAGTCTCAGCAAGTCAAAGCAAAATGTTGACAAAGAAGGTATAAAACTGTTTGTTTTTTGTTAAAAGCCCCACTGCACTACTTACAGCTACTTGCGCCCTCTATGTAGTGAACAATGCCTGCTGGTACCCCATGATCCCCTTTTTCTTGTGTAAATTGAGAGCTGATTTGATGAGATAACGACCTGTCAGTGACCTTGCAGGGAGGTCTAATCCCCCTGGCCAAACTAGTAGAGACAGGCTTTAAATCTTTGTTAATAATAATGATTATTTGATAATGTGCCTCTGCGTCTCAAAAGGATTTGGATATCATTACCTTACCCCAAAAATGTACAATGAAGCCTGTATATAAAGACCGCTCAAGGGAGACAATAAAAGTGGTCTTTATAGACAGGTGGTCACTATTTAAAAAGTAAGTTTGGCTGTAATGTAGCTTAAGCTCCGGCAGCCATTATCAGCGCATTGTGCATTTCAAGAAAATTAATCTTGCCAGGTACCAATTGAACCTCTGGTTGGAGAGACACAACCTCATGTTAAATGCCTTGTCTATGGACTCCTTGGATTTGATTCTTTCCATGAACCTTTTTCATTAAAATGTTGCCAATTTGATCGGGAGATAGAAAATCCTTGATTACCTGGTCTTTTCACGCAACACTTCTGATTACTTTCCTACACCCTATGCAATATTTTTTCTCTCATTATTCTCTCCATGGATGGATTATATTTCTTTCCATTTACCTTTTTCATTTCAATATTGCCAATTTGAAAAGGAATCCCTATCCTTGACATCTGTCTTTTCTAATCTCATTTGTTCTTTCAGGCGCTACCTCAGATGACTCTCCCACACCCCTGGGCAACGATTCCCCATCATCGCCCTCCTCCTCCTCCTCCTCCTCATCGTGTACCCTCGGCGACATCGAGGATCTCCCGAGCCTGAACGCCGCCATCAGCCGTCAGATGTGCGGCCGCAACTTTGGCTGTTCCCGCGTCCAGAGCAGCGAGTGCCGTCGCCTGCTGCTGAGGAGGAGCATGAGGGACATGAGCAGGCAGGAGGAGGAGGACGCGGTGATGCTGAACGAGGCGGAGAGACACCAGCTGGGTCGCCACATCCTTCTCCTCTACTTCCTCGTACTCTCCATGCTTGTGGTAAGTTCACTCAATATTATCGTGATGAATTTGGTCACAATTCAGCCACTTGTCTTACACATTTGCTTCCTTTTGTTATGCTGTTCCTTGTAATAACAATGTTATTTTTTAATACTCCTTAGGCTGTGTTTTGTGTTTCTAGTTTTGCAGTCAATCAGTGATCTTCTAAGAACTGCCCTTTCTAAAATTCTAGATTTTCATACAAATCCTTTATTTCGTAAATTGATCAATGTGAGCTCTTGAGCTGTATGTTGATGCAGTTTTATGACAATGAACACTAAAGATCCTATTATGTTGTTATAATTACTGTTTTGGTTCTCCTCTCTCTGTCTCTGTCTCTCTCTCTGTCTCTATCTGTATATATCTCTCTCTCTCTCTCTCTCCTTTCCTCTTTCTCTCTCTCTCTCTTTCTATCTCTCACTCTCTTTTTATCTCACTCTCTCTCCATTTCTCTATATCTCTCTCTCTCTCTCTTCCTCCCCCTCTCTCTTTCTCTCTCTCTCACTCTCTCCCTTCCTCTCTCTCTCTCTCCCCCTCCCTCCCCTTCTCCCTCCTCTCTCTCTCTCTCCCTCTCTCTGCAGGCTGTGTCACTGTGTTTCTGGAAGTTGATTGGTTCTAGCCAATCAGGGATCTTCTTGGAATTGTCTTTCCTTGACTGCATCCTGAACTATGGACAGGGGTTCATGGTGCTGGCCATCTTTGGCTTCGACACCGAGAATGTCATCATGCCCGTCGTCAGATTGTAAGTAAACTCTAATAGAATAACCGTTCCCTTTCCCCAACTACCTTTCTCTCCCTTTTCACGTTCTTTCCTTCTTGTTCGTCCTCCATTTGTCTTCTATCCCTCTCACTGACTTACTTAAAGCCCCACTGTACCTCTTATAGCTACTTGCGCCCTCTATATAGCAAACAATGCCTAATCGGTGACCATTGGTCCCCCATGTTCCCCTTTTCCTTATGTTAATTGAGAGCTGAATTGATGAGATAACCACCTGTCAGTGACCTCGCAGGGAGGTCTAATCCCCCTGGCCAAACTAGTACAGAGGGGCTTTAAATGTAATAATCATTCCCTTTCCCCAACTACCTTTCTCTCCCTTTTGAACGCATTCTTTCCTTCTGGTTTGTCTTCCATTTGTAATCTATCTGTCTCACTGACTTACTTAAATGTTTAAATTTTACAGTGACTAGCAAACTCTCCATTGGCTTTTTCTAACAAACCAAATTTGTATGTGCTTTTTAATTTGTTTTTCATGCCCAATCACTAAATCACTTTTGAACTTTTTTTATGTGCTTTTTCTAACAAAGAATATTAAAAGCACACTGGATGTTAATTTAAAAAAAGAAGAGCAGGGGGGGGGGTGCTGCTCCAACACATTCAATGTAATAGCCACCCCTGTATTAACAATTGTTTGTAGTGGCTACTTCACTGTTTACCCAATCCATTCCAAAGGTATTTGATAAAGCGCTTTTTCCTGGCAGTTACAAAGACAATCCTATATCTAATGCAAATATACCTAACGGGCAGTGGATTCTACATTTTAGTGGTGATTAGCTGATTTTGATGTATACACTTCAGCTTTTTTTCTTTTTTCCCCTTTTTTTACAAGCAGAAAAAAATTGACATTTGCTTGCAAAAGTACAAATGCATCATAAACATGGCATAAATACAGCAAGTATCGGGTGTAGATGGATACACTTTAATAATAATAATAATATTTAATTTTTATTATAGCGCTTAATACAAATGTCTCTCACCGCTTTACAAATATACATTTACTTTAATACCTAGTTTGCCAAAATAATCTCTCTGTATGTATAATATTGCCCTCTGGTAGCCCATGTATACAGATTATCATCTGTGTCTTGTTAATGTTAATTAATCCTTTTAAAACAGGATTTGTTTTCAGGGCTAAATTGGCAATAATAATATTTTTCTTTTATTACTGCATTGTTAAAATAAAATTTAAATGTCTCCAAAAAAAAAAAAGGGCAAGAATGTTGTCAAAAAGTTGAAAAATTTGTCAGATTCAATCGAAAACAATGATTTTGAATCTCTCAACCTGTTGCCAATTTAAGGATTTTAAATCATATTTGCTTTTTCGAAATTCCTGGTATTAAAGGGATTGTTTAACAATGTTAAATCTGAGATACACGGCCCTACGTGTTATCAGTGTCGGTGATATGGTGTAATAGTGAAGCCCTACAAAAATTGCGCTTCAAAATGATCAAGAAGTGCCTCAAAAAAGTAAAAATCTTTGAGTGACCGGTTTTACCATACTCGTTTTCCCCAATAGACTGTAGTGTTATGAAAACCGTCAGGCGAACGGTTTTCAAAATTTGTAATTCCAATCATAAATATCTTGATAATCAGACAGGCGATCGGCTTGTAAAAGTCATGGGGTTCCTGACTGACCTAAAGGTTTATAATTATGATTGCATCATGAGCTAAATCCAGAATTTTGTTTCAGAATCTGAGACAAAGTTACCGGATCCCTTTAAACGCAACATAGTCATGAACACAAATTAAATGAATATGTGCATAAATATAATCATGCATCTGGCATATCTTTAGGGCTCTGAAACAAAAGTTATTTGGCCAAACCATAAAATGTGGAAAGATTGTTGCTAAAGGGTTAACATAAATCTCAGGGAAGGTCAAAGTTTGATCCTTATGGTTTCTCTTAGTAATAATAATAATCTGGATTTATATAGCGCTTAAATACGTCTCTAAGCGCTTTACAGGTATTATAACCCCGGCCATCGGATTCATTCAAGCATAATGTGCACCATCTCCACTACCTATGGAGTATTTCTACCATATGGTCACTTTGAGGGCATAAGCAATTATTAATTTATCATATGACTTTGATACACAATGCTTTCTTAATCTTTTTTCCTGTCCTTTTTACATCTAACTTTACATTTTCTATCTGTTTATATCTGTGACTAAATGGTAAATTTCTAACACATTTTTGTGTGTTTTTGCACAACTTTTCCTTTTTTATTTGCATCTTTAAACAAATAATTGATTATCAGGATGACGAGATGCAGTAAGCCTTTCAAGAAAAGGTATTTGGAAGAAAGCAAAGCTGTGTGCGATGTTTTTTTATTTTATTTTATGTCATGCCTGGCTTTGCTTTGCTTTAATATGATATTTACTCTAATTTGAACATTGTTGGCGGAGTATTTATACAATGTATATGGAAAATTCACATACAAGCTCCTTATCTCATTACACCCCCTGAGAGACATACATGTAATGATGATAATGCTCTCTGAGTAAATGTCATTCTGACGCTCATCATAATAATACAGTCTTACGTGTCTTAGCGGCCACCTCTATATACAATTAACAACTAAATTATTCATGCCCTTATCGAGTTTCATCATTTCTTAAGTATGTGAAAAAGATATTTGTCCCGATTTAAGTTTCTTGAGACTGTGACGTAATAATGCTCACACCTAGAAATATTCAACAAAGGCCCCCATTCAATCAGTCCACCTTACATTTTAAGTTACAAAAAACATGAAATTTACAAGGGGTATGAATAATTTAGTCGTTAACTGTACATGTGAAGGCCACCTGTCTATAGTGGTCTCCCATATTGCTTCCCTCCAGAAGGAAATGTGTGTTGCAGAACCTGTCTGGAAAGGCCACCTGTTTTGTGTTTCCCTTGAGTGGCCTTAGTAGACAGGTTTGACTGTATATAGAAAACCTCTACACAAGCCCCTATCCCATAACATCAGGTGTTAATGCTATGTGAAAATGTACACTTTCTGTCCGACTCTCAACAGACAATATTTATTTATAACAAAACACATTTATTTATTTAATTAGAGTGTGCAAAGCTATTTATAACTTTAAAAGGGAGAAGGAAAAATGTATCACCGCTGTATAGTTGGTATGCTGTGATAGAGCTCAAAACAAAGTGCCATTGATATTTGTAATCACATTTCATTTTAAGGTGTGTTCTTTTGCACTTGTTATGTTGCCATGTTTTGTTTTATAGTTTGAAGGGTATTTTAATTTTTAGCATTTATTTTGTGTTTTGTTTTTATATCAATTTTTTTAAAATCTCATTGTTATTTTATTTTATTTTTTTTGCACCTGCTTGCAATTTTTGTGGCTAATAGTGGTGGTAATTACCAAATATTTTAGAGATTGATGTACATGTATGTCTGTATTAATTCACAAGCAGCAATCCTACTTTCCATGTAATTAAGTGAAACAGATTTTATTTGATTAGTTTTAAGATGTTAAATTTAAAAACTACAACAGATGCAATGAACAATTTACCCCTCTCCCAAAGCTAAATGATTGAAAACGTGGAAAGTGGAAATATTACAAGTAAAGTTACAAAGTCAGTGACAAATACAAATATATACTGTTTAATAGTTCTTGGTATTTTTCTTTGCTGCAAAATACATCAACTCCTTTGATAGTAGTTGATGGGGATTCAGGTATTTATACTGCATCAAGTTTTCCTTTGCTACAAAAATACAAAATATACTATCTCCCGTGTTTGTATATAAATAGGATTCAAGTAAGTTACTGTATAAAATTACCATATTTCAGATGTAACATTTGCATTTGCTACAAATACTTTAGTTCTAATAGTAGATGAAAATAATTATTCAGCCACTTTTCTGCATATATTCCACATATTTCAAATGAAACGCTTGCCCTTGTCACAAAATACATCATCTCGCATATTTATTAGAAGATGAAAATCATGGAGGCGTACACGTAGCTACTTCTTTTAAAGATAAACTTGAGTTCTGGTAATGCGATTGCATTGTGAAAGAAAAGGTGTGGAATGGATCAGAAAAGTTGATCATATAGCATGTAAGTAATGGTGTGTAATGCAAGGTTCTGGAGTCATCAAAATCATCATAAATTTGGCAGAGTCTTGGTAAAGTAACAATCACTTACACAGAAAGATGTATATGGGACAACACACATGGCGTCGGGGCTAGTACTACCCTGATTTCCTTATCTTTCTATGCTCATTACCCAGCCAGTATACATTTTCTTCCAAAATTGTTTGGCACATGACATTTATTTGTAATCTTGAACATTCAGTGTAAGTTTTGTTAGATTCTGTGAGAATTCATTTTACTTTTTAACCAGAACTCAAGTTTCTCTTTAATATTTATCCATTGTATTATTCTCATTAGAAACTTGAGCAGATAAGCTAAATACATATAGCCATAAGTGATCCAGTTCCATTCATAGTAGGCCTAGTTTTACTAACCAAGAATTAGCTTTGTATGCACAATTACACCTCCCCCGCCCAAATACACATACTGTACCTGTATCTAAACCTGTATTTATGCTACGGTCACAAAGATTCGTACGAACGATAATTTTGTACGAATCTCCGTTTTTCCATTGTCTTCCCGAATTTCCATTGTCTGATAATCGTTTGTACGGCGTTCGTAGCCGTTCGTAATGGCATTTGTGACCGAGGCTTTAGTTATCCCACAAAATGATTGATCAATTTCCTTGTGCCCATCATTTTCACTTTCATCTTCATTATCAACCCCGTCAAAATAAAAGTTTGGAAACTCAGGTTTGATCGACGATATCTCCCTTATCATGGGATAATTATTGCTTTGTTAGTTTGTTACACTAGAAAGTATGTTTATTCCTCTTTGAAACGATACCGTGTTTGTTATGATTTCGCAATCATGGAATGAGCAGTACATCAGAGTTGTGAATGCCATAGGATAGTTTGGTGACCTAACATTTGCTTCACTGACTATTGCTGTTGTGTTAAATTGGCACCTTGAAAAGGTGATATCCTGTATGCCAGTTGCTTACAGGGAGTCAGAAGTTACTGAAGTGGTGAATGCCATAGGATGTTTTGTGACCCGTCCTTCACTTTTGCGACTATTGCTTCTGTTGCTGTTATTGATGTTGTTGTTATTGTTGTTGTTTAAAATTGGCACCTTGAAAAAGTGATCTACATTTGCCACACTCAACCCAGGTGATGTAAATGGGTACCTGGCAGGAATTAATTCCTTGAAATGCTAGAGCGCCATAATGGCAGCACAGCTAAAGCCGGAGTAATAATTTCCAAATGTGTTAAGGTGCCTTGAGCATCCCTTGGGCTGGATATATGCACATTATAAATTTTGTTATTATTATCCTGTGTGCCAGTTGCTGACAGGAGTCAGAAGTTGCAATTGGTCGTTGAAGTGTGGCCAAGGGAGTTAGTAAGGGATTATAACTAAGTAAATATAGTTTCAGGTCCTCTAGATAAAAGTGATGCTAGCAAAATTTGAATTCTTGCTATGTATATTTAAGAACCTGTGGATTTGTAGAATAAAGAATTTATCTTTTAGCTATTGCGCATGGTTTTATCTTGTCGACAATATAGGGTTCGGTTTAAGGTAGGTTTAAGTTTGGGTCTATTCTAGTGTTGAATTTAGTGTTTGGTCCATATTTGAGGTAGTGCAGTTCATTAGTGTTTATGCTGGAGCACTTTTCAAAAGAGCATGGATTGTACATTACTACATTTAGTGGGGACAATAATATTAACTTAGTCTTTTGGACATTTACATTTAATTAAGTGATGGGTTTTTGGTATGAGTAGATGAATGGAATATATTCATAACTTTGGTAATCATTAGTCTAAAAACCCTCTGTTTTTGCATATTTTTCCTTTTTTTCTCTTTTATTTTTACTGACACATTACAAAATTTTGTCTTTATTTCATCATGGTTTATGGAAGTCTAGAAAAGTATAACTTTATGGGGATACCTGTTTTCAATTGCTTTTTTGGCCATTTGGCCCGGGTTTCGGTGTTGAATTATGAAGTAAGATTCAGGCTTGATTGTTCATTCTGGAATACTTCTTGGCAGTTCTGCTATGAGTGTTTTATCCATGGGTGGTGTACCATTCTTTTTCTTCTATTTATTTATACCCTTTTTAATGTAAAGTTCTAAGAAATGCAAAACATAAGTTTATCCAAAAGAAATATGAATTGTGGATGTGCTCACACAAGTTTGTAAGAATCAAGAGGTAATTTACTCATGTAATAGTATAGAGATTTCATATGAGTGTGGTAGATTTATTTACAGATTTTATATTTCAAGATTACTCAAAAATGCCTCTTCGGTTCCTTTACAGTGTTTATATGCAGGTTTGATTTAGAAAATTTATCTTTTAGTTATCTTCACCTTTCAAGTGATTATCAGATGTGTGCAAACAAGCTTATAATCATAAATTTCAATTCAATTCAATAAACAACAAATGCAGAACCTTTCATACAAATTTCATAAATTTCATAAATAAATGCAGCCACAATATGAATCTGTATGCTTCATTACATGAAAATAACTTCTCACATGCTTTTAGATATTGATTCATATCATTAAATATTGCGAGCAAAGAGAATGATTCAACTGCATGCATCTCAGGGCAGTTCCATGAATGCATGGAGTTTCTTTGAAATGAATGATGTGCTGTTGATAGCAGGACAATATTAATGCTATAAAGTATCAAACATACCTGTATCCACTTATTACTTCTCTCTTTCTCTCTCTCTCTCTCTCTCTCTCTCTCTCTCCTCACACCCTGGATGCTATTCTGTGTGAGTAGGGTAAGGAGATGTATCTATGGGACTGAGAAGGTGCACCTCCCCCGCCGTGATTCCCTCAGTCCAGAGGTTATGCAGACGTGTGAACAGTTCAAGACCCATCATCTTGCTCGGTGCAGGGACGTCATCGTCACTGATCGAAAGTAAGTCTTCACCATTCCTTCTCTTCACATGGAAGATGGTAATGGATTGGCACCAAACTATTTACAAAACCTTGTTATGCATTATACACCAGCTCGTAGTCTAAGATCATCACACTAGCATCTTCTTAAGATCCCCAAGACATCAAACCATAGGTAGCCTGTGGTGAAAGGGTCTTTTCAGCTGCCAGCACCTTCTCTTTGGAATAATTTACCATTTAATTTGAGAATCATAACTTCCTTAGAGACCTTTAAATCCAAGCTGAAATCTTATTTTTTTTAACAATACCTGTACTTGGCACTATGACCCTCATCCAAACTCTCTCATTATTTCTATTTTTCTTGTGGGCCTCGGAATAGCATTGTCTAGATAGACAGTGCTATATAAATGGCTACCTTTTATTATCATTGTTTTTAGATGCATTTTTTCTTTCTTTTTTGTTATTAAACTATAGCCTTGAACAAGGTTTTTCAAATGTAACATACAGTCAAATTCGTTTGAAAGTTCTCATATATCACATCCAAACGTACAAATTTCCTGTCTTGAGTTCAGATATTTTTCCTCAGTTCTTTAAGGGATTATTTAGTAGCAGCTTGAATCTATTTGCCAATCATTAGCATGTCAGAAAAATGAAAAATTGATCATATTTGGAATTAAGTTGGTGAAGTGAATTTAAACAAATATTGGTGCTTTGAATTGTCAAGTATACCTGGAAATCAAAGAAAACTCTTTTTCCAGTCAGAGAATATTCATGGAATTTTATTTGTCCAAAGAAGAAAGAATCAGTGTCTTATCTTTTGTTTTGTGTCCATGAGGAATAGATATTTTGAAGACATTTAGACTGGAAATAAGTTCAAATAATCATCCTAGAACTTAGGATTTTCATCAGAGAAATGAGGACATTTCGTTGGGAACCCTAAATTTGGTTTATATACTGATATCATATTATCATTTTGTGTTTGTTTCTTTTCAATTCAATTCAATTCAAGGTTTATTGAAAAATATTTGCAGCTGTTGGTGGCTGAATTGTGATATAGTTCACAGATTAAAACATGCAAAATTACAAAATATACATATCAACTACAATTAACATAGATTGGCATAAATTTAAAATGAAATATAAAATATATGGACAGAAAACCAAAGAGTTCAAATGTGAGTTTCAGAAAAATGGGTTGTTTAAATTACATCAGGAGTTTAGCGATTATTAAAAACCATTGTAAACATTGTAAACATCTTTCCCCTCAGATATCACTTGCGAACCTACAAGAAAGTCTTCCGCGGCTTGGACCTTGTGGATTGGCTACTGGAAGTGGGTCTTGCGGTGGGCCGCAGCGAGGCTACCAACTATGCAACACGCCTTCTGATTGGACGAATCCTGGAACACACCCACCAAGAACATCATTTCCATGACAACGGGCTCTTCTTTCGATTTGTGGCGGATGAAGAGGAAGGGGGAGGAGGAAGCGGAGAAGGGGAAGAGAATGGCAATGACAATACTAGTGATCTCATGGAAGATTCTTCTTCTCCGAGGGCTGTAATGTCATGATAAGGGATGCGTTCCATATGAGATGCTAATACCAAACACAGATTTCATGATTGACATGCATATCTATAGAAGATCTTGAAAGAATGAGGGAGGAGAGGATGTATGAAGAGGAAGGTAGGAGGACAATGGCAATTGCAATAACAATGATCTTATGGAAAATTCGCCAAGAACTGTATTGTCATGACAACAGATGCTTTCCATATGAGATGCTAATACCAAAGACAGATTTCATGATTGACATACATACATATCCATAGAGGAACGTGAAAGAATGAGGGAGGGGAGGATGTATGAAGAGGAGGGTGGGAGGAGGAGAATGGCAATTGCAATAACATTGATATTAAGGAAGATTCAACAAGGATTGTATTGTCATGACAACGGATGCGTTCCACCTGAGATACCATCATCACAGACTGTTGTTATTGTTTGCATATTTATTTCAGTAAGATGAAGGATGGAGAGAAGGAGAAGAGAACAGCAAGAACAATGAGCTCTTGAAAGGTCCACAAGAATCTGATGTCATGACAAGATGTAAAGTGTTAACATTTTTATAGTTTACGTACTTCATCCATTAAAGTTTGAGGATTTGAGAGGAGATAACGGGATGGAAATAGAATCCAAGAATTTCATTTGAAGAATCAAAGCCGAGCAGCATTTAACCTGAACAAATACGCTTCCACCATCGACTCTAATGTTTCTGGAGCATGCATTCTGCTTTAGCTGCTCTTGAGCACAACCGAACGAGGGCTTCTCCCCACAACTGACTGCAGCAAAATAATGCACCCCTTTTAATATACATGCATGAGCCTTCCGTTCCACAGTTACAGTAGAATCAATATCGCAATTTTCTAGAAATATCAATATTTTACATTTTGGTACTATGGTGATATGGTGATGGTGGTTATTTTACCCGACTGCTAAGAAAGCATAAATGCTTGTAAGTAAGCAACCAGACGGCTGATGACTTTAGGTCCTCTCCGAGGGACCAGGTAATGAGGATTAATGCCTTACCAAAATGCACAAGCGCATCGACTTGGTTTCGAACCAGGGTCACCATCCAGTCGACCACTGCTCGACCGACTGAGCTATTACGAAACAGGGTCCCTTTGTTTCATTTACCTCTTTAAAAAAGAGAATAGCTTGGCCATTTACTTGTGAGAAGAAAAGAAATCATTATGTAAGTGAAGGAGAAAAGAAGAAATTGTATGTAAGTATAAAAAGAAGAACACCTTTTTATTTACATGTGTGCTATGTACACTAACTCAGAGTAAAAACTTTTAGCACAAATGGCCTTCGGGTCAGATGTGATGCAATATTTGTTTTCTTGCAATTCTTGTTATGTCCGAAGATCTAAGATTCATAGACAACTTGGTATTCCTTACCGGGAGAAACTTCAATTTTTACCAAAGAATAGACATTATAGTAACTATATATACATTTACATCAGTAGGGCGTAACCAGTTTGACATCTGAGGCAATAGTAGAGGGTGTACAGACTGGTTTCGATACAGAGGGTAGATAATTTTACTATTGCCTAAACATTTTATGCTTATTATTTATTTTGTAAAATGATAACTTTTATCCTTTCATTTGATGAATCACCCTCATCTTAAAGTGCTTAACCCTAGAGTCGACCGGCGGGATTAGATAATTAACTGACCTGTCATTAGCCTTTTCTATCGACCGTAATTACTTTCTAATGACTGGTTACGTGTTAGGAAATCTGAATGCCTTGTCACTTATCCGTTCATTAGGATCTGCATGTGTAGGTCATGTTACATTTAAGTACATGTATTTGTGGTCTTATTGGTGGATCAGTCAGTTAATTGTGACTGTAGAATTGTAAAATGTAAAGCTAAAAGAATTATTTGTGCAAAGGGGATGTGGAAGTTCTGTGTGTGCAAGATTTGTGTCAATTAATGGGATGATCAGTTAGATAAAATAGAATATAACATTAACAATGGTGCCTTTTATCAACTCCATTCCTTCACGATCATTTGTGTGCTTATATTTTTGTGTGAATAGATTTCATCAACTCGTCCACTATATTAAGGTCATGTACAGTTTTGATAAGCCTTTAAAAAACAATTAAGATTTCTTTGGTTTTTAGATGATGAATAACAAGATATTAGTTGTACAAAGCTGCTGGAACGTTTTTTTTTCCTCGTCTAATGGAATACGAAACAAATGAGAGGTTACAAATAATTTAAATGTCTGACCCGGCACATCAAATCCAGCAGCAGCAGTTTGCTTCAGACACGTGTATAAAAACCTACGAGGTCTGTGTTTCTGCTTGTTTTGAAATATACATTGTTGAGGTTGCTGTGTGGGGAGCTAAAGTACCCCTTTACCGGACATTTTGGTAGCACGCCGCATGCATCCCTCCGTTCACGGAGTGGGAGGGGCGGGGGTCGGGGTAGAAGTATCCTAGCATAGAGCACTATGTAACCATGATCTGGGCTCTTTTTCATAAAAACAATAACTGTTATAAGGTAATGAAATCCTGGCATCTGATTGGCCTAGAGATAATTTGTCATAGAATTAGAGCAATTGTAATGGTTTGTTTTATGAAACGTGGTCCTGGTACGGGTTTCACAAAGATCCTAAGTTGAACTTATCTCTAAGTTGGACTTAACAATTATGGAAAGCCATTGGTATCTTTGAAAATATTTTTGTAAAATTTATTTTGAAAGGCATAAAATGTTGATTCAAATCATTCATATTTTCTATTATCAAGGAGATTTCATGTTCCTGATGTGGAATTTATGAAAAGTCTAAAATACTTCAAATTTGCTTTTGAATGTATTTCATTATAAGGCTACAAAGTCCAACTTAGAGTTAAGTTCGACTTGGAATCTTTCTGAAACACCCCCTGGTGTTCTTTTCAGCTGTTTACACGAAGTTCATCAGAGATCATTGATAAAGCATCAAAATACCTTTCACATTTATCTTTCGATACAAGTAGGACAATGTAAGACAACACATCATTCCAAATTTCTTTATGCTATCAAAACTGTACGTTGGCTTTCATAATATACTTTAATGAAGTGATTCATTACAACTTTGGAAAATCTGTGTAATATATCATTGTATCATATATTAATTTTATATGTAATCTTGCTTACCACATGTGCATTAATTGTTTATTTATTTTTATTTGAGACTAGTGCTTAAAGAATTGTCGAACCAAAAAACAGATATGTGTGCATAAAACTAGAAAATTTTGTGAAAAAGTTAAATTTTCTAAAACTGTCATGTGATAAAGTAATAGAATAAAAAAACAGATTTTTATGCAGTTCGCAAGGCCTTTGTATTCTATATATGTAAGAAGTTAAACCCTGTGTATGGGGCTTGCACTGAACGTAAGTAGGATTTGAGTTCTGTGCGAGCCCTAATCTATGCGAATACATAAGCGTGTGTTACATGTAACTAGTCTATATGATCAGTAAATTATAGAATAATATGTCCATGTAACATGTGATTAATTCTGATATTCAAATCGTTTCATTTTAATTGTCTACTGTTGAATCAATGCATTATTGTGTCTATGCCCTTAACTGGGATTCCAGTTGTATTGAAATACATCATGAATGATGAATCTAAAAGATGTGTAAATCATAGTACTATATGAAGGATGTTATATAATATGTATAATTTTGGAAATTGGAAAGGAGAAAATAAATGGACAAAACGATAAATTTTCAGTATTTGTGAGTTTATTTGTGTCAGACTTATTCTGTAGATTTGAAAACTTGCACCATAATGCATGATTGTATACAACATAAATCAAATTACCAACTCACATACCCTGGTCTAGATAAAACAATTAAAAACATGTTTATTGTAACATGATCACATATTATCTGCATCTGCTCCTTCAATCCATAGAGGTACATGCAGGTGGTAATAACATGTACAAACATATTGAAATTGGCATACCACAACTAAAAATTGTAATGAATTTCGAAATAAACCTTAGATCAGCTGCATGATTTGAATAATTTCCCATTACACATGAAGACAAAATCAAGATAAACTTCAGCACTCGTGCTAATAAAGGTCCCTTTACCTTTACCTGTTTGGAAAGGAATTTGATTTTTGTCAATGATTGTTGAATTCAAATATTAAGTACACTTGGATGAAATAAAACCCAAGGATAATACCGGTAACTGAAGTCTTTATCAAAGATGCATCTTCTTTTAATACTCAAATAGGGGCCATTGGTTATTAAATCCATATGAGTTCATTCTTTCAAGGACGGTTCATTATGAAGATCGTTCATACGTGTATAATGTCATACATGTAAGTAAAAATAATGGAGAGCTTTAAAGGTAAAGACCAGTATTGGAAACGCCCCAATTTCAAAAAATGAAATGGAAGCTCTCATTACCAATCATATGAAAGAATATGCTTTGACTAATACATGATGATAAAAAATTTGCCAGGAAACCGCCTACTAATTCATATATTTGGTAAATTTGTTTCTCTCATGGTCTGTGAGAGATATAGGGTAGTCCCATATACATCTTTGTGTGTATAGTACTTGTAACTTTACGAAGAATGGGCCAAATTTCTTATCATTTTGATGATTCCAGAACCTTGCAGATGCTAGATGCTAGATGATCAACCTTTTCTGATCGATTCCACAACGTTTCTTGCACAATGCAATCGCATGACCATAACTGGTCTTTACCTTTAAATATGTCTTTTAAAGACGTACTGGTAGATGAACAAAACCAACCATATCTAGCAATATCAAATGACCTCTTCAGGGCCTGTGGGAGACCACATCCAACTGTAGCTGGCCTTTGTAACCGTTCTAAGACGTACATGTGGCAGATCTATGTGATTGTGTGCACCAGGTGGCCACAACCTGGGCCCCGTTTCACAAAACTTGTCATCAGTGACAGTTTTTGTTATAAGCTACTGAAATCCTTGCTTCTGATTGGTTATCAGCAGATTTGTCACTGATATTTGTCATTTGTCATTGAAAAATGTTTTGTGAACCAACCTCCAGGACAGAAGCAAATCTTCATGACATTTCATTTGAGTCAGTCCTGGGTCCTGTTTCATAAATCTTGTTATCAATAACAACTGACACAAATCTATGGCTAATCTGCTTACAGCCAATCAAATGCAAGGATGTCAGTAGCTTATACCAATCATTGTATCTTGTTATTGATAACAACTTTTTATGAAACGGAGCCCTGCTCCATTGTGTACCTTCAGGCTTCTTGCTTAGGACCAGCAATCGTAACACCACATCAAATGCAACATCATAATAATAATTATCTGGATTTATATTGCGCTTAAAGCCCCACTGTCCTACTTGTAGCTACTTGCTCCCTCTATATAGAAAGCAATGCCTAATCAGTGACCATTGGTACCCCATGATCCTCTTTTTCTAATGTTACTTGAGAGAGGAGTTGATGATAACCACCTGTCATTGACCATGCTGGGTGGTCTAATCCCTCCTGGCAAAACTAGTACAGTCGGCCTTTAATAGGAATCATCAGATTCATTCTCGCATCATGTGCACCATCTTCACTCCCTAGCGAGTATTCCTACCACATGGTCACCGTGGGAGCATATGGCAATTACTAACACAAAGGCTTTCGTCCTCCTACCAGGTCCCCATTTCTCTCCTGAGTATGGAGTGGAAAATGTAGATCTATGCCTTGCCAAAGGACATTATTGCCTTGTCGGGGATGGAACCCATGACCTTTGCATTTCATGTCAAGTGCTTAAACCACACTACTGCGACATCTCTACACATCAAGAGGCTATAGTTAAGTACTACTGTGCAAGCAGTTCCCCAGGTTCATCTTTTCTTCTTCTTATTCTTCTTCCTGTGTTTGCCACCATGCTGGGTTGATGCTGCCAACAAAAAAATATTAAAGAAAAAATAATGATTGGTTTTAATTTTTCTCAATCCGCTGCACACTCTGCAGACATAGGCAATTTCATAATGTTACCAAGTTTATGCATATATGCCTTTATGAAGCGCCTCAATATGATTTTTATCCTATTCACCTCTTACCAATAAATATATCTCAATAGTTGGAATTCGGATTGCATACATTAGCTGTTGCTAGGTAGGACAAACATTATGGCTTGCCTTACCTAACACGTAATACATGCAATTTACATTCTGACTATTGATATACAATTATTTGTAACAGTCGATTGAAATTAATCGTATCGAGGCACTTTAGTTTAGAAGGGAGGGCAGGAAGGTACATGTACATATATTAAAATGGGACTCCAAAACAATTTTGTTTAAAGGGCCGTGTTCTAAGTGTACTTTTATCATGCAACTCAACCCCTTAGACACACTTTGAAGAACAGGGCAAAAGAAATGTGATGCGACTTACGATGCTTGAAGTTTTGAGGGGAAGGTGGGAAGGTGAGAGGGACACAGCCCCTCCATCTGTTGCTACGATACGGAGCACTGGGATCCAGAGGTACCCAGGGGATTGTGGGAGGAAGTGATGTCATCAGCTGACTGGTTTTATGAGCTGCATGAAGGTCATACGGTGCCCTGATAAAGAATAGCAGAAAATACATATACGTGGAGAGGGAATTAGAAATACATACAAGGGGATCGGAGCATAGAACCAAAAAATTGTCAAGTGCCTTGTAGAAGGATGAGAAAAGATGCATGGGACAATATATTTACATTTAAAGAAACAACACATTTGATTTTTTGATTTGATTTGATTTGATTTTCTTCTGCATTCATGTAAGTTTACAGTTTTTTGATAACAAAAATATAATGTACAATAAATATTTTACTGACAATGAATCATAAATTAGCAAATACATATATATATATATATATATATATATATATATATACTGTTATTTTCAAAAACGAAATGATAAACTGTCACAAATACTATATTTCCTCAAACATTATAACACATTATCAAATTATTTGCGGAAGAAGGACTGTCACTGTAGGCAGATTGCTTGAAAATACGACAGCCCCAGACAAAATCTCATGTCAACATCATCCAGACAAAAACTCAATTCAACATCATCTAAATTCAAAACAATGGTGGGTGTTTGAATAATGCGACATGATGGTTTGACAGTCACAGTAACAGAAGGCTGTCTACATGGAAAGATGATGACAGGAAGACCTCGCGGAAGATTCTAGACAATATCATTTGAGAATGTGACTACAGTGATTAACCTGTCATATGACAGATCGCTCTTGATAATGGTTGGTGTTTCATCCATAATATTGCACGGTTTTCGTTGTTTTATTGTTGTGTTTGGTTTGTCGTTTTTTGGCAGGAGGGGCAAGAGCTGTATTGCGATAACCCGCAATTCACCTGTGCTACAATGTACTAATACCGGACTTTCTTGGTGGTTGGGTCCATGCACATGAAGACGCAGGTCTGTGTCTGGGCACAGGCATTTCATAATAACCCCCCAATTAGCCTATGATATGTGCCCTTACCGTATATTTTTGGTGGTTGGATCCACGCACTGGTATATGCAGATATGAGCATCTCCAGGTTTTTGTCTCAACAATGCGAGGCGCAGGCATTTCATAATAACCCCCCAAGCAGTGTATGATATGTGCACTTACCGTACATTCTTGGCGGTTGGGTCCACGCACTGGTAGATGCAGATATGAGCATCTCCAGGTCTGTGCCTCAGCAGGTATCTGCCCTTGGATAAAGCCGCTAACTTGCCAAGGATTAGATACAGTACCTTCATGCACATACCAGGGCTATATATCAGAGAAATTGAAAGAGAACGGAAGACAAATGGAACAAATAAGATAAATATCATAGTACAGAGCATGCAATGCCCTTATCAAGAAACAAACCTTACATTTGGTGAAAAACTGGCACATAAGATATTTGTAGAAAATGCCTGTTTTTTAGTTTTTTTAATAAATACAGAAACAAAACATTCAATCTATATTTTTGCATGTAATTTTTTTTTCATTTTAAGAGCACATCATATTGAGATGGTTTAAACCATGGGAGATACGAGTTGATCTAGTGGTACGTTTACTTGGTCAGCTCTCTGCCTTACCCTACAAACTGACTCAGGCCACCCGGTTTAAAACTGAGTCGCGTCTTTCAGATGGTGACGTTAAAGGGTCGGTCCCCAGGCATAAATTATCATATCTGATTGATAAACATCTGTAAAAGCCCAATTAACACACACATGGTAGGATTAAAACTGTCTTTGTGAATCCATGCCTTAAAGTGTGTACTTTTTTCTGTGTACTCACCTGAATGCTTGTTGTGGCTGACCCATGGTTGAGCCATCTAGACATTCCCAGCTTAGGATCTCCGATGTTCTGGAATCTATTCTGCCTGTAAATGATTGAATACATAAATGAAAAGAATGAAGGGGAAATGTACCGGTTGTTCCTTGTAGCTACTTATAAATGCATGTTTGGATAGGTTTAGGGTCATTTAATTGATTTTCAACTCTAACATTCACTGTTCTTCTTCTCTTCATATGTATCTGTCTGTCCTATCTCTCTGCCTTGCCCTCTCTCTCTCTCTCTCTCTCCCTTTATATGTATCCACCTTTCTCTTTCTCTCTCTTTCCTTCCATTTATATGTTTGTATCCCCTTTCCTCTTTCTACCTCTCTCTCTCTCTTCCTGTTTACCTGTCACTCCATGTTTGTACCCTCCTTGCATGATATTTTGAATGCTAAGTTATCATTAGCAAGATGCCTGTGAAGCCTTGTTGAGATATGAAGTTGTAAACCACAGCATTTGTTAAAGTTATGATGAAGTAAAGTGTAATACACTTTAGATCTGTGTATCTTACGACACACCGCTAAATGGATACGTGTAGGATTGCTGCCTGTAATTGACATTCATTTACACGTTAAAAACATGGCTTGGTTTTTTTGTCGCGGTGGTTTACTGTGTCATATCTGAACAAGCCTTAAAAGACATCAGTTGTCACTGAAGACATTCATAGCAACAACTCGAAAGCTCATTCATGTACAAATGAAAAAACGTGGCATTTTTTGTTTTGGGGGGTGTTGGTTTATTGAGACATATCTGAATGAGCCTGATTAGTGACATCAATTATCAATGTACATATTCATGGCAATGACACGAAAGCTCACTGCAATACTTACCTCTGAGGTACTTTGATCCTGGGTTTAGGGAGAGGTTGAGCCACATCCTAGTCAGATCACTAGCTGTTTGCATCTCCAGGCCAAGACCCGACTGATACTCCATCTTCTCACCCACACTCACAACCTCGCCCTGCAAAAGAGAACTTCATATTAGGTTTCTTACAGATAGCTTGATTGTTATGGCAGTGACTTAAATATATTTTGTGCCACCTTGAATCTATCTTGCATGACCAAGAAAACGTCAATCACAATGCCTCTTTTTTTATGGAGACTGAGGTTCATCTTTCATTTAAAACAACTGCTTTTGTCAGAACTTTGATCTTCATTTTTCTTTTCAATCAAAGTTCTGTTCCCAATCAATTTGATGATAAAGTTGCCCTTCATCACATTTGAATGATGATCACATCAAGTTATCTCTTTTGGTATCTTTATTCCTACCTGTAACGTGCCGGGACATTTGCTTTGTGTCAGCAATCGTAATCTGCCAAACTTCCAGAGGCTATAGGCCCAGCTTCCTTCCGTCGGAGGCACCAAGTCTACACCTTCAGGCACGAAACCCGTCACAGCTTGCGTCTCTTCTGCACCAATGGCTTCATTACTTCCTTGATGACCTTGTTCATGACTTTGAGTGCCATGACCTTGAGAGTTATGACTTTGAGGTTGACCTTGAGAGCCATGACTTTGAGGTTGACCTTGAGAGTGTTGTTGACCATTTGACTTCTGTCTGGTGAGCATTTTCTCCTGGAGCCGCATGATTTCATCGATGGTTGACTCTGCTTTGTTCTTCTCACCTTGGTCTTTATTTCCTTTATTTCCTAGCTTCCTGGGTGTGCCTGACCTTGCAGAAGAACCTTTCTTTGGTGTCCCTTTTCTCTTCATGGCTACCTTAGGATTAGCACAATCACCTGTACTCACTACAGTGGTTTCTTGCCTCTTTGACACAACATCACCATCCTTATTTTGGTCAGAACTTTTCCCACTGTCTGCAGAATTGTCTTTTCGACATCTGATTCTTAGACTCCTCACAGTCCCACAGTCTTTTCCCTTTTCATCCGGTCCACAAGCCAAACTTTTGGGGATATCTCGTGTTCTGTGACTGGATTCTCATCATTGTCTTTCCTCCCTTTATTTACTACAGTTGAGGCTGTCTGTTCCTCTTTACCCGGTTGTTTCCTGGGTCTTCCCCTCTTTTTTTTCACTGGCACTTCTTCCACTTGTCCAGCACTGGTGTTCCCATCACTGGAACTTTGCTTCCTGATACGAGAACTTCTCCTTGTAGCTATCCTTCCATCAGGCACTTCTTCATCAGGTTTCCCGTTTGTCTGTGCATCCTTCGCGATGTGTTCTACCATAGCCTTGTTTGGCTCTGGTTTTACATCATCCTGTCTTTGATCACCCTCTACAATCTCTTCTTCCTTTACCATGTCTTCTTGATCTTTGTCCCTTATCTGCAAAGTAGTTTCCTCTGCAGATTTCCCTTTTATCTCAGGTCCTTTTATCTCGGGCCCTTTTGAGGATGGCCCGTCTCTTGATGCTGATGGGCTGCTCCCTGCATCTGACTCCATCATAATGACTAAATTATGACCATCGTCGCTGCTATCGCTCATTAGCCTCACATCAGGTTTGTGCTGACTTTCCTGAAAAGTGTTTAAATTTTCTTCGTCTCCATCCTCCATGGTAATGTCTAATTTATCCTGTAACTCTTGTGACTGAACAACACATGCCTCATCTGTTGCCAAATCAGCATCATCATTGATACTTGTTGATCTCCTGGGAATAACAACCTTGACAACTTTCTTCTTTGAGGCTGCTGCCAATATCAGTGCTTCCTTCTCATCACCACTGTTGTTCTCATTTTGTGCTGAAGAGTCAAGAGATCCCTGAATGGTGTCCTCGGATGAAAGGCTTCTATCTAAACTAATATTTCCACTATTACTCAATTTAGTGTCATCTAGAAACTCCATCTTAACATCATCCCCACCCAATGACTTTCTACAATCCACTGCATTTCTACAATCTGCTGTAGTCTGTTCAGAAATCATGATAGAACTGTCTTCAACCTTCACAACATCTGATGTCTCCTTTCCTTCACACTCCACTCCAAGTTCCACTTTCGACTCCTCTGTTCTCTCTTCCTTCTCTGGTGCCTTGGACGTAGGACTTCGAAGGTCACTCCCAAAGGTCTCTAGGTCAGTCAAGGACATAGAGCCAAACTCATCCACATCCTCTTCCGTTTCAGGCTCCTCCGGAAGTGTGGTATCCAGTTTTTCAAGCATTATGCCCTCAAGGACATCTTCTTCCGTCCTGTCTGACGTCTTGCAGTACTTCTCGTTGCCTCCCGTTGTCAGCATCTGCTTCAGTACCAGGTTGTGGTAGAGACCACTTGCATTGTGCGGGTAATACAGATGTCTCATCAATGGCTCTTCGATGAATGCCACCTTCCCCGTGGGCCTCTCTGAAGAAGATGAAAGAAATCATACAAAGACAAAAAAGGTATCAAACAGAAGTCAACAAAGGCATATACTAAAAATGTTAAATTTGAGATTCAGTCTGTACAAAGTAATTTCCTCTACCGTAAGTTCCAGAAAATCAAGTAAATATGTCAAATATGCCATCTCACAGAAATGTAATAAATTGCCCTAATATTCTGCATTATTTACATATATCAGTCCCATGTTGAACTTAAAATTCACTTGAAATGCATTTCCAAAAGGAAAAACCATGGGTCATTGTGGGCTCTTAATATGCTTCAAAAGGTAAAAGTTGGTTAACAAGGTATCATGATAGTTTTAAAAACACAAGAGAGGGAGGCTCTTGTTTCTACATGCAGTTATAAGAAAATACTAGAAAATACCAGAAAAAAGGTGGCATCCACCTCACCTTTGACCTCTAATGGAATCTCCCATTGATGCTCATAGAGGGGTGCATGGTTGTTCACGAGGGTGAAGAAGCTGCCGGCAGAGAGGACAATGTCTGCCTTGTACACCTCAGCGAGTTTCTGGCAGTTATTCTGGTTAGTCTTCTACAGGTATTAGGAAACAAAATAGCATAAATAATAATACATCTTTTTTAAACTTTTCTAAAACATTCAGGACCATGTTTCAAGTTTGAAGTTTAATTTCAATTCAAATCCATAAAAAACACATCAGATACAGATTATATACAATATAGAAAACAGAGAACACACAAAAAATGGAAACATGTCTACAAATATACCATAATTATACAAAGTTAATCAGCAATAGAAATGAAGTATATATTGTTTTCAGAGATATCACATTTTATTTTAACAGTACAGCAATAAAAGAAAAAAATTATTGTTGTCAATTTGAATTTAGCCCTAAAAATAAATCCTGTCCTGAAAGGGTTAATAGTAATTTAGTGAGAAGTACAATTTAAGGGAAACAAAAATATGGTCTCTAAAGATATTAATATTATTATTATTATTATTATTTATATATACTGCGCTTTCCCAGAGCAGCCCAAAGATAGGGGTTCTTTCTATACAAGTGGTTTAATACTAAAGCAACTTTAACTATACTTACATCTTCTTGCACTTCCGATAAATTTTCACATTCAGTTCCTGATGTTTTCAAAATCACCTTCCGATCTTCCAGTGGTGGGACGACCAATTCTGTAGGCTTACCCTGAAAAATTACAAGTCAAGTGGTTCAAAATGAAGCTGATGGTAAGATAGTAGCTGGCGATCTTGTCTCATTTATAATTTTGACCCAAACTGAAAACCAACTTTAAATTTCAACAATAGGGCTAAGCTTTATGGTATTGATGTCTTTGGAAAGGTGAATGCATAGAAATTAGATTTGGAAAACCTTTTTTTTTAATGTCCCAGCAAAGAGAAATTCAATGACCTTTGTATCAATGGTCAGATAGGGTTCATTTTGAAAATCTATTTTATTAAAAATGTGCGAACCAAGTTTTTCGAAGGGGATCAGGTTTAACCCATTGGGTGTTTTGTTATCATGATAGACAGATCTTAAAATGATGGGACTTAGACATATCTTTTCAGCTTACATATCAAGGAGATGGTTTATGACAAATTTATGATGATAGGGGATCCAAAACAGGTTTTTAATAACTCAAATCTGTGATTACTGTCAGAAATTATGGAAATCCAATAAATATATATAGCTACCAATTGACAGAATCAGGATTTCTTTTCAATTGTATGCAAAATAATATGCCATGCCAACAATGGCACAATGGTCAATTTTGAATAGTTGTCAATTCCTAGCTTTAACCCTTGACCCATAATCATTCAGAACATTTACACTAGCCAGGGCCCTGTTTTATCAAACTTAATTGTTATCTATAACAAATGCTAAATTTCTATGAGAAAATTGCCCTCAGCCAATCAAATGCCAAGTTTTCAGTAGCTTGTAACTGTTATTGTAACTTGTTATTAATAATATGTTAAAGAAACAGGGCCAAGAACCAAATGTAAAACCCAATCGCAACCCATGCTCTAACCTTTCTTAAATGCATTGCTTGTGACAAACCCCTGTGATACATACCACAAAGACTGGTGATCCTATTCTCTGAAGTGTGGGATCCGACGGTAATGGTACTCCTGGGTTAAGAGTGACAGTCTGCAGAACTGCGTAGTGCCGAGGAAGGGATTCCACTCTTTCCAGATTTCTCTTCAATGAATCCTTTGAAAGCACAAGAGAAAAATAAGTCAGTCATTGAATATTGAATATCCTAGGCTAGACAGTTGGCATGTACAGTAGTATACTCTCTATTTGCTAAATGCATATCACAGCATTAAAAATCATTGATAGGTCCCATATGATAATATACATAGATTGTTTTACCTGACTGCTTAAAGGAAGCATGTACATGTGTATGCTTTTAAGTAAGCAACCAGGGGATCTCTGGCTTTAATTCCTATCCGAGGGACTTAGTAATGGGGATTAATACCTTACCAGAGGGCACATACGTATATAATTGGTTTCAAACCCGGTACCTCTTGGTTACGAGACCACTGCTGTACTACTGAGCCATCGCACCTCAAATGTAAAAGAAATGGTGATTACCTTGAGGTATTTCGCAGCTCCAGTTGGCAAAGAGATGTAGCTTTCTGGCTGGTTGTTAGCTATGTATTCTGCAAATGAGTTGAAGTCTTGTTGATCTTGGTATATCTGGGCTCCAAGTTGCTAGCAAGGAAAAATTGATTATAAAGTGTGCTTTATGATATAATAATGGGCATTTTGCAAGAAATGTGTCATGTACAGAATACTTAATATTATTATTTTCAATTTCAATTCAATTATAACTGTCTTATAAAAGTAGAGTGTCGTATCTATCTGAATGTTACTGCACAATGCACATCCACAAATGCTTGAAGAACTACCAATGTACCCAAAATGTAGGGTGAATTATGACCATTAGCAAAATTGAAGTATAACGGCTTAAAGAGGAAGTCCACCTTGATATTAAGTTGGTTTTAATAAATAGATGCAGAAAATGAGAGGGACAGGTCAGTTAAAGTTTGAGCAAAATATGAATTGAAATTAAGAATGTTGTGCATTTTTAAAGTTGCGATCGATCAAATACAAATTGGCGACTGTGTGACATATCAGGTGAGGTTGACTACCATTTGTAATGTACTAAAAAAAATATTTAAAAATCTATTTTCCCTAAACAAAATGTTCAATCATACATGCACCCTAATTATAATTATTGTCAATATGTTTCTATACAACCCCTGTATGAAAAAAATCTTTTCCGTCATCATTAACTAAGAAAATAAAAGTTTATGAAATTTCTGTAATGCGCAAACTGGGTGTTCCATGATGCGCAAGTGACAAAATGCCCGAACCCTAAGTCCACCCTATCATACTGACAGGTGTTCTTACCCTCCACTGCTGATGTTCTGCCGACTGCTTGGAGGTTGTGACCCTGGCGCCCTTTGACCCATACTTGGCTTGGAGTTCCAGGAACTTCTTGTGCTGTGCGAGGGTCAAGCGAGAGAAAGTGGGGTACCTGACCTTTGGGTCGGGCGAGAGGAGACTGTACACATTCCCTGCGGCCTTGGGCTTTGGCTTCTTGGTGGAGCTGAGGTTGTCGTGTGCAGCTGCTGAAGGTGGCTTCTTGGAGCTGAGGTTGGGTGTAGCTGCTGAAGGTGGGTTCTGTTGTTGCGTGATAGGTTCCTTGGGAGGGTTGGTGATCTTCGCCTGCTTGGGTTGTTTCTTAGACTGCTTCTTCTCCTTCTCTTTGGCAACCACATCCCGCCTAGAAATCATTAAGTTTAGAATCTTTTTGTTAAAAATCATAATCATATTGATTGAGAGAGCATATAGCTCTCATTTATTTCTTCCAATATGTACAATATATATATATATTTTTTTAAGTTAACAGTACCGGTAATATTGTTTACATCAATATATTGATAACAGAGTAAAACATATATATATATATATATATATGAACTAGTAATACCAACAAAAAAAACAACAAAAAAAATGAAAGAAAAGAGTGAAAGAAAAGGGTGTTACTTCAAACAAATGAAAGCTCTAAAAGTGCTCTGGTAAAAAAATAGTTAAAAGCAGTAATATCACTGTGGGAATGTCTCACTTAAATGCAACACCAAATCATAAAAGAGCTCCCACAAAAAGAAAATCATTGTTTACACTGCAGCTTGGGGTTCGATCATGCCTTCACTTTCTAATTGTGCCTCACTTTAATCCATTCAGATTTATAAATACCCACAAATGTTGGGAGAGCTTGAAGATTTGTATTTCTTCATTTTTTTAATATTTATTTATTTCACTTTTTGTGTGGGGGGAGGGTAATTTGTCCATTTACCTTGTCCATTTAGATTTAGAAACACCAAAATATGTTGGGAGAGCTTGAAGATTTCATTTCTTCATTTTTTTTTTTTTTTTTTGTGGGGGGGGGGGGGGCGGTACCTTGTCCTTGAGCCCATAAGCCCCCCCCCCCCCCTAACGTCCCCCCTCTACAACCGTTACTGCATGCTTTGAATGATGACAGATGACAATTTTATCCTGTTAAATTGTTAGTGATAGTTCTGATACTTACCAATTTTTTGAAGCTTTGGTTTCTTCATGACGACGGGCTCGAACGTTGTGTGTTCGGCTCAAAGAGAACATCTCATAATCCTCTTCGGTAAAGAAGACGTCATCATCATCATCATCCTCTCCCATCTTTTTATCTGGTTGTTCAACAAGTCTACGTTCCCCAGATCTCCAAACTGCAAAAGGGTCAACGCAAGCAGGGCATTGAATCTGATATTAACCGTCGCCACAAAGTGAAGTGATGATTAAATGCTGTGTGAAGATTCAAACAAAATACTTTTGTTAATGTTGGAAATAAATCATAAAATTTACTACTAGTCCGAAAGCTATAATTCAGTCTCTGAATTGATATCGACGGTTGTTCCGCTGAGATTTCATCTGGCTCTTCTGACCCCCTCTATACATATGTCAACAAATGTCAGTTTAATTAAAGAAATGACCCATACCAGACGATAATTTCTATCTAGAAATTTACAAGCTCAATCCATATTTTATTTTAATCACATTTATTAAAGAAAATGCAAATGACCAAGTCAAGTGCTCAGTCCGATAAAACTCCCAGCTCTGCATCCCCCAATACCCTAGATCTACATTTAATATTTGAACAATTCTCATGTTTTAACTATCATTTATTAGCTTACCGGTATAGACTTGTCACTTTACTTGCCTAGGAATACACTGCACACAGCTAGCTCTAGCACCAAGTTCGCACTGTGACTGGTGTTGCACGCTCGCCCGGCCGTAGCTCCTGGGTGCTAGTTATGCTAGATTGCCTAGATGGAACGTGCGCATGATACCTAGCTAGCTGGGAAGGCTGATGGATACAATAGCGCAGCTGAAAAGCTGAATCTGCGCACCTGCTTCGAATATCGCTGCATTGTCATTGATGCACGGCCCGTCCATGAGACCCCGTCGGATATATCAGCTATACTATCTTCGGACTTTTACATTGGCAAAACAACTTAGGTCTCAGCCTAGGAGCGAAGAATCCTTGAAAATGAGTGATATCGGTAACCCAGAGCAAGAGGATTTTGTGAGTATTGTTTTTCGTCCGTTTTAAGACTCTTTCGTAAAGTTTTTTTTCGCTCTGCTCTGAGTAAGATCAAGTCTAACTGAATGGTAATATCAAATCATGCCATGGCATGAACTAACTCCAGGCGGCTCAGCTCCGACCCCCCGACGCCCAAGGCGTGGCGACGTGGGAGCTCCGGAGCCCGCACAGGAAAACGGGTTGGGTCACATTTTTTTAGAAATGTAAAGAGGTAGTAGGGTCTAGGCCTAATTACAATCATGGGCGCTAATTCAAAATCATATCCATACTAGTTTGGCGTGGAGATACCCTACTAAAAATTACTAAAGGTAACATACCAAATATTGACTAGATCTAAATCTTCATTAATTGTTCAAATAATGGTCACGATTTAAAATAAAAGTGGTTATGTTTCCATTACCTGTACTGTAGGGTGTCCGATCGCGTATCTGGTTTTATGTGCTAAAACCCTTCCTGTAGACATTGCACACATCCCTATGCAGTGTACTTGCATTGCGCACTCATGCAAAATTGGTCAATGTTTTTATCACCAAATTGAGATTCAAATCTTTATTCTTTGTGATCCTGAAGACGATGCACAACAAATGAGGTGTCATGAAATTGCTTAGATTAATTGGGCAGTCGCTATTACTTCACCCATGCGTGGAAGATAAGTAACCATGCTTGAAACTGAAACAAGTAGGGTCTATAATTATTAATTTGGTGACATATAGTAGATTCACAAGAAATAAACAATTTTTTCTCTCCTTCTGTCTCTTATTTCAATTTTTTCCAATTAGGAGGCACAGGTGACTGATTCCGTCCTTGCCGATGAAGAAGAAGTCAAACCGACAGTCCAGAAAACAGCCGACAAGGCAATAGGCAGATCCAGGTCTCGATCCACTAGCAAGCATAAGAGCAGATCCTATCGGTCGAGGTCAAGGTCGAGGTCATACTCAAGGTCAAGGCGAAGAAAGCACCGATCTCGCAGTCATGGAAGTCGACATAGATCCTCGTAAGTTCTTGACGATACTGGGAATGGGATACAGTTCTCTGACCATTTCGATGACACGTCAATTGTAATTATATTTTACCCATGAGTGCAATTAAAATTTTGGTCTAGAAGTCTTATCCAAATGGGAATGGATTGGGATTTTTTAAAGATTTTTTCTATTTACCTCCTGACATCTGTTATGAGCATCAAGAATACTTAGTGGTAAACCTGATTCACAGCCGAGTGCTTACTACTATCTAATCTCTTTTTACTCAGAAAATCTTTCAAAAATTTGTGAACATTATGAGATTTTTTCACGGTTGTTTATTTTTGATATCTTTCAGACGTTACAGGGAAGGTCGAAGTCACAGTCGCTCTCCCATGTCTGACCGACGTCGTCACCATGGTGACAGGGTGAGTAAACACACACAGACATTCCTTTTGACTTACAGTAACCATCTTGCTACATGTTTAGTAAGCCATTAGATCTGATAGTGAAGGAAGTGTGAATAGAATTTTTTTCAATGTGCATCAAAGTTACATCTGCCAAATATATTAATTTCAAAGCCTTACCTGGTACCTGGTAATTTTGAATATCTGAGAGAAGATTTTACTCATAATCAAAACTGTCTGTTGCTCTATTACCATTGTCTGACCATAGACGTAATAGAATGGACTATCGACGAAGCAGTTTCTTTGATCCTATGAGTTCCACCGGCAAGGTTTAAATTTCGCGCCGATGCAAAAACCCAGCGGTGGTCCCACCGCAACCCGACAGCTGGATGCGATCACTTGCGCAATCTTTCATAATCGCAACAGCAAGCTCGCGATTTGGGGTTGTTCGCTGCTCCTTCAAATCGTTGAGAACCTAGTGTTAAATAGTATGAGCGCTCTCCGCCATGCGGTCGTAGCGAACATGTTTTCGTCTTTGTGCCTGACGATATTATTGTTATTGTTTTCAGCGTTGTATTTATACTAACAATTATTATTTATTTCGATGTGTGTATTGTTCCATAATACATATTTTTCTCGTACTCATGAGTCATGTGTTGTTTATAAAGTAATTAGAAGGGCAGGATTATCATTAGATGACATAAATAAGGAAGAACTTTATGATTATGATGGGCTGTCTATATATCGACATAGCAGACGACGGAAATGTTGAATATTTTGCAATGGTCAATTCCCAAATTTACGGACACAGATATTTATCCTAATTCCTAGATTCTCAAAAAAAACGTACACATATAGTAGGCCTACATCAAGATAAAATAAGATAAAATCTGAGGGAAGAAAAAAAAAAGCAGTCACTCTCGGATTAACAAGTCCAAAATATAACTTGAAAAAAACATGCACCCGCCGATCTCTATCAATGGGACTACGTGTGCAATTTGGATTAGACAAAGGCACGGCAATTTAGTGGTCGTGATGCGAAGAAGTCACGCATTACCACAGATTTTCTGAGCACTCACGAAAACAAACCCATTCTTCCAATGCCTATAAAAAAAACGCACGCAAACGCAACAAATAACGAATGATTGTATTCGACAAACGAAGGATTTGTGATCACCACAACGTCGTTGGTTTCACAGAGAAATTAACGGAAACAGGAGAAAAAAAACACTTTTTAAACTGTATTTTGTAAGCTCTTGTGGTGACTTTCCTTGCTTATATGATGAGTTTGCTACACACCAACACAAATTCGTAAAAAATCGAAGAAATCACCGATTTCAACAGCTTTTTTTACAGATTGGCGAGCATGAACAGGACGTAAACCTCATGTTTACATCCGGGGCACTATTGACGTAGTATTTAGCTCTGCATGGGCAGAAGGCTCTCCTGTCACGATTCATTCATGAAATGAGAAGCGCAAATCGTGGGAAGCATTGGTCAGTGCGAAGCGACTTGGCCGATAGAGGTCGGCAAAATCCCGGTGGATCTCATAGGACCAAAGGACCCTTATCGGAGCTTATCAAAACATGCCCGCAGCGTTGCGGTCAGACTTAAAACATAGAAGAAAGTAAGACATAAGAACAGGTGGTAGCTATCATTACTTTTACTACTCTTGCCGTCGAAAGTCCATTTGTATTACGTCTATGGTCTGACAGTGATAAAGAGAGAAAATGGGGAAAAGGGAATATGGCAAGACTCTGTTAACCCCCTGCACAGTCCTTCGATACATGGACTGTTAGTTTGCAGTTATATCAACGATTACACGGCTCCCATGGTCATGGTCATGGAAATTGATCATGGGCGTGGGCCATCTGTGGCCATAGCAACCTTCCAGTTTGAACTGAATATGGGGGTGATATTAGTACGCCACTGGGATGCTGCAAGCCATACCAAAATGGAACTTAATCTGGCCGTGGAAAGGATAAAATGGGTCTTGGAAAATCATAGAAAGTGATGGAAGTTAGTTCTCATATTTCTGTGGGAACTCTGGATTAGACCAGGGCCCCATTTCACCAAACTTGTCATCAGTGACAAATGACAGTTTTTGTTATAAGCTAGTAAAATCCTTGCTTCTGATTGGTTATTAGCAGATATGATATTTGTCATTGGCAAAAGGCTTTGTGAAACAGGTCCCTGAACTAGCAATCTGCGAACCGTAAGTTAACCTAGAGGTTCCATGGCATAATCTTCTTCATCCATTCACATTTGTAGAACACGTTTCTTTACAGGAAAATCCTACGGAATCCTCATGCCTGGGTGTGTTTGGACTTAGCCTGTATACTACAGAACGTGATTTGAGGGATGTCTATGAACACTATGGCACTCTGACCAACGTGAATGTAGTGTACGACCATCAGGTAAGTTGTATAGAATACAAACAATCAACTCTGAAAAGTTGACACTTATTGATTATCAAATAGTTAGAAAATGTATTAAGACTGAATGGAATGATCAATGTACTGTATTTGCCAGCGATAAGGCCGCAGCGCCGCATATGCCGCACCCCAACTTTGACATTTCAAAGAGGGGGGGAAAAAAAAGGGACAAAAGAGAGCAAATGAAGTGTTATAAAAGCAGGGGCTTTCCCAGGCACTCTTCAATCTATGTTTATTATTGTCGTCATTTTTCTCCTTCCATTTTTGTCCATGCAGACTGGAAGATCAAGAGGCTTTGCATTTGTGATGTTTGCAAATACTGGTGATGCAACTGCAGTAAGTCTAATTTTTACCATTTCTCATTAAAAAAAAAAAAATTGGTAAAGGTTCATTTTCAGATAAACAGGAAAGTATATTCAATTCAAGGTAGTTAATTAATTCAGTATAAAAAAAACTTACAAAACTTGCAATCTATGGTTAAACTATACAACCATTAATGCAAGTGAAATTTAATTTTGACTTATAGTAATGACAGAAAGTAAATTCTCACCTAATCTAAACGAAACTTACAGTGTGATATTTATTTTGTCAACTTTAAAGCATGTGCAATGCTTGCCTATCATAGCAACAACTACTGTTTGCAAGGTGGATTCTTTACATACAAAATGTTGTCAGATGTATCTGCGTATTTGATAGTTTCAAGACTTGAATGAATAAATAAACTTGATATCATTCATGAAACTGGCATTAGTACAGGTTTGTGAACATCCTATCGAAATACATTATTAAAAGTCATTAGACCTTTCATGGGATGTCAGCAAATGTGTACTTACTTGTGTGACAGTTTCATGTAAAAATGCCCAGGGGGGTGTTTCACACAGATCCTAAGTTGAACTTATCTCTAATTTGGACCGAACAATTATGGAAAGCCATTAGCATCATTGAAAATATTTTGTAAAAGTTATTTCAAAAGGCATAAAATGTTGATTTAAATCATTCATATTTTCTATTATCAAGGAGATTTCATGTTCTTGATGTGGAATTTTAAAAAGTCTAAAACGTTTGAATTTTTGCTTTTGAATATATTTAATTTCAAGGCTACAAATGGCTCTCCATAATATTTAAGCCCTACTTAGAGTTAAGGTTGACTTGGGACCTTTGTGAAACACCTCCAGGTCTATTTTTGATGGTGAACATGCTTTTCTGATATTCAGGCTCGTGAAAGTACAAATGGAACTGAAGTTGACGGACGTCGCATCCGTGTAGATTTTTCCATCACAGAACGGGCCCATACCCCAACGCCAGGCGTCTACATGGGCAAGCCTACAAGGTAATAAAAAGCTTGTGATTTGATTATATCTAATTTTTTTGCAATTCTTTATTATATGAATTTAAGAAAAAATGCTTCTTTTGTTATTGCTTGTAGAGGTGTCGTCTTGGTCTAGTGGATGTGTCAGCAGACTGTGGGTCACATGGTTTGCGGTTCAAATCCAACACAACACTAATGTCTTTTGGCAAGGCACTAATCTACATTTGCCACACTCCACCCACGGGAGGTAAATGGGTCCCTGGTAGGAAGAAATTCATTGAATGCTTGATCGTCTTTTCATGGTAGCTGGGCTAACTCTGGGGTAAAAATATGTTTACAGGGCCCTCAGGGAGACCAGTATTGATACTGATGAGGCTACCATGGGTAAACAAGACATATTATTATCATCAAGTATTATTTCAGAACCTGCAATTCAATTCAATACAATTTTATTTCTTAATTTTTTTATATACTTCCCTTATGTGTGTTGGATAAGTCCTCAATTTCAATAATGAATAAGTGAATTAACAACTATGCCACAGTGCATTTTATCTCATTGCTGTACCTAACCTCCATCTTATTCTTTCATTTCATCCACAGTAACAAGCGCGACTTCAATCGGGGGGAGCGGGGATACCACCCAAGGGGTTACCATCGCTCCCCGTCGCCCCACTACTACCGACGGTCCCCATCCCCTTACTACAGGCGTACCCCTTCACCGCACTACTACCGCCGGTCACCGTCCCCCTACTATCGCCACCACCACCACAGCAGCAGGAGACACCACTATTACCCCCGGGAGCCCAGGGAGCGATCCTTCTCACCAAGTAGGTGCTATGGTTGAAAATTTCATTTTTCTATTCATTTATTCACTCAATATATAAAATCAGATACATGAAATTGCATATGAATGCATGTGACAAATATAAAAAGATGGACATAGTCAAATCAGTAGTTGAAAGCACAAGTAACATAAATTGAGTGGGAATCAGATTAAAGATCTACTTAAAATCTTGTGAATTCGACCCCATTGTGATGTATAAATTGCATTGAATAATGTTGCATGTACAACAACAAGAGGGAGAGAATACATAAACAGCTGGGTCATAGAGAAATGAGGGAGGGAGATAGAGAGAGAGAAAGAGAGACAGACATAGAGGGAGAGGAAGGAAAATTGAGGGAGAGAAAGGCAAGATGAGAAGTAAAGTTAATACATAAGATGAAATTAGACCCAAGCAGAATAGTCTTTTAAAAAACATTCAAACCAGGGATATAACAGTTAACTTTGAAATAAACAACAAAAGAAAGCATTAGAAACAAATGCATATATATGTTGAAAAAGAAAACTGTTCTCTTTCTATTTTTTCGTCCTTAGTATTGTGTGTATGAAGCATAATGAGTATAAAACCATATTAAAGAACAAAAGGAGGTCATTTACGAATTGAAATACAGTGGCAACCGTTTTGTTTTTAGGATAAGTTAAATGAATAAGTGATTTCATAGTATTGTCTCTTTGAAGCAAGAAGGGCATTAACTCATATATATTGTAACACAGAGTTAACGCTTTTCTGGCTCTTAACAGAAATATTATTTATTGACAAAGGCCCTAGGAAGTGGTATGAAACAAAAAAGCTGCATGCTCATGAATAAATCTTAATATATAATTAAATTAAGTAAATCCTTTCATTTATTCATAAGAGGACCCATCACCATTCTGTTTCAATCAGTAAAGGAAAGTATTTGATTGAGAATTATTGTTTCAGATTTATTTAAAGCACCAAATAAATAATTGATTGGTACATTGGTATATGTATCTTAATCAAAAAGATTATTTACAAAATTATTTCCATTTATAAAAGAGACACAGACCTATTTGAATGGAGAAGCCTTGTTTTATATTTATTTTTTCCCACAAGTGGAGCCTTCACTTTGCATTTTTTGTCAACAATTGCTCTTTCTTTTTTCTTTGAAAAGTTGAGGTATTGGTCATTGATCCGCACAATTTTGAGGGTAATGTGTGTATAGGTAAATATCTGTCTGTAAGTCAGTTCCAACCTGGGTAATGTTGGCTGTATTGTCGGACTGTCGTTTAAGATGGTAAAAAAGGAGAAATATATTTTTTGTAAGCAATTATTGAAACCAGTTGATGATAAAATGTTTATCTCGCCTATTTCCGTTGGGTGCTATGAAAAATGTATGAAAAATATATGAAACTCCATTCCCTAGCTATATGAACTAGGTATTTTTGTTCAGCCTTGACTTGAAGAAAATATTGCTTACATGAACTGATTTCTCTCTCCACATGTACCTTGTTTTCAGTCTGTCTATCATTTGCCAGTTTTTATTTCTCTTTGAGTGATTCTTTGTCCTTATGAAATTATTAAAAATTGTCTTAGGGAGGCACATATTGATTCATAGTTATTAACAATTTTTCCTTACCCATTTATTTTCTCCCCCTCTCTCTTTTATGTTTAGGTCGCTACTAAGAGCAACCAATGGTTTCTGCCATGGCCACGTTTTGGTCAGGCCTCAGCGAGCTTGATCCGTATTGTGCTTTTGTAACTCGACCATTTTAGTCATTTTCAGAATTTTAATTAATTATTAATTTACTCCATTGAATGTTCCTCTAAATATTCAGTTTTCATCTCAGATTACAAACTCATTTTCAAAGTACGTCATTTGACATTCATTGTTTTTCATTGGAATTTTTAATTTTAATTTTCAGGTGTATTTAATGTCTCGTGACATGTGTTCTAATAAAATTAGAAATTTTAATAGAGTGATTCTCCAGTTGATGCTAGTTTTGCAAGTATATTTTTCACCGAATTATAAGCACAAGTTTCATCTATGGGATAATGCTAACATTTTTCTATATTTTATTTCAAATTCAGATTGGGAGAACTTGATGTGACCTCAAGTCACGAAAGAAGAAGAAAAAAGTAAGAAGAATTTTTGGATTGAAGAAGGTTTGAAGATCAATCAAGAAAAATATTTTGGGGAAGATGAAGAAAAGAAGAATTTGGAAGTTTTCTGAGAAGAGAAGAGTTTTTTGATGGAGAAAGGAAAAAGAAGTTCCCCAGCATAAGAAATGCTCTGGAAGCAAGATAATGCGAAAAGAAGATTTAAAACATACTTTTTATTGAAGAGTGCATGTAAAAATTGAAATCTGAAGAGAAGTTTCTATCAAGGACTACTGTATCAAGACAAAGTTTTTTTCAAGATATTTCAAGATGAAGTTATCAAAAGAAGTTGAAGATTACCTGGTAAAAGATGAAGTTAAGAAATCGAAGATTACGTGGTACAAGATGAAGTTAAGAAGTTGAAGATTACGTGGTACAAGATGAAGTTAAGAAGTCGAAGATTACCTGGTAAAAGATGAAGTTAAGAAGTTGAAGATTACGTGGTACAAGATGAAGTTAAGAAGTTGAAGATTACATGGTACAAGATGAGGTTAAGGAGTTGAAGATTACCTGGTAAAAGGTGAAGTTAAGAAGTCGAAGATTGCGTGGTACGAGATGAAGTTAAGAAGTCAAAGATTACGTGGTACAAGATGAAGTTAAGAAGTTGAAGATTACCTGGTAAAAGATGAAGTTAAGAAGTCGAAGATTGCGTGGTACAAGATGAAGTTAAGAAGTTGAAGATTACCTGGCAAAAGATGAAGTTAAGAAGTCAAAGATTACGTGGTACAAGATGAAGTTAAGAAGTTGAAGATTATCTGGTACAAGATGAAGTTGAGAAGTTTGAAGATTAACTGGTACAAGATGAAGTTAGAAGTCAAAGATAACGTGGAACAAGTTAAGAAGTTGAAGATTACGAGGTACAAGAGGAAGTTATCAAAAGAAGTTGAAGATTATCTGGTACAAAATGAAGTTATCAAAAGAAGTTGAAGGTTATCTTGTACAAGATGAAGTTAACAAAAAAAGTTGAAGATTATCTGGTACAAGATGAAGTTATCTAAAGAAGTTGAAGATTATCAGGAAAAAGATGAAGTCGAGGAGAAAACTGGAAAGAAGTTGAAGATTATTTGGAACAGGATGAAGTTTTCAAAAGAAGTTGAAGATTGCCTGGTACAAGATGAATTTCTGGAGGAAGTTATCAAAAGAAGTTGAAGATTATCTGGTACATGATGAAGTTGAAGATGAAGTTATCAAAAGAAACTGAAGATTACCAGTCCAACATGAGGTTAAAGATGCAGTTTTCAAAAGAAGTTGAAGATTACCAGTAGTCCAGTACAACATGAAGTTAAGGATGAAGTTATTTAAAAGAAGATGAATATTATCTGGTACAGGATAACGTTTTCAAAAGAATTGTGAGTTTATTTGGTACAAGATGAAATGAAGATTGAATTATCAAAATAAGTTGGAAGATTATCTGGAACGATACCAAGTTATGAAAGGAAGTTGAAGAATACGTGGTACAAGGTGGAAGTGTATACAGAAGTTTCTCTGATATGGTAATACTTGCTAGTTGCTAGATGAAGTTCAAAATGGAAAGGCAAAAAGATAACAGAAGATTACGTAGAAGCACAAGAGAAGAGGTTTCAGCACAAGATATTACCAGGTGAAAGTTAGGAAATACAAGAGGAAAGTTTTCGCACCCTCGTGTATATTGTATTCAAGAAGGACAACAAGTCTTTAACTGGAAGGTTACAAAATGAAATACGGTAAGCTGGAAATATTTTTTTCACGAGAATCACAAGAACAGTCATATGTGTGTTTGGTAGGTACGTGTCCTTATTTTGTCATCTGAAGTGAAGATGGGAGTATAGGTTCAATTTATTTCTTTGAAGAGAATGAATAAAAGAAAGATATTGAGGGGAATATTTTGATGTCATTTTGGTGAACTTTCGCTGCTCTGAGAATTCATAATGCTAAAGCTTTGCTTGTAAATACAGCAATTATTGTAGAGATGATAATAACCAAAAATAAGGTGCTTGCGACATTTACAAATGGCTCTTTTCTTGTCACTAATTATATAACGCATTCTTTGCCAAAGATTCCATGGTTTCTGTTCATCAAAAGTTTTTTTGTACATCTGTGATGTATCTGCCTCTTTGTTTCCAATATTTAATATCCTGTTATTCTTCACCTTTCATTTTAAAATTGCTTTAGGTAAAGTCAAGCAAATTTCTTATTCTGTAAATGAAATGTTCTAATTGTGTGTATTGCTCACGTCTGCTAAGCGGTGATCCTGTACAATGTGTCTCGTATGATATATATATCGTTTACCCATTAATTTCATCCAAAAAATGAAAGTTTCTTGATATTACCATTGACTCATGATACTTTCCTGTATCAAAACCATTAGTCGGTTGTCATATCCACAGTTTTCTTTTTCTTCATTTTTTAATGAAATAAATGGATAAAAGTTGTACAGTCGTGCGGGGCACATTGCACAGAATGGCACCAGATGTTATTTTAATTGTTGACAAGTCATTTGAATTGTTGACAAGTCATTTGAACACTAGCGGAGCCCCATTGGAACTTATGTGGTAAGTATACATATCTTGTAAAGAAAACAAGCATGAAAATACAATGTTCCAGTGATTTAGATCTGTTTTTCGGCGACAAAATATTTTCACCCAGCAGAATAAGCAATGACAAAAAGTGAGTAAAATATTTTGATATTAATTTGTTGACAATTACATCCTTTTCAATGGATTTCTATCCAATCCCAATAAAAATTGAGTAAACAGATTTAAAAAGAAAAAAATTCATCCATAGGAAGAAATAATAATTTATTATTTTTTGTTGAAACAATATATTTGTCTGTTCACTGCATGATAAGCCGAATTATTACATAATGCAACCACATTTACTTTGAACCAGAATTGTAAAGTACAGTGGAACCTTCTTATAAAGGACTTTGTCTTAACTCATACCTGTAGCATCAAAGTAATTTTGCCAACCCCAATCCTTTGTATTTTTTATAACAATGTAATTTTCTATGACAAGGTTTCGCTGTAGTACAGTGGAATCTCGTTATAACAAAGTAATTGGTACCATGGAAATTACCTTGTTATATCAGGGTTTTAAAAAATATATATATAAAGAGTTTGGACCAGCAAAATTACCTTGTTATAACAGTTATCTAGTTATATCGGATCTCTTTATAATAAGGTTCCACTGTGCACATACCTTGAATGTATTTTACCATGAAACAAACTTCAAAATGAATGGCTGCGGATGATCAGGATAACATTCTTTCAACACCTTGTCTTTGGAGTGAGAGGAAATACCTGTCAACATCGTTGGATGACCACAGAACTTGCAGAAGCTGCCACACTATGGAGCAGCATGCCAACAAGAAGATGGAATACTTGGACTCAAATTGAAGACTTTATTTCAAGATGTAGGAATATCAGTCAATGGGAGGAGTTGTTTTAATAAGCCAAACCCAAGTCACATTGCCAAACCATCTCCAAACTAATCAGAAATTCACAAAATCTTGGCCATTTGCGGCAATGTTATCTTTTGTTCAGTTTGAAGTCTGGATTGTCTGTGTGACTGGGTTATAAAATGAGGATTTTGTTTAATGATTTTCAACATGGACATTGGTGAATTAATTTTGATAAATACAATGTTTTATTACCTTTTTTTTTAGGTGAAGGATTTTTGCTCACTTTCAAAGCATTCTTGCCCCCCCCCCCTCCCCCTCTCTCTCTCTCTCCTTTCTTCCCTCCCTCCCCCCCTCTCTCTCTCTCTCCCTCTCTCTTTCTCTCTCTCTTTCTCTCTCTCTCCCTCTCTCTCTCTATTTCTCCTTCTTTCTCCATTATTATTTTTGTTTTTCTTTCTTTATTTTCCAATGACTTGAAAGCACTAGTTATTGATGTTTTGTTTTTTGTCCATCCTTGCATTTCTATTGTATCCCTTTTTTAATTTCTGTCATTCTATTTACACAATTTCATATCTACCTTTCCTTACTTTCTGTCATTTTCTTCCCTACTTTTATTTCAGTAATATTTCATTTTCATTATCGCTTATCAATTTGTGTGCCTTTTAAAACTGTGTATGGCTGTAGTTAGTTATGTAATGTAGCAAGTGACTTCGACAATTATGGGGTTTTCTTCTTTCCATTTTCTATGTGCAGTAGGAGAAAATAAAGCAAAACCAACAAATCAATGATATGGTCTTTCGTTTGGTATTGTGTACGTGTTGATCGTTTATATGTTGCTAACATTGTGATACGGTTTTCATATAATGTGTGAAGGTCTCTTTATTCACAAAAAAGTGACCCTTTCCCTTTTCTAAAGAAAAATTAAGAAGTACAGTTTTAGAGTTTGCCATGGATATACTACCATGCACTTGAAATTGCAAAAGTTGTGGTGGGTAGCGTTATGGGGGAATACGAAATGGATCCTGACAAAGTGATTTCCTTTCCCACAAAGATTTTGCAAATACTTAACAAAAACAAAAGTATGCTGCAAACACCTAAAATGCTTTTTTTGTTTTTCTTTTTCTTTTTTTGATCGGTTGATTGGCTGATGGATTGAATATTTGGTTGACTACAAACGCAGATTGATTGATTGGTTAGTTGTCCTGGTAGATTGGTTGAATGTGTGGTTTATGACATGGCAGGGTGAAAGAACGTTGTGTTGAATGACTGATTGGTTATTTGCTCGATTACCGTGAAAGATTTTACGGGAGATCGAATATTTGTTCAAAGCAATGGTGGGCCTATATCAAAAGGCTATCCGATAGTGATTATTAATTTAGTGAATGGTAAATTAATGAACATGGGTACTGTGGAACTGAAATGACCAGTTATGATGAGTTAAATTTATTGAAATTTATGAATCTCCTTTCTTGCCATTTCAAAATCCTCCCCTACACCTTTTTCTATCGGAGCCTTTTTTCTGCCACACTCGCTTATATCTTGGTACCATTTTTTCTCTCTAGTTCTTAAATACTTCGTCTCTATAATTATCTCTGCTTCAGATCCTTAAATTTTGATTGCTCCTTTACCTTTGTTTAATTCATATTATCCGAATTGTCATCTTCTTCTTCTTCCCATTATCTTCTTCTTTTACTGCATTTCCCGTTATTTCTCTTTATCTCTACCCCTACCCTTTTTTTTCACAGTAGGCCCTAAAAACACTTCATTTTCCCCCTAGGCTATTATGTATCAAAGTCAGTCCTCAAATACGGTTAATCTATTTTCTTTGCCCCTATGTTTGTTTCTATGTACGTCAGCTACGACCAGGACTACGCTGTGCGGGACTCGTTCTTCAAGTGCCCAGTACCCGTCTAAAAACATACGGGGATAGAGCCTTCTCTTCATCTGCTCCGCATCTTTGGAACTCTCTACCTGTCCAACTTCGAAATTGTAACAACATTGATACCTTTAAATCTGAACTCAAAACCTATCTTTTCCGGCAACATTGCGAATAATATGTGACATATTGAGGGAGCCAGGCGCCTTTGAATGCTTTTGCAGATAAATGGCGCTATACAAATGCTGTTCATCATCATCATCATCATCATTTAAATATCTCGCCTTTCTAATTCCCATCTTTCTTTCTTCTTCTCTCTCTCTCTCTTTCCTCGTCGGAGATTTCTTTGGAATTGCGCCCCCTCCTTAATGGCAAAAATTATAAATCTAACCTTATTGAACTCTTGCAAAGAAATCGGCGTCGACTCAAACGTAAAATGATGCAGTAGATATAGTTGTTTACGCCCTCTTATGTTCCTCGTTACCGCACTGGTCCTGAATCACTGAATCTAGTATCGGCGAATCGTGATTACACATGGACACTAACTACGATGTGGCAGTTTTGGGAAATTTTGAAAATTGGATGGATACCAATTCTTTACAATTTTGATATATTTGGATACCCCTGTGGGTGTATTATAAGCACTAGAAAATTTAGCCCCTAAAACACTTCTGCTTTCGAGAAATTGAATAATAAAAAATTGTCGGTGCTCCCGGTAAATTTCAAATAAGGCCATCCATGGTAGCTGCGAGATGAAAATCTCGGGATATGCAGTTCGGATATATAATTTCCAAACAGAAATAGCGAATCGGTCGATTGTAGTCAAGAAACATTGTTTTTAAGCTAAAGTAATATCAGTCTTGAGAGGGCGCTATACAACATACAGTGTATTATTTACAATTTCATCACTTGAGACTCGATTTCAACCGCGACAACGATAATTTAATATTGTAAAATTGCATATGCTTCCAATTTGTATCATCACCATTTACTACTTGTTGGTTTCTTTATCCAATCCACCGAATGCTTTTTATAAAGTTCCCGGATTTTTGGCTTTGTTAATATAATTCAATCCTTTTCAATGTTTTCTTTTTACCCCCCCCCCCCCCCCCCCCCCAAATCATAATGAGTTGGAAGGTAAGATCATTTTTTTTTGTAAAGACTCTTAGTCAGGGAAAAAAAAGTACTTTTATTTCGGGGGCTACAAGGCTTTCGAGCTTGCTTGCATGAAAATAACACTCTTTATTTTTTGTTTTGCATTGAACTCTATGCAATTTTGGGGGGCTCTTTTATGACTTTCGGGGGCTCTTTTGGCATTTCGGGGGCTAATTCGCCCCGAGCCCCCCGTGTATTTTTTCCCTGCAGTCTTAGTTGGTTTTCAAGTAAAGGATATAAATCAAACCTTTGCCCAATACAGGAAAGTAGCGGAGCTAACCCATACTAATTCGAGATCATGGGAATAGATATTGCATTTGACCAACTTATCGTTAGGATTTAGAAGATGAAGTTTTTTATTAGTTGTGGAAAAGTGGGTTATGGTCATCTAAGTGCATGCGATTTATTTCAGTTGAAACTTGAAAGCGATTGCACCGACTCTTCAAGTTAGAAATAAGATTCTGTATTCTGTAGCATAGCAGTCGAGCAATAAAAAGGGTGCTCTTTGTAATATTAAAACTTTCAATTGTGGAGTAATTCTAAAGAAGTAATGTCATGGTCGGAGAAGAAAAAAGAGATTGTTCACGTAGATCGCATTAGGGAAGAACTGAAGACTTTCATATGCCATTTTCGTTAAAGTAAATAATACAGTGCTAAGATACCATGCATTAATTGGCGAATAATATTTGAACATTAACACTTTGCATTTTAAAAACTATTGAAGAAAAAAGTACACATCATTACACCGCACAATCACTATGCAATTAGCCCCCCACCCCGAATAATTTCCCCTCTTACCTCCGGCTGGGTGCGTAGAGGTAATAATTCTCTAGTGTTCAGAAACATAATATAAGAGCGTAGCGACCGAGGGAGAATTTTTTTTTTTTTTTTTTTTTGAAGGTTAGAGCCAGGGGCGGCTGAGTGACTTCCAAAGTGTGGGGGGGGGGGCACCAACGAAAAAGGGCACTTTGTGGATGAAAAAAGGGCACCTACAAAGAGAAATATCAAAGCGAAAATATACAATTTTGTTTAGACATTGGTTTATACCCCTACATTGATTTCTATATTTGTTTCTCTTTATACATCATACAAAATATTGCTTAAGCATCATACTTTGCCGATTGGTGTGATGGTCTGAATATTCATTTGCGAGCGAGCGAAGCGAGCGAGGAAAAAGATTTCTGAGGTATCAGTGCGAAAAAAAATTACATCTTATAAAGAGGAAAAAACCTAATCCTGAAGCACATTCTCATAACGGAAGACTGAAAGGACCTTTGATAAGTAACATAATTATTATCATCTATAAATGCGAGCGAGCGTAGCGAGTAAACTTTGGGGAAATTGCTCTTAATCCCTTTTAATTAGGGGCAATTTTAATGATGAGAGGAAAAGGGATCCTTATCGATAGGGATAAGACACTTATTAGAAGAGAAAAGGAGCACATGTCAAATGACAAAGGGTAGTTATCAGAGGTGAAAACGGGGCACTCCTTAGTACACCTGAAAAGAAGCATTCACCAGGGATGAAAAAAAGGCACTTATGAAATGGGAAATAGGCATTTGTCGACGGGAAAGGGGCACCCATCAGATTTTGATAGGTCCATGTATAAGAGGTAAAAGGGGGCATTTATGAAAAGGTCCCTTATTAGAAAGGAAAAGAGGCACGTATCCGTATTAAAAGGGAAAATATCAGAGATGAAAAGGGGCACTTATCGCTTCTGGAAAGGGGCACTGACCAGATATGAGAAGGAGCACTTATGAGAAGGGAATAATTTTTTCTTCTTCATGGCGGCACTTATCATGTGAAAATAAAATGTTCACTTATCCGAGTAAACTGAAAAGGGGTAGTTATGCAAAAAGCATACATAATGTTCTCTCTTTATCTTTCTTCTCCATTTCAACTAATCTTCTTTTCTCTCTCCCCCTTCTCTTTCTCTCTCTCTCTCTCTCTCTGTGGCTGTCTGTCTGTGTCTCTCTCTCACACAAAGACACGTACTCTCTCCCTATCCTTCTTACTCTCTCTCTCCCTCTCCTTCTTACTCTCTCTTTCTCTCTCTCTTTCTCTCACCCCTCTCTCCCTCTCAGTCTATAGCGTGTGTCATATTCTTTAACCTATCGTAATTCGTGAATATACCAATATTATATATTTCCATTGAATTGCAATGAATGTGCATCATGATTTACATCGCCCGAAGTCATTTTTTCCCCTTACATTTATTTTTAACATCACCGTTATTACATCGACGGTCATGATTTACAAGCATGTTCTGTACGGATGGTCTTGAACTTAAAGAAAACATCGAGTCAAGAGGAATTGTAAACAATCTGATAAATAAATCGTTTGTTTGCGTTCATTCCGTATAGCTTATGAGTGAGAGTCAATGTACATATAGCTTATAGTTATAGGCCTATATACCGTCCACTCTGTCATGTTCAGGGGCGCATTCCTCTCGATTATTCAGATAAATTCAGAAAATTTCATATCATGCTGCAAAGTTTATCAATTGAAGTTTATCAATTGAACATTGAAGTGACTAAATCCAAAGCATGTGATGAATGGGCGCGACGGGTGGGGGGGGGGGGGGGGGGGAGCCTGGGCATCGGGTATAAGAGAAAAGCTGCTGGGAGACAGCTCAGAAAGTCTACTGAAGACGAGGACCAACCGACAAATGAACGATGAAAGAAGATCAATAAAGAAAAGATAAGACGATTTCAAGGACAGTTACTGTCCATCACCGCTCACCACGACAATAGCTCCAATACAAAGGAGGTGACGGGCGAACGGAAAGGGTCTTGCAATTAGTACCACGGTACTTTAAATCGGGTAGGAGGGGCTAAAGGGCTTATTGAGAATAATGATGAGCAAAACAGATAGCTCGAGGATTGACCGTTAGCTGACCAGCTTTAGTTGTTCCCTTTCTTTCGTCAAGCTATGGCGATCAAAATTGAATAGCGGATCGAGGATGTACTCAGTCGATCGCCATTGTTAGGTGCCTCTGTCCAAGCTGTAGTTATGTACACATCATCATCATCATTGATGTCCTATGAAAGAAAAGAAAAATAAAGAACAGACGAGAAAAGAAAAGACGACTCGAGTATCCGCCAATGCAGCTCCCTTCTAAGCGCGCGCATAGAGTCGCATGTCCCTTTTTCTCGTTGAGTGCGAGCCATTTATTACAAATAAATTGGTAATAAAAACACTATAAAATACGGGCGTAAAGTCTGGGGATAATTGATGATAAACTAGATACCGATGCGGGGGAAAAACTGACAGTATTAATCACACGAAAGCTAAGAAAAATAACTGTCAATATATCTGCACGTGCGTCGTTCAGCAGGCTATTTGAGTTGCCCATGTAAAAGAGTGCTCATGAGGTCACTAAAAGCTTTTTTTCCGTCAATCAATTTGAATCAATTTCATCTGGGGTTTGGAAAGAGAGAATAGTAGACTGTCAATCATACATTCATATACTCGGAAACACGCACAGTAAAGAGGGCATAAAAAAGGTGTTATTGGCAAATGTTGAAATTTTTATGGTTTCACAAAGAGATTTAATCGGCGTATTAATTGGCTAGCGATAACAGAGGAACCGGGTGTACACCACCAATTGCATTTCGAGGGCGGAGTTTACCTTTCGCACGCTCGGCTCGGCCAGCGGACTCCAGTGGCAGCGAGAGATTGCCCTCCTTCTTCACGTCACACCGCAAAACGGTAGCTTATGCCATGAGCGATACTGTGTATGCTGCATGAACGCACATTATCAAAATTTCAATTGAGCATTCATACATGTGTATTATAACAGTGCGGAGACTTATGTGATCATTCCGTAGCAGACGTCGTTTGATATATAAAACTTGACTTTCCTTTTTCGGATATCTAACAATGTGAGGCTTCTTCTGATTGACTGATTATCAAGAGGACCAATTGAAATGATTGTCTGGATAACTTTACTGTTGCTTCCCTTGGCTATATCGCAAGGTAAGTTGTATTTTTAACGAGAAGTGGAGAGAAGTTGGAAAGTTTGTTGTGAGCGAGAGGGAGAGGGATGTCGTGGTACTTTTGTAGCGGGCTGGTCTGGGCGCTCAGCGCTCAATGAACCGCTGTGGCGGGAAAGTATTTTGACATTGATTGAACATGTTTCTCTTTCTTGCGTTAAATCTTACACCCCGATCCATTGCCTCATATATTTTCTATCAACAATTGTTACTGCTCCGGTTGCACTTTTCTTTATCAAACACAATTTTTGTTTTGCTTACAGATAGCTGTTGCTTGATTGACTTGTTTAATTTTGAAACAGACACTGCACTGGCAATGAGTTCTGTACGATGTTCATACTACTAGTATTCTTCCTTTACCAGGATGAAATAATACTGCCTAATTAATATTTTTTAAAGTATAGATTTCATGCTATATGCCATTGTAATTTGGTTATCCTCTATTGAGAGTCTAGTACATGTATGCAGATATAGATGTAGATCTTTACATTCAACTCTGTTTTAGCATTTGCATCATAATTTTAAAATCGCAATGTTTATAGTCAGTGTTGGTATTTAATAGTAGCCTATTTTTTAAAGGACTAGAACATGTAGAAACGACATAAAAACTATGTTGATCTAGTAATCCTGAACTGAAAGAACATTTTTATCTCAATTTCAAAACCCATTCCTCAAACTTATTTTTAAACCTAACAAATGAAGCACTTCACACTCAAGTTCAACCAATTCTTCAAAAAAAATGTCGGAGCTATATAATCTGGAAAAGGGGAGGCATGGATATCTTCACCGGGCCAGTGCTCGCTGCTTAGCAGTCCGCCCATTCTGTAAAACGAGCTCTTTATGTTTGGTATCATGGAATCCAGCTGTGACAAAATGGCCCGCAGTCTTTAGGGTGAATTGGAAAGAAATTACAGAACTGGTAGGGGGTCCTGACAAGTCTGTCTGCCAGGTCGACTCAACTTTCAAAATAAATGCTTTGCCCAGAAAAAAAAAAAGAACAGGGAAAATGATGATAACATGGGGAGCTGTGAACTTGTAGGGTGTGAAAGTTTGTTTTAGCGCATTCTTGGTGTTATCCTTGAAACAGAGACATGAGATTGAGAAGGAAGAGAGAGAGAGAGAGAGAGAAAGAGAAGTAGAGAGACGAGGACTAGAATGTTGGTGAGATATCACAGAGCAAAGAATACAGAGGAGGGATGTTGTCAACTACATGTACTCTAAGATAAGAAAATAGAGCATGAATGCTTCTATTGTGTAGGTCAAATCTTGTTTAAATATGGTGATATATATATTTTGTTGCTTGGGTACTTATGATGTACAGTACTTTGAAATATCAGTATTCTCATTTGTTTGTTTCGGATGATGAAGTTGATTGAAATACAGTTTGGTTACAAGAAGCAATGCCTAAACTATAAACTATACATGCATGTTTATCTCATGCATACTGAATAATTTTAATCACAAACATGCATTTTTTGCCATTGATTCAAATGACTTTTAGAGAATTAATAACAGAAAAATGATTTTAAAAGCAAGTCGAATGCCAGAAGGAGTATATTCCACAATAATATTTCAATTGAATTAATTATTTTAGTCTACATTTTGAAAATATATTCTTGTCTGGGGTATTCTAGTTGGTAATGTATATTTAGAATCAAGGATGTATCTTTCTTCTGTGCGATGGTTGGAGAGCAGGGAAGAAAATGATAAAGGAGTGTCAATTAACAAAATGATATAGAACAGAATGCAAGATAACGCACTCAAATGCAGGTCTTTGATATTTTACATTTGAGAAGAAAAAAAATGTGTTGAACAAAACTCTTTGTGAAGCATTTTGCAGCTGAAAGAAAACAAGAGCTGTAGACCAAGGACATTGTGAACTTGATTAAATTTGATTACAGTAGCTCCATGGAAATACACAGAAATCCAATGCTCATTGAAACTGAGACAAAATATTTGATTATGTTTTATGACAATTCAAATTTAAACATTATTGAGTTGGAAAATTAAAGAAACATACAAAGTATGAACAACAAAATAATTGTTTATTTGATTCTTTTGGTTTGCAGAAACAGATTTATGATGATGAAAAATGCTTTTAAGTGATGTAATTCTTTATACAGTAAGTGTACAGTTAGTTCATCCTAGACTCTAGCTGAGGGCTCTCGCTTATTTTATAATTCAGTTGCAAGCCAATTTCTTGGGTTACCAAGTTCTAGTGGTCATTTCCACTGAACTACACATAATTCATATGCAAGGTTTGAAATAATCAAAATCAAATACAGACAAACTTTGTGTTGCAATTTGAAATTTGGGCAACAAAGGCTGGACTTTTAGTCTTTTAGATTGCCATAATGACTTTAGGTGGTCAATGGCAACCCAGGCAACTGGTAAATTCAACCCTGGGTTCATGTAGAAAGAATACCACAGGCTTTATCATATATATACTGCATGCATACACATGTACCTCACGACTCGACACCATGCTCGTGGCGGGCATTGCACTAGCAGCTAGAGCTTGAGCTGTTACCTGGCCGAAGTTTGCACAGGCGAAAGTGCACAGGGTTGCCGAGGGAAGCCAGGCTACACAAGCTTACCGTAGCTCCAGGCTGGGGGCTGCTGCAGCCATCCAAAGCTAACAATGGCGCTGAAGTGAAGGCAGTTGGTTCTACTCATGAATGTTTATCCTAAAGATTAGTGCTCCAGCACATGAGGTTAATGCATGCATAATTAGATTGATTAACACTGGCGTCCAGATTGACAATACACTACTCTCTTTCCCTGGTCATACCAAACTTTCCCTCCACAAAAGGTAGCCCTTGTTGTTATATTTGATGTTTGTGTTTAGATCAAATCTGCAGTGTACAATGACTGAATTGCTAACTGATGCGGTGCTACTAGCCTGTAATACTGTATGTACCTCGATCAGAATAGATATATTACAATGTAATATGTGATGTGGAGGGAGTATCAAATAGGATTCTAAATTTATGAAATGAATATTGTTTAATGTTCTGTTGCTTATATGCAAAAAATAGATTAACCAAAACATGATTCATGTTTTAGGAAACGAACAAGATTGTAGCTCAGAAATATACTGCAACAAAAAAAAAAGTTAATAAGTTTGTGTAAACAGTTAAATACCTTTGCTATCTTATTGTAGTGTCTCATCTTTATCAAATGATTTTGTTGCAAACCATTTCTTTGAATAATTATTCAAATGTACACAATTCAGTCAAATACACTGTATTTTCAATTTAACAGCCATACAATTATTTTAAAAGCAGTGAAAACATGCTGTACTGAATTGATGATGTACAGGGAAATGAAAAGACAACATCACCAGCTTCTCCCAGTTATGAATATTTATTGGATTTCCATAGGGCCATTCTCCGGGTTTAATGAGGCCCGGTCCGTGCGGTTGGTAGAACCATAGCAGAACCACAGACTACAGAGGTTACTGTAAAGCTTTTGACCAAAAGTTTGATAGCTTTGAGTTTGAACTTCATTATGAGATGGAAACAACACAAACAAGAGAATTGTATCAAGGACCTCTATTACCTCTACAGTCTAGGCTCTACAGTACTCTCAGAATGGGCTTTATAATGGAGAGATATGGAAGGGGGGTAAAGGGAGGGGGAAAGGGAGATGAGGGGGGGGGGGGGGGGAGAGGAGAGAGGGAGAGGAAGGAGGGGAAAGAGAGAGGGGGGGGGGGGGAGGGGGAGGATCGGAAGTGGGAGAGGGGAAGGGAGAATGGGCTTTATAACGGAGAGATATGGAAGGGGGTAAGAGGAGAGGGAAAGGGAGAGGAGAGAGGGGGGGGGGGGGGGGAGAAGAGAGGGGAGGGGAAAGAGGGAGGAGGGGAAAGAGGGAGAGGGGAAGGAGAGAGGGAATGGATAGAGAAGAGGAATGGAGAAGGGAGTAGGGGAAGGTAGAGTGTGACAGGGTTGAGGGAGAGGGGAAGGGAAAGGGGAAAAGGAGACAGAAGGGGGAGGGGGAAGGGGATAGATGAAGAGAGGCAAGAGAGAGGGGCGAGCGAGAAGGAGGGGATGGGACTAGGGAGGGGTACAGGGGTCAATAGAGGGTCCTTGAACTTGGGTCTTATTATAAAAATTGAAGCTGGACCTCTACTAGTCCTTGGCACAAAGTATAATGGGAGGGGAGGATTGGGTGCTGTGGAAAATTGGGGGGGGGGGGGGGGTAGTAGAGAGTCAATGAACTTGAACTTCACGAGGAAGCTGGTAGCCTTGTCAGCTTTTAGCTCAAAGTAGGTAAATCATTAGGGGAATGGGGAGGGGATGTATATACAGCGTATTAGCTGAGGTCAATGAACTTGGCCCTGCTGCAAAAGGAAGTGGGTAATTATTTTTCTTTTTGGACTCTGTCATCTCTTACCTCAAAAATGATAAATTGATCTTGTGAGGGGGGGGGGGGGGGGGCAAAGAATAGAGTGATGGGTTATTAAACCTGGACTTTGGTGCCAAAAGGAAGTGGGTAGTTATGTCCTTATTGTTCTCTTGTCAGCTACATGTATACGAGCGTGCACAATATAAATGATCGTATTATGTGTTGACATTTTGATTTACATGTACCTGTAGGCTTATTTATTTCATATTGTTGATTTGAGTGGGGATGGTGCTGATGTACATGCAAATGATGCTACATCTAAGTACATGTATGCACCAGGAGAAATGTGTGAATGAATGTTTTGGGTTAAGAATTCAAAAGACTTATTCTTTCAAGTCAGGCTGAATTGAGTTGTCAGGCTGAATTAAGGATGTTGAGATTTAACCAAATTACATATCTGAAACAAGACTGAAAGTGCATTTAATCTCTCTATATATGCAAGTAATATTTGCCTTTATTTGGAGCTTAATTATTGCAGGTCTATAAATGGGCAGGTCCAAGCTATTTGGATTGTGACGTACGGGACATTTAGAGACTTTAAACAAGAAATAACAACAGATGAAATTATTCATATGG